TAATTGCTGAAGAAAGATCTTTTAAAACTCTCCTCACTTCCGATAAACAAGAAAAGGTTTAAATCGAACAAACATAATAATTTCCTGTTCGTTTAACAGAAGCAAGAAGTTGCAAGGATCTTTACGACCTTGGCTTTAGAAAAAGTACGAGATATGACATCTATCGACCAGAAATTGGAATTTTCCCAGTCAGATGCGACATGGAAAGCGACGGAGGAGGTTGGATTGTGTTCCAGCGTCGTGTTGATAACAGTGTGGATTTCTTTCGAGATTGGGATGCCTACAAGCAAGGCTTTGGGGATATGGACGGAAACTTCTGGTTAGGGCTTGAAAAACTGCACAAGCTAGCCGCTCCAGGAAAAGGGGCGATTCTTCGTGTTGACTTAAAACACACGGAGTTTGCAGAGAAGAAGTATGCCAACTACAGCTTATTCGAGATTTCAGGAGAATCAGATGGGTATCGTCTGAAGGTGGGAGGCTACTCTGGAGATGCTGGTGATTCTCTGACTCACCATAACGAAATGATGTTCACAACGAAAGACAAGTCATATTGTGCATCAAGATTTAAAGGGGCTTGGTGGTACAGAGGTTGCCATGTGTCAAATCTAAATGCCCTTCATCCCTCCAATGATGGTGGTGGGGAACCTGCAGAATACATGTCCTGGAAAACGATTAAAAACGAATATGGCAAAGTGACATTCTCTGAGATGAAAGTAATGCTTTTGTAAAAGGGTTACCGTGAACTGAGACAGTAAAACTTACACTATCAACATTTACTATTTTGACATTCTAATTAGCACAATATGTTCATTTCAAAATTCTAAAAATTTTGATCTTGTATGCGTGTTTTTAATTATGGTTTATATACACACTAAAGGTACCGAGTTCTCCCTAAGTATAAAATATCGTCGACATACCGAAAATAGCTAGCTCTTAGATTTGATAAAAAAATCTGTTTTCGTGAAAGGCGACGTCCCAAGGTGCTACCTATAGCAACACCATTTATGTAGCTGTTTCGTATGTTTGGTAATTGAAACTTAACTCAACACCTCTGATGGCACTTGCCATTAGCTCTTTAAAATTGTCCTCGGGATTGGAGAGGGGGGATGTATTTTGATCGCTGCGATACAAAGCACAAATCTCTATGGTGCCAATCAATCAACCGATCAAAGGCGTCTTTCTTTCTCTCATGTTACTCTAGATAGACACATCGAAAGAAAAATTCAGCTTACTTTCGACCATTTTCCGACGTCTATACTCTGAAGAGTGTCGGACGAAAGTACTTCAGTATGATATGTTTCCATTATTTCGTGCCAACTTCAGAACCTAGTTCGTTTGTTGCGCATCCTTTTATCATCTTTTTCTACGTACAAAGAACACGGAGTTACTGACTAACTAACCGAACAAATCATCGACCGATCCACTGACCACCGGGCCATCATCATGAACATCATCATCATTCTTTAGTTACATTAGGCTAAGAAGAAAATAATATCTCAATTATTGCTGATTAAAGCCTTGTTGTTAACTGACCAAGAGGAAAATGTGGGCATTTGCAAGGAAATAAGAAGGAAATATATAATAAAAGGAAAAATTAAAGAAATTATATAAAGATCTGGATTTTGATGGAAAATGATAAAAAGGGTAAATATGCTCTAAATGTCCTTTGTCCATTTATTCTGGCTTTAATCTATGGCTAACATATGTATTGGTTTAGGCAGAAGCAACTAATTTGATCATGCGGCACTTACAGCTACTATGTTGATGAGTAAGTTTTTGTTTAATGCATTTCCCCTTGATTGTATTTCTCGTTCTGTCTTTGTGCGCTGCTAAGCGATTTAGTTAAAGATGCCATTCGTTGGGAAAGATGCACTTTACAAGTATGTATACAAGTGTGCAACTGACAACCCTCCCTCGTTTCTTTCAAGCCTGTTCGACAGGTTGCCAGAAACCAGAATTCGGGACTTCCGGAACACCAAACCAATCCTTGTGTCCCGTATCTACGAAGAACGTGGATTATGGTTCAATTGATTTCAAATTACATTTAATTGTTTTAGTGGCGGATTTAAGGGGGGCAACTAGGAGCAGTTGCCCCTCCCTCAACGAGTTGAAGCAAGTCTGGCGCCCCTTTTTGGCAAGTGTGCGCCCCTTTTGAAGAATGAGAATCAGATGAAAAATGTTTTGGACCGATAGATTAATTTGCTTCAAGGATTACCTCAAAGTTATGTTGTTTATTCTGAAAAGGTATCTGAAATTGTTGTATACAGCGTACTCTCGTAACAAATTTTTGAAAATATTTCAGCGCCCCCACTACCAACTGCCCCTCCTTCAAATTTTCTCTAGACCCCCCCCCCCAGAATTGGGTCATTTGATTTTAACTGCTAGTGATTTTTCTTTTTCCTTGTGCAGGCTAATTGGGAAAATGTCTTTGAAAAAGGTCTTTGAAAAACACAAATATCGTTTTCCCTATTTACTCTTTCCCTTTTCCCCAAATTCATTGCTCCCCTTTTAAAGATAATCAATGTTTTAAAGGTTGCTAAAGGCGTTTTTGGTAACAAGCCCATGCTCTCTCACAAAAAAACCTAGCAGTGTCTTTGCATGTAAAAAGCTTTTAGTTTTTGTAATTTCAAGGTATTAATTGCCCTAAGAGTGTGTTGGAGTCAATTTACCTCAAAAACTTTTTTCATAAAAGCAGGGATCGGATTGTTTTGTGTCTAAAAGTAGGTTCGTCTGATGAATGTTGAGTAATTTTTTTGCTCAAATTTCTTTATAGTTTGACTCAAAATCTTGTCTATTTTGCGCGATTCTTGCATGGATCTTATTTATTTTCATATTTTTTTGTATTTCTATCATGATCCATCCAGTGGGTTGTAGCTCAACTGAAATTTCAAGACAGGTTGCGTCATCAGTCCCACTATCCGACCTAGACTCTTGTATTCTGCTATTCGAGATAATGCTATTAGTTTTTAATTCGAAATTTTGCAGAGTGATCGTACGTGTGTCTTGAAACAGAATTCTTCGACTATAACTACTCCTAACAATATTTACTTCTCTTACTTGTTCTATTTTGACATTTCCTTGATCCGTTGTAACAAGCTCTTTATAACTTCCAAATGTCAATAAATGACACTAGACAATTTATTTTCATGTTGTATTCTAAAAAACAGCATTGTTTTCTAAATATTCATAAGTTGACAAGAATTTATAGGATGTTTTCATTCATAATATGACACAAATACAATGTCGTATCGTCTTTGTAATTGCTAATCTCAATAACAAATTCGTCTGGAAGTGCAGGTCATTTATAATTATGTTAAACAGAAAAGACCCAAAAACTCATCCTTGTGGCACTTCAATTTTTGATTCAGTGCATATACTAAAGGCCCATTCAACTTTAACCCGTTTATTTCCTAGGAGACAAAAAGCTATACATTTAAAGTAGGACATCGCTGTTGGATCTAGAGGCATGTTACTTTGCAATCAATAATTCATGATCAATACAATCGAAAGCTTTCAATGGATAAACCAACAGAGCACCGGCATATCTTCAATGGTATCCTACAGCTAACTACAAACCGCATGAGATCACATTAGGTACTAGACCATACTTTGCTCATACCTCTAGATTCTATGATCGAGCAAAATATTTTCGATATAGAAACCTTTAACCAGTCTGAACGTCCAACTACATTCCAAACAGGCTACATGTCCAACCATAAAATTTCGCTAAGAATTTCCTCAGGTCTTCGGGACCGCGAATTCAAATGACTAATTAAATATTGGGAAGGTGAAACCCTATTCTAACATTGAATATAAAAATATCTATATAACTTATTTTTACCATACGTGCATACATTTCTAAAGGGTACGTTTGTGATTTGACTTACTTTTGTCTTTTTAACAGCATTTGTAACTCAGCTGCCTTAATTTTTCATGCTAAGATACTCCTTTGATTTGAAAAAAAGGTTGTAAAAATATTTTGGTAAGTTTCCCAGTAGTTAAGATTTCCGAAGAAAACTCTGTCGAATCAAGACGCAGTGGCTGGGTTGTTGGAGGACTAAAGATTCTGTGAGGCATCAAATTTTTGGAAAGCTTTCTGAAATGTGCATGGAAATTGAAATAAATTGTACCACCATCCCCATCCCTTAGCTTGTCAATTGGTCTTTAATGGTCTTGAATTAAAAAATCCTGCTATACACATCAAAGCCTGTATAGAAATATGAATATGTAAATTAAACCTTCTGATGAATATATATGAATATGTAAATTGCTGCAAATTAGATGAATATATAATGAGAAATCATTAATTGATAGCACAAGGATTTCAAAACAGCGATTGATTTGTTCCCGCTACTTCATTGGATCCATACACAATCTTCTTCGTCGCACCAGCAATGGAATTGGATTGTATTCATCAATGATTCTCAGCATCATGAAGAAGTGGGCAGACTCGCCTTGGAAGAGAATGTGACGAAGGTGAACAAAACATGGGTTGTGCTTTGCGTTTGATGTAAGTTACTTTATGTTTAACTTTTCAAACCGGTTAAGAACAACAAAAGAGCCATTGCATATGTAGAATGCTTCATTTTTGCGAATGACTCTTACAGTTACGTCATCTAGCGTGTACTTAAAGGTGTATATCATGTTGACTTGATACCTAGTTCATCAAAACTCCTGGCCAAACGGGTAAAACATTTGAACAAATAATAATTCACCAATGTTGGATAAAACGTGTTATTTTTTTGGCCACCTTGATTTTGATTGTTTTATGATATTTTGCAAGATTTGATAACCATCAAACATTCCGTAAAGCATCTTGATAAGCAATGTTACTTTCGTTTGGCCAGCCTTTAAACATAACAATTGTTTTACTCACGTAATTCCAGTGTATTGAAATTACGTAAATAAAAGGCAGTAACTGCATTGGCCATCACAGATATTTTGATATCTGTTTGATTTATTTGGTCAGCCTTTAAGGAGCTTTATAAGATCTCTAAGGAACCCTAAAAACTTGTCAACCACCTCCTGTCTAAGCTAATATACAGTAGAGATTTTATATTTGCCCCTCATGCTGAGAGAGTTTTAATACCTTGAAACGAACAGATTTTAGAATGATTTCAATGCAAACAAGTTTCTTTATGGTTATCAAGAGAATTTTTCTAATCCGTGACACACAATCAGCTGAAGTGTTAATTTTAAAGACCTTTTTCAAAACAATCAGATTTCTGCTGCTCCTTTGGTTGCATGTGAGCCTGGGGTACATATTGAGGCTGCCTTGCAAGACGTATGGAAACTTCAGCGTTGAAAAATCAGGCTTTATGCTTGATGGACATGTGTTAGCATCATTGGAAGTATCGACTGTCGAATTATGCGAACAGCATTGCTTGTATCATCAAAGCTGCAGCTCAATTAACTGGAAGACACCAGCATCTGGGTCTGCTAATTGCCAGATCAATGAAAAATCAACAGAAAACTCGGATGACAACGTAAGGTTATCTCCTTCATCTGAATGGACCTACAAAACAACAGATTATAGAAACAGAAACGTAAGTTACTACAGTTTACTCTCGTATTCAAGCTACTATAGAAACATGTACACCACTTTTAGCAGCTTGTCAAGCAAGAGAAAATTATGCTTTGCTCATTCACCTAGGGTGCTTGTAAAACTAATAATGTGAAGTACCTTTCATTGATATTTTTGTTCATTATCGTTTCCCCATGAGCTTTCTCGTTGCTTTTGCCGTGTCCAATTTCTTGATACTAGCTTTTCCGCTTTGCAAATTTTTACCAATAAAGCATCTCTTTTCGCAAGCTGACCAATTATTGCATGCATTTATTGAAGCTGACTTTTACAGGCCAGTATGTGATAAAGCTTTTCTCCACAAGGTGGGTGAATTGTGTCGAGGCAGGAATCCTTGCCCTATCGGACATAGGTGTACAGATTCCTGCAGCTGTCCAGGATTCCAATGCCAACACGTAACAACAGGTATTTATTTTATTGAAATTAGAATAAGAATTAGGGCCAATTTCTTAGCCATTTTCGGTGGAACACATGATTTTTCTTATATTGGGTTATTCATAAAGAAGTTAGAATATTTTGTTAGGGGAAACGTGTATACCGATCGTTTTGTTGAGGTTAAGCTACGCCAGGATTCGACTATCGCTTATGTGAGTATAAAACTCGGATTTGTTTGAAGTGGGTGGCGTCTTAATTACAGCTTATCTTTGATTTCAATTATTGCCAGTCATGCTGGTCTGGTCTGCAGTATCTGAAAGTGCCAAATCATGGTACACTCTGAAGAGAATTGGATGACCACACCCTGCCATAAGACGACCACAAAAGTGCGTCACAAGGCAGACTTTATGAAACAAAGCAGATTAGTTGCGTGAAAACCCCAACTGATTGTTGTTATGTGATTTATTCTAAGTACTTTACCCTTTAATCACAATTCGAATGCTGCTATTGCTTTGCATATCATGGTATATTTCAAAGCAAAGTCTTCACCTGTAATTGTAATTACTGAAGAAAGATCTTTTAAAACTCTCCTCACTTCCGATAGACCAGAAAAGGCTTCAATCGAACAAACATAATAATTTCCTGTTCGTTTAACAAAAGCAAGAAGTTGCAAGGATCTTTACGCACTTGGCTTCAGAAAAAGTACGAGATATGACATCTATCGACCAGAAATTGGAATTTTCCCAGTCAGATGCGACATGGCAACCGACGGAGGAGGTTGGATTGTGTTCCAGCGTCGTGTTGATGCCAGTGTGGATTTCTTTCGAGATTGGGATGCCTACAAGCAAGGCTTTGGGGATATGGACGGAAACTTCTGGTTGGGGCTTGAAAAACTGCACAAGCTAGCCGCTCCAGGAAAGGGGGCCATTCTTCGGGTTGACTTAAAGCACATGGATTTTGCAGACAAAAAGTATGCAAAGTACAGCTTATTTGAGATTTCAGGAGAATCGGATGGGTATCGTCTGAAGGTGGGAGGCTACTCTGGAGATGCTGGTGATTCTCTGATTTACCATAACGACATGAAGTTTTCAACAAAGGACAAGGATCATGATAATCTACATAATGGCAATTGTGCACTAGCACATGCTGGTGCTTGGTGGTATAACCGTTGTTATTATTCAAATTTGAATGCTTTTCATCCTTTATCATCGAGCAGTAGGCATATAGCTAGTTATATTACCTGGAGAACGTATTTTGAGAACGCAGATTCTTTTGGTAGGGTGACATTTGTTGAGATGAAATTCAGATACAAATAAAGACCTCAGTGGTGCTTCAACCTTTTCTTTTCTCTTTATTTTATGATATGATTTGAAGGATTACTTTTATCAAAATATTAAACCACTTAAAAACTTTTGGATGAAATATGTATGCTTCTTGAATAATCAAATAGAGCACGATTTTTATGGTCAACACCATTGAAACATTTTGGCAGCATTATAGTACTTTTCGGGAAATTTCTTGAAGAATAAATATTGTTCCGGAATCTCTAATGATAAAGGTTTCTGCTAAAGTTTATAAGAATTATTTGAATTTTTCACTTTGATTTTTTCTCCATTAAAGATCAAGTTTCATAAAATATCTTAACAAACAGATTTCAAACTCCTCTCTTGTTTCGACAACAGCAGTGTTTTGCAATTATCGAGCACATGTAGGATTGTTTCCTATAGTGGCAGCAAAAGTTTCTGTAACTCCACAGCCTTTGCAGTTATTCCAGTCCATTCTTTTTTCCAAACAATGACTTTGTAATGTAAGAAGAAAGAAACTCGGATGGGTAGGCTGTCTGTGATTTCGTGGATTCTGTGAATGAGTGATAGGGTACAAGAAAATACTTTAGGTACCAAAATTTTCGGTGGGATTTATTATCGGTGAAGCAGGGCAACCGAAATTTTTTGGAACCAAAATTATTCAACACAATGAAAAGCTCATTTTACACCGGTGGACTTTCAAAAAATGAAAAATGCTGCTGATGTTGTTAGAGTACTACTCTACCTCCAATGCCTTTCAAGTTTCAGTTTTCGGTTCTCCTTTGTCGATATCCAGCTTCCTCTCTTTCTCCCTTTACATCCATAAAATGTGAGTTCGCTATGGGCTGAACGAATGCTCCTACCTACTAGCTCTTTATTATTTTTCTCAATTATTTTTTTCTCACGTTCCAGCCGGTTCAATTTGGACGCCTAAATTTTTAACTCACAATCGATCAGAATTTGTAATCCCCTCCTTGCGATTTGCGATCGTAATCATTGTGAGCTTACTGTAAATTCTTCCAATTAATTTTTCCCCATGGGTTATAGAAAGTGCCTCCTCTAAAAAAATGTTATGACATTCGTGCCTACTCTTAAGCTTTGAGGGGAGGTGCGGTAACTTGCAAACGTAATTTTGCCATTTTAATGTGACCCATATTTCCGCAAACATGCTTAAAACTATACACATACATAATTCTGCAAGGCAATAAACATTTCTCAAGCCACAAAAAAATCATCAAACAAAAATTCAGCCTTTTTCAGAAAAACGGTACCCTTAAATAATGGCACATTCCTTCCTCAACACCTATCTTAAGGTAGCAGTCTACCATGAAAATGGTCAGTTATGAAAATTTTGTCAAAATTCTTTTTTCCTTGGATATGATCAGGAAAATTACTGTAACTGTTGTAGTTTTTGCGAAAATTTGATTTATTTATCCCCTGGGTTGATCATCTTTCCTTAGCAACCAAGTTTCTATCGGTTGCTAGGGGGTCTGTTGACACCCATGGGACCCGTTTTTGAAAAAAAATTATATTACGTAATCTATGGTCTTCTACCCTATCCCAAAATGCATTTATACCACTTTAAAAAGCACAGGGAACGAATGAAGCATAGTTTCTGTTTGGCCTGGTCGACGAAAGTTGTTCGAAGAGTCCTTCTGTTTATGAAGCGAACTTATCCGACAATGAACGCCCTGAAAAGAGAGTTTTTAATCGAAAATTTAGGTTGGTAAAGCGAAGAAAAGAAAAAGATCTGCTGGAAGTAAAAAAAACTATGTATTCGAAGCAATGACAAGGATTTGGATTACTTAGGCCAAAGCGAAAAGGTGATGAAGATGTACTGCCTACCTCGTCTTCACAAGCAACAACGGATCAAAGCAAAGAATTAGAGGAACACAGTGCTTCACTTTATAAACTTATGAACTCTTTCTTTGGTTCAGAAGACCTTAGTCCCATAAAAAGACCAATTTCCGGATAAAAGAAACGAAGGATGCTGCTGCTGGCAATATTGACAGTGCTGACGATGGCTACAGCCTTATAGATCAGAAACTTTTGATGAATGCAATCAACAAAATTGCTGTTTGTCGTACATATAGGAATCCAAAGGCACAGTCAAGCCTGCTGCTTAGTTTGGCCTCTAGTTTAGCAATAAGTTTGGCCTTGCAGAGAAATATTATCTTGTATGTAGCCATTGTCATACAAGTTCACCACTTGAGACCAGTGAAAAGCTCAGTGGATCTAAGAGGGCAGACAAGAAAGGGGGACAGACCACATATGAAATAAACTGTAGATCAGTTGTTGCTTTACTAGAAACTGAATGTGCTGGGTTGGAGAGATCTTTTGACTTATGAGTCTTCCAAACACTGTCTCAAAGTCACCTTACAGCAAACATTTAAAAATCTTGAGGAAGTGGCAGTAAATGTATGTGAAAACATTATGAATGAAGCAGCTGCTAGGCTTATAGAGATCATTGAAAGAGAAGAGCATACAATGATTGAATTTGATAAACCATCCACTGGAATGAGTCCTTGCATGGTATGGTATGGGCATGATGTCCAAAAACCTGTCAGGTTTAGTGGTTAGAGATCAGTGATTTAGTGGAAAACGAAAAGTTACAATCGCTGTTTGCCATTCTGTTGGAAATTTCAATATTGGGCCATCATCAATTGCAGATGTTTTGAAGGCATTACAACTTAAATGTGGCCAAACAAACTTTAAATTATTTGAAAACTGTTGACAATAGAAGGCTGAAAGATGCTGCAAGGAAGGTTTCACAGAAATACAAAGATCGGAGAGAAAAATTACAAGCTGCCACCTTAAAAACATCACAGAAATACAAAGATCGGAGACAAAAATTACAAGCAATAAAGAAGCGAAGACTTGATGTAGCTAGGAATAGCTATTTATCTTTTGGTCTTTCTGCAGAGCCTGAAAACATTTCTAAAAAGGAAGTTGATGCAAGTCTAAAAAGGAAAAGAGGAAATAAGAAAGGAAAGAGAAAGAGACCTAGAAAGTCGACGGACCTGTCGAGTAATGAACATGAATATTTCAACCAGTTTGCACCCCCAGTTACCTTTATGATGCCTCTAAACATTATTATTGACTTCTTTTAACATTTTTGGTTGTATCTATGGGTACATTATGTGTGATACACAACCAAAATTTAGTCAAGTTGCAAAAGATAAGAAAAATTAGTTATTCAGTACATCTCAAAACTTCAAATGCACTTTTCTCAAATCTCAAATACGGACATCTATTAAGCTTGTGATTAAGATATCTTTGGCTCTGTATAAGATATGAAGATGAAATTTTCAAATAATATGTATCTTTTAATGCTCTATGCAATAAATACATTGATTTTTGATAGAAGAAATATTTCACAAAATATTTTAGAAAACTCAACTTTTCACAATAAAATATCTAGCTGACTTGGTATCATAAAACTGTGTGTTCATTGCATAGATTATGTAAGTAGAAACTTGTTGCTAAAAAATTTCCACCATAGCCTTTAGCATTTATGAGATATCATTTCCACAATTTGCAGAAGTTCGGCCTTTGTTTTTATGTTTCTATGGCAACGTCATTGCCCCACCCTTCCAGACATCTATTTTTGCTTTTTAAATCTTACATTGTTTATAACCTGAAAGTTTCAAGCTTCAAGCTCAAGCCATTATCAAGTTTTGGCCAGTTTTCCATATTGCTGCTTTCAAGGTAGACTGCCACCTTAAGGTACCCCCCTCCCCCGAGCACTTCAGTTCCATTATTGGGCTGACATCAAAATATTTAATTTTTGTAACTTTTATGATTGCATTGAAGATTATGTTATGTTGAGGATGGAAATAACTTACAGAAAGTGTTTCAAGCTCTCACTGAAATTTACACCAAAATATCAAAATTATGATCGAATTTTCTTCCACCGAAATTTTTGGCACCGGATATTTGGTACTTAATGTAGTCAGGAACAATGTAAAACGACGACAAAATTTCAATGTTGTAATAAAGCATTTTGAAATAAATTTGATGTATACTAATATTTCGTCCCGGCATACAGGGTTAGACTTCATAGGTCAGGAGTAAATGTAACGAATTTTTGTTGTTGTCGATTTTTCATTTGGTCTTAGTGAGTTTTGCTTTTACAGCACGCATCCGTGCTTTGAGTCCTGTCCAATGAAAATCCTTCGGAATCTGTATCTCGGAATTTTCCAGTCATAAATTTTTTGGGCCCGATAAACAATAGCTTATTTTGCCAAAAGGGGGCGTCTATTACTAATTTTTGGTTACCTGGTAGCAATTTCAAGTTCATAGGTTTAACAGACAAAATATTCCTCCAAATTATATCACCCTTCCGAAAACATTTTCCCGTCGAATTTTGACGAATTACAAAATCGATACCTCTGGGGAGTGGCGCGTCCATATAGGAGCAATGGTTTCTAAATGTACTGTATACTTCTGAATGGCGGGTTGGAATTTGTGTATAGATCTCTCTGTAAGTATTATCAATCGTTTTAAGAATCATAGCTTTGCACTATTCTTTTTATCGTGTATGATTTGGTTTCTACTTCCAATTTGAATACTGACTTGCGTGGGATCAGATGTGTCTATTAGAATATGTTTGGCATCCCCAAGCTGTGTGCCTTACAAAGGACAGTCAAAGCCAGGCTATAGCTTTTGCCAGTAAAGTCAATATTTTTCTTTGAAATCAGACTTATCTGTTTTTTAGGATTTATCAAGCTTTGGGATGATTCTAACGAACATCCAGCCTTTAATTAAAAGGTACGCTTGGATAATGTCAGCTGGACGGTGGCTTCTTTAGTTTGAATGAACAGCTCTTCATACGATGATGTGTCGTCACAATATGCTGATTCCAAGGCAATATTTTCTCCTATAAAAGCAGCCCAAAATCGAAACTTCTAATAGTTTGATCAAGAAATAGCTTTGGCAAGTTAATATATCTGTCCTTTTGCAGCAATTAACAGTCCCATACAAACTCTGTTGCCTAATATTAGTCCTAATTAGTGTGATCACTACTATCAGACCTAACAATAAATAAACTATTTTAATATCAAACACATGAATGCAAGTAAGTTTAGCCAAATCCTCCCGGAGCCCCTATTCATTACATTGTATACAAGACATATACATACATACAAAAGTGTATTTTGCAAAAGTAAGTTGACGTTTTGTACTCTGAAGAGTGTCAGTCGAAAGAGCTTTAATTATGCTGTAAAATATTTGATATCACTTATGTCTTTTTAACAGCATTTGTAACATTGCAGCCATTCTCCTTTCTAAACTGTTCCTTTGGTTTGTAAGACAGTTTCCAAAAATATTTTTGTAAGTTTCCTAGTAGTAAAGATTTCCGAACAGAACGCTATCGAATCAGTGCGCAGTGACTTGGTTGTAGTATCAGGTCCAATCAGGGCTATAGACGTCGTAATGCACCACCTTTGTGGGAAACTTTCAGTACCTGTGCATGAAAATTAAAGGAAAGCTTTATCTTGATGTACCAAAATTTCAAAATTAAAAAATCAAAGTTACGTGGCTAATCCTTTATTTAATTTATGATTTCCTTGAAAAAAGCAAAGTCACATGGTCTATCTTGGTCTCTGATGCTCCAAAGAATACTTTTTAAACTAAAGATGCCTAGCAATATATTTTTTTTAGTTATCTGAAAGAATCTGCTACTGGAGATATTCCAGTTTCAAACTCGTGGTAATTTAAGAAAGCAACAAGTGTAAACAGCTACGTTTGTAAATGAATTTAGCATTTGGTCTTCAATGGAATGAATTGGAACAATCCTGTTCTGAACACTAAGCCTATACATTAATATGAATCTGCTAAATGAACCATTGTAAACTAGTTGTCAGTACTGCAAGTGGCTAAATGTTTAATGGAATGTCATCAACATTTGGTTGCACACTGATTACGAAATAACGATTGTATTATTCAAGCTACTTCAATTGACCTATACGCAATATTATTTGGTGTACCAGCAAGAGAAATGGGTTGTGCACGTCATTAATTATCAGAGTCACGAAATAGTGAGGAAACTCGACTTGGAAGAGGCCTTGAATGAAGAACGGTCAAAACATGGAATGTGTTTTGCATTTGATGTAAGTAACCTTATGTACAACTTTTAAGAGAAGTTAAAAATAACAAAAAGGTATCGAAATATGCGATGAAAGATCTTCAAGTGCCCTTATTTGTAAATGTCACTACGTCATCCAGCCTGTAGTTAAAATTATATCGAGTGTTGATTACCTTGATCATTTAAGGAACTGTAAATAAGGCCTCTAAGGAACCCTTAGAACTTTGTAAAACCCTTCTCTCTAAGCTAATATATTATAAGCTATTTGTACGAGAGGTGTTTATTATTTCGTCTCATGTCTCATACTGAGAAAATTTAAGGCCTTGAAAAGAACAGATTGAAGAACACATTCAATACCAACACTTTTTTAAATTTATAAAGAATTTTGAGCTATTTCTGACAAGCGGAGTTGGATAATTCAAGACCTTTCTAAACACAAACAGAATTCTACGGCTGCTTTGGTTGCATGTGAGCCTGGGGTACATATTGAGGCTGCCTTGCAAGACGTATGGAAATTTCAGTGTTGAAGAACAAGGTTTCATGCTTGCTGGACACGTGATAGCATCATTAGAAGTATCGACTGTCGAATTATGCGAACAGCATTGCTTGTATCATCAGAGCTGCAGCTCAATTAACTGGAAGACACCAACATCTGGGTCTGCTAATTGCCAGATCAACGAGAAATCAACAGAAAATTCGAATGACAACGTAACGTTATCTCTTTCATCTGAATGGACCTACAAAACAACAGATTATACGGAAAGAAATGTATGTCACTTCCTTTCATTACCATATTAGACTACCATGGAACATTTTATGCACCTGTTATCGGTCCTTTCAGTAGTTTATAAAGCAAGATTCTAATTTTTTTCTCATTCCATAAGAATCTTCCAGTTCAACTGAAAATATGAAGTTCACTTCATTGCGCTAAATCCATGCTTTGTCCATCATAGTTACACTGTCAGCTTCCTCGTTTTCCCCGTTGCTCTGATTCATTTCTACTTTGCCAAGTTTTACCAATAAAGCAAATGGTTTTGCGAGCATGAATTGAAGTAGACCAGATTTCTTAATACGTTTTTACTGAACGATACAATTGTTACCTTTCTTTATTCAAGCATGGTACAATATATAGCTATACTAAAGCTAATTAAAACTAACAAATTTATATCACTGAGCTGGTCTTGCAAGAATTAATTGAAGTTCATCATTCATATCTGATTTTCGAATAACATTTTGCTACTTCGAAGTTTATTAGCCACTGCACAGACCAGTACTTCATAGAGTTTTTCTCCACAAGGTGGGTGAATTGTGTCGAGGCAGAAATCCTTGCCCTATCGGACACAGGTGCAAAGATTCTTGCAGCTGTCCAGGATTCCAATGCCAGAACGTAACAGCAGGTATTTATTCTTATTCTTATTAGAAGGACGTGTTTCGAATTTGTTAGTGCAACTTTCGTTGGAACATATCATTACTGTAATTGTGTTGCTCAAAAAGCGAGCCAATGTTTAAGAGTCTTAAAAAATATGAAGTTTGAAATTTGAAGTTTGAATACTATGATTATAGTTGGCGACAGCATGCTCTTTAATGTCAGCAAGAAAACACTGAGTAAGAGGTTATCCATACGGAGTTTTCCTGGCTCCACCTCATGATAGTATCTAACCTCGTTTCTTTACCTTTTTTTTATTATAAATGAGATCGTGATTATACATTTCCTTTGTAAATGGGTTTATTCACAGGGCCAGTTGTAAAGGCGATAGTAATTCATGAGTTGTAAACAAGGCTCTATGCATATGCACCTTTCATAAGAAGAACTCACTTTAAGACTATGTGGGTCGAACCTACAGTTGCTGTACATGTCGTTCTCATATTTTTAAAGCAGGATCGTAACTTACTTCTTATCTTTGGAGAAGAATGTGATGATTATTGAAGGAATGCTGAAGAAACATCTTTAAACAACCCCTCCTCTCACTAAAAAAATCATTGTTAAATCAAGCAAATTTAATTTCATTTTACTTTGAGCAGAAGCAAAAAGTTGCCAGTATTTGTACACTCTTGGCTTCAGAACAAGTACAAGATATGACATCTATCAACCACACATTGGAATTTTCCCAGTCAGATGCGACATGGCAACCAACGGAGGAGGTTGGATTGTGTTCCAGCGTCGTGTTGATGCCAGTGTAGATTTCTTTCGAGGTTGGGATGCCTACAAGCAAGGATTTGGGGATATGAACGGAAACTTCTGGTTGGGGCTTGAAAAACTGCACAAGCTAGTGGCTCCAGGAAAGGGGGCGATTCTTCGTGTCGACTTAAAGCACATTGATTTTGCAGAGAAGAAGTATGCTACGTACAGTCAATTTGAGATTTCAGGAGAATCAGATGGGTATCGTCTGAAGGTGGGAGGCTACTCTGGAGATGCTGGTGATTCACTGAATTACCATAACGACATGAAATTCTCGACAAAGGACAAGGATCAAGACACAGCAGCGGGTTCAAATTGTGCATTAGGATATACTGGGGCTTGGTGGTACAACAGTTGTTATAATTCAAATTTGAATGCACTTCATCCTTTATCAACGGGCAGTTTGCATACATCTAATTATATTACCTGGCATACGCTTGCGAATAATTTCGGTAAGGTGACATTCGCTGAGATGAAATTTAGATACAGATAAAAATCTCAGTAACAGTGCTTCAACTTCTTCTTTTCTTTTTGTTTTATTATCTTATTCGGATTATTGCCTTTATCGCAACATTTAAGCACTTTAAAACTTGAAACTGGAACATGTATGACTCCCGAAAAATCAAAGTAGAACACGATTTCTGACAGCATTATAGTTCTCTTCGGGAAAAATCTTGACGAATAGCCTTCACTAGGGAATCACTAATTATAGAGGTTTCTGTTACAGCTGATAGTAAGTCATTGAAATTTTCACTTTGACTTCTTTTTCTATTAATAAATACACTTGCTTAAATTCGAGTTTCATGAAATATCAAATTCAGATTTCAAATGCCTCTTTCGTTTCGGTAATAACCAACAATGTTTTGCAGATGGCTAGAAAATGTTGTAGGATTCTTTCCTATAGTAGCAAGCAGGAAAAGTTTTTGTAACTTCACAGCCATTGCAGGTATTCCAGTCCATTCTTTATTTCAAGCAATACATTTGTTAAGAAAGAAGGAAGAAACTGCGGATAGGCTGTCCGCCGCATTCTATGAATAAGAAATACGGTATAAGGTAGGGTCAGGAACAATGCCGGAGCAAAATGACGACGATAATCCAACGTTGTAGAATAGAATTTGGAAAAGGCTTTGAAAAAAGCAAACATTTTACAATATATTGGCTAAAAGCTTTTTCGTCTGACACTCCTCAGAGTATAAAACGTCAGAATAAGGGTCCGAAAGAACACGATAAAAAATATACACCCAGTTGTGGATCGAAATAGGCCAATCAGAAAAACGCAAGCACAAGACCGGTATAGTTGACCAATCAGTGCCGCATGCATAAAGAAAAATTACCACTTGAGTCCAAGAGAGATAATAAACTCCTTCTGTCTACACAATGGCCGATTTTTCGTTTGTTTGTAGATCGATGGTCAACTGTACTATACTATTGGTTAACTATACCAGGAATTACTATATTATTCATTTTTCCTTGCTGACAATTTCATGTAACATATGCTTGTTAAATCTTTTAATCGTTTATGCTAGCACTATCGTATCACTTGTGATTATTTAAAATATACTGATAATGAAATGTTGAAGTTAGAGTTGAAGTTCGTGTCAGAATGAGCATTATTGTTATGTTGTGCCCCTTTGTGTGTCCCGTAACGTGAACATATTAATTTTGGGATCCATTGCGGAGGCGCATTGAGTCGGTCTCTCTTCCCGGCGGAATTAGAAATGGCGGCCGTGCGAGCTTGTCAGCTCTTGAGATGTAGATTAGGAAGTAGCCTCTTCCAGGCTTCAAAGACATTAAAGTATTCGGGTATGTATGGTTATGTTGTTTTTAGTAGTTTTCAATCTAAATCGATTTATATTCAATATAAAGTGAATTACATAACCCTAATACGGGGACACAACACACACAAACCTTGTGTTGTTTGATTTCGCTTTGGATTCGTATTTTACGTTTAGACAACCGATACCAGGGTCAAAAATTGCAGAACTTGAGAAATAATGCAGCTAAAAATATATTTTATACTGTTTATTTCATCATCAATACAGCCAGGTTTTCGCATGTGCGATTTTCCAACAGGGCTGCCAACCCCACATTTTCCCGGAAAGAAACCATTTTGTGATTTCCTGTGTCTTTTTCATCTTTATATTTCAACCAAGTTTAGCATCATTTGACACTTAAAGAAACAATTAAAATTCTCAAGTAAGTCTTGGAAGAGGCAATATTACAGCAGACAAAATAAAAGGCCTAATGATTCATTAAATGAACAACACTGCCTCCCCCAACCACAGAAGTACCATGCCACCTTGAACAAATAGTGAAACTGCCACTTTTACCAAATATAGTGACACTGCAAAAGGTAAAATACTAACAGACATTGATTGTAGTATTGATATTTGCCATTTGCCAGGCTGGAAAACTTGCGTACCGTATTTCCTCTAATGAATGCCACCCACTGATAAGTGTACTTTCAGCCCACAATTTGTCATCATCTCATCTTAAAAGGTGGTGTTCATTGGATAACAGACCAAAAAATTAAAGTTTTTATGTTATTAAGACAAAGGACTCTGACCGAGGCAGAGGTATTGACATTACAGGACATTTCCATAACATGAACACATCTTTTATGAACTTGAAAACATTTTTCACCAGGGGCAGTCTGGCCTGGGGGGCAAATTGGCGAACGCTACCATTGTGATATCTCTGCATAATCACAAACCATTGAATGAATGCAAATGGTTGTGAACCAGCATTGATCATCATGAAGCAGTGTTAATCATCGTTAATCATTGTGAGTGATTGAGAATCATCATGAGTCATGATAAATCTGCGAAGGTCATTGTGAATTGGCTCAAATGATCATGAACACCATTTAGTGACAAGAATAAAAGAACAAAGGATAATAGAAAACAAATTCCTAAAAAACTTTCTTAATTAAACTGCCTATCAAATTGAGACAAACATAAAAAATGGCTTTTGTTTGAATGGACAGTGAAGTAGAACTGCTCCTAGAAGTCCTTAGAAGATTTGCTTCTAATTGTTTATATGAAAGAATGAAAGAGGGGATGTAAGTCAAAAAATGCCCCTTTATTTGAACAAGGTTTTTTAAGGTAAAAGAGGCAGAATGAACAAGGTTTATGTTGTAATGTATTAGATGGAGTTCATTTGTTTTTTTGCATGGCTTGTATTGGCAAATACTTTTGCATGTACATCATGCGTAAATCCAAAGGCTCTTCCTCACTAAAATTTATTAAAAAAGAATTGCAAGCTGATTTTAATAAAGCATTTAATCTCTGATTTTTCAAAATTTTGTCTTGATTTTGAAAAATTTACTGCAACAGACGAACCATGAAACAGAACGGAGGAACGGATAGAACAATCTGCATTCCTTGTGAAGTCAAAGGTAATCAGTGATTACAGGATATCCATAGTAGTGGTAACAGGATATCCATAGTAGTGGTAACAGGATATCCATAGTAGCAAACCTATATGAAAGTTTGCCAGGCAATTTTTAATTATAAGTACATCATGTTTTGTAAAAAAATTCTCAAGGTCAAAAAAAGGTAAGAAGTATTAAACTGGGTACTCCATGTTTGAAGCTAGTGCTAATGGCAATGTTAGAGAGAATAATAACAGGGAAAATTAAGAAAAAGCATGGTATAATCCTAGGATTCACAGCACTGGATATGATATTTCTTCTAGGGCTGGGTTTGGTCTTAATGAATTTTTACCCAAATGACTATGTAAAGGGCTTCTGATAAATTATACATCAAGCAGTTTTGGAACACTAACAACAGTTTTTATAGGCAAATTCGGCCACTCCCTTTCCCCATAGAACAATGTTGTTTCTTATAAAATGACCTAGGAGATAAGGAATTAAGCTTTTTGTTATTACATCCATGTACTCAACATGCCCTTGTGTCTCAATACTCTTTCTGCCTGCCTTATGTCTTGCTGATCAGACATTTAGGCTTTGTGCGTTTCTGTGAAAAATAAACAGTATATTTCATATGCATGGTCAGGTAAGGGTACCCTTTGGTCCCATTTCTGTTGCTTTTCTAAATTCAATTTGTTTAACATATTTTAAAAATTGTATAAAGAGTCTGTCAGTTTCCTAAAGGTATGTCATCTTTTAGGTAATGTAAGGTGGTCATGCTGTTCCAGTCTGGTCAAGACATGCAGTAGAAGAATATCAACATCATCACTTATTCTTGCTAGTGATCACACAGAAGAGGAAGTTAAAGAACCATCAACATGGTTTTCAAATCTTCTTGGTTACACTGAAGATGAGAGTCAAAAACAGGTAATTATCTTTGAGTGCAAAAAAAATGGGGGGCTTATAATTAAGCAGTAGGTGGGAAATGTTTTCTGAAACTAATTTGGGTCAAAGCAAACAGGCTATTGAGCGAAAGGACCAGAATTAATGGGGGAATCAAAACATTTTCAAAGCAATGGTAAATTTGCAGGCAGGGATCCGCCAGTTGGAATATATGCAGGGTTTATACTAAGAATGCCTTTGGGAAGTGAAATTTATGCAAAAAATTGCTTTAATGCGAAATTAAATACCTTGCTTTTTTATTTATGGTTTTTGTGGCATACAAGATCTGGAAACTGAGGGATGGAAGCTTTTCCACAAATTAATAATTGGGGGTAGGTTTGTTATCAGGCCTTGCTCTAAGTAAAATGAAGGTGCTCCATAAAAAGAGCCCCTTAGAAACTCTAGGCGCTCTATTTCGCACCTCTAAGTAAATTTCCTTGAGAGCATCCTTCGAGAGCTTTAGGAGATCGAGAGCTTCATATCAAAAGCTTCGGAAGAATGTTAAATATGAAATTCAACGGTGATACCAGAAAGCACCATAATATGAAATAATAAAACATGCAACAAACACTATGTTAATATAAATATAGAAATATAATAGAACAAAGTCGCAAAGTTGTTCAGATTTTTCTAGATATGTAAGTTGCTATCATTCGATGAGCTTTTATTAGTGTCAGTATCACTACTGTTATGTTCAGCTTCACATATTGCTTCATCAAAACGCATGGCTTTAAATCGAACATTTAACTTTGTTTCCTTTTTTCATGTTATCTATTCTATAAGAAACGCTAGAACATCTACTACTCGCAAAAGCAAATGAAAAGCAATGCGATAATTTGGACGGAAATGTGATCGCTGATTTGCACAGGCGATTTTAAGTTATTAAGAAAAACAGAAAATAATATATACTTCAATAGAAGATTAACGCTTGCTCGAAAGTCAAATAAATCTGCCGGAGAATACGCTTGATGGCCTGTGTCCTTGATGGTTATTAGAGGGTTATTAGATTGAAAATGATATCGAAAACCCAACGTTGAATTTGCTGAATTTTTTCTCAAGAGGTAATCTTACGCAAATCATAATTTTGCGGTTTGTTGGGAAGATTGTTTATGCTTGATCAAGTTGATTCAACAAATTCCAAAAATTTATTTTGCTCCGTGTTAATATTGTTTTTACGTTTTGAGGGGCTCTATAAATCGCTCTCCAAGGCTTTTTTTGGGTGCGCTCTAGGCGCGCGCGCTCGATCGAGCGCCTTTCCGGGCAAGGCCTGAGAGTTTAATGTTACATAAAGATCTCATCAAAGAAGCTTTAAGGATATAATAAGCAAACAATCTTTTCGTGATACAAAACTTAAAAATGGCTTTGAAAAAAGCAAACATTTGAGTATACTAAAACTTTTCATCTGACACTCTCCATAGTATAAAACACCAAAACATAGATCAAAAACTCTACGCTAGAAAATATATATACCCAGTTGTGGATAAAAAAAGCAAACAGAATGGGATCACATGACTGTTGAAGTTGCCAAATCAGTGTCACTTGCCTATTGAGAATGAGCTTTACCATTTCAGTCCTAAGGAGAAATTGAACTCCTTTTGTCTACACAATAGTCGTTTTTTGTGCTTATGTAGATAGATTCCAAAACTTCCAGATGGCTCGATGATTGGGGTTTACCAATAATCCTAAACATGTTGCCATTATAGTTTTTTGCACAATCTGGGTTTTCCTGTAAATGCTGCCTGATAGCAGAATCACATGTTTCAGTTATTATAATAGGATTATAATAAGATTTTATATGCAGGTGTGGGTGATAAGATAAGAGAACAAAATTGGTTCAAAGCATTATTTCTACGAACAGATTTCAACTCTTTAAAGAGAATGGCGACTGGAACAATATTTAAATATCTGTTTTACTGACCTTTCAAAGAACATGGTTGTAGTAATTTTCCCCTAAATTCCACCTTCAAAGTGTTTTAATAATCACAGACATCTGTAGTGAACCAGTTCAGCTGCAATGTAAAGTAAGGTGCAAACGAGAATAGTATCATCTTGATTTTAATATTCTGATTTTTTTCCATTACTTGCAGGAATAGTTGTTGTTTTTCTTATAAATTATCACTTGTTTCATTTAGAGTTAACAAAACAGATCACATAAACTTAACCAATTTACTATCAAACTCTTTTTGAATGTAAAGACACGATTAATAAGTTTCTTGAATATGAAGGCAGTCCAAATGTCTTTAGCCCAAAGTTAGTCCAAAATTTTGGAACACCTATAGAGCCCCACTTCAGTGTGCACCCCTGCTGGCAGTGCCAATCCAGAAACATGGCTAGCTAAAGGATCCTAATCTTGTATTTTTTTGTCTGTAGGTGATAGATCCTGAAGAAGTGAAAGAAAGAGAAGCTCTTTTTGGAGAGGTATCTTGCACTATGCATCTACGACATTTTCTTGTTCTGCAGTGTCATAAATGATACTAGCAGTCACTAGTGAACAAAATTTCCAAAGAACGTGTGCTGATAGATAATAATTAATTCTGAAACTTTTAGTGTGATAGGAAGAAGATTGAATAGATGTTGTAGGTTTATGGCTTATTTCAAGGCCGGTTTTTACCATATAAGACAGCATGCATATCTGCAGACCCAAATTCTGCTTTTAAAAGGGTATTGCCCTTCTGTTTATTGACAATTGACCAAGATTGAGCCATAAAGTCGTGGAAAAATTGATATTAATGCTTATGAAAGATACCTTCTAAGACCCTTGTAATTTAAGGATTTATATCAAAACTTTTTATCCCCTATTAGATTCAAATTAGAAATGCTTTATATATCATTGCATTGTTTTTAGCATTTTCCAGACATTTTAAGTATATTCTATTTGATTTGGCTTACCTGAACAAATGAGACAAAGGATTCACAGCACACCTGCCAAAATATATTTCACCAGGACTGCATAGCACACAAATCGAAGTTTCTAAATATTTGGGACCTGTAACAGCATTGAATTGCTTTTCTTATGTTGTTCTCTTTTAGATTGCTGATATGTATTTTGCAAAACCAAGGCAGTATCCAGACATAAAATTTATTGAAAAAGTAGTCGATTTTCTCATAAAACACAATGATGAGTAAGTAACTTTAAATAATTGAATATGAATATCTCAATTTAATGTTTTGCTCTAGTTAAAGAAAGACACCAATGTGTAATGTTTTCACAGTGTTTGAAGTGAAGTTTTGCACCATTTCGAATAGAATACTTAATGTTAGTTATTTTGATAGCTTGATATATGTAACATTCTTACAAAAGTATCATTCAAGTTCTTTGTAGCATTTTCATAAGTATATGTCATATGAAAATGATGGACCTGTTGCACTATCCCTGTTCCAGATTAGATGATAGATGTTATTATTGGTACCACTAATTTATCTGTTGTCATTTATTTGAATTTGAGATTATGCTTATTTCCCTGTTTATTGTCCATTTTAGCCATGGAGTCAAAACTGTTTGGGTTATTATGCAAGACATGAAATTAGAACCCCCAGAAGAACTGATTGTTAAAGTGAGTTTGGCTTGACAGCTTTTATGTTGTTTTGAAAAGTTAAATGTAGACTGAAAAGCCAGGAAATGCAAATTGTTGCTGATCATTTTACGTTTATATCTCTTTTATAAGATACCATGTACCAATGCTCCCTGCACTTTATCCTGTGGTTTACAATTTTATTGATCTATACATTACTATATGTTACACCAGGGGTAGACACTTGGTCAAATATTGGGGGGCAAACCTATTGTTTCAATAAGATGGCATCACATTTCCCATTGTCTTAGAACAAAAGATCATTGTTCTCCAAAGTATTGGGGGATGACTGCCCCCTCACCCCCCAAGGTGTCTGCATCTGTGTTACACTTTATCATATACTGCATATGATGATGTGAATATTCTTGTTGCAGATGGAAAGCTTTTTAGCCAAAGCTAGAGAAGAAGCTTGGTTCAAGTAAGATCCACATCAAGGAAACAGGAGAGAGACAAATTCTGTGCTAGTCAAAATCATCCAGTCAAATGCATTGTTTATCTGAAATTCATTTGGTAACTAAATTTCCTCATTGTGTGTGTAAGATTGCTTAGGACCCTGTCACAAATTGTATGTTCATAGCTTATGTTAATTCCAGTGAATTTATTCCAAAAATAATTTTCATTTTGTTGTCTCTATTTGGTTTCTCACACCTACCTGATAATTTTTTGCTGAAACTTTGAAATGTTTGCTATAGGGACAGTTTATGTAATTACCAGGCCATAAAAGAGACCTTCATGTTTAATATATGCTATTTCTTTTACTTCTATCCATTCAATTTCACTGATCAAACACAGGGCTATGAATATATGCTATATTTGAATTTTATGATCTATGATAGTATATATAATTGCAAAGCCTTTTTTCTAAAAGTAATTATGCCAAAAGGTACAACAGAACAACTGACTCAAAAAGTCTTTCCAAATCAAGATTAATTTAAACTTGGGTGATAACTGATTTAGTCCCGGAGGGCTACTTAGTATATTTTGCTGACTGGATGTGCACGTCTTTCCGGGTATCATTTTCAGCAATTTATTCTAAGGCCGGGTATCTGTTCAAAAGATATAATCTAAAGCCAGTCCAGTTGCCTGATTTTTGTTTTTTTTTCTATTCAAAAATAACAGCAAAGAAGCTGCCCGCCCATTGTTTTTGTGGTGTCCTGGCAACAATGGCAACTGGCACCAAAGCTTTTGTTTTCCTTTGTTCTTTTTTCCAGAAATTCTAAAGCCGGGTGTCATTTTTACCTTTTTTTTTCTGTAGCCGGTTCACCAAAACAATCTTAGGAGTGCACACCCCCGTCGTTTTGATATCCAAGTACCCCCCCGGGGGATTTAGTCCAAATATATCTGTTTGTTGTATATCTGTTTTTTTTGTTTTAAAGCCTGCCCCCCTCAGGTATGGTTCTTGCTCGAGTTTGCAAGATAGTAGAGCTCCAAGGAAAGAGCCTTGTCGAACCCCAACTTCTATAGGCTGAATTTCTTGGCTATCCACGTATTGTCTACAGTGCTAGGAGAGCCCTTCCATTTATTGAAAAGGATTACGTTCCTACCAGCAAAACAGTACCGTCGTTTATGAGTTTACTTGCCATGTTTTTCTGGCTATGTGGTACGCACAACCCAAAGAACGAATCGATTTACATTCAAACAAAAAAGCATCTGTTGTGTAGACAAATGGAATTCGTATTATATCTCAGAATCTACTGGTGACTTACCTCGATCCACAGCTGGGTATATATTTTCAATCTTGTGCTGTCCGGTCCTTATTCTGACGCGTTCTTCTCTATGGAGTATCAGAGTAAAAAGCTTTTGGTATATTGTGAAATGTTTGCTTTTTCAAAGCTCTTTTCATGTTTCAAAACTTTTAGGAGGTCTTCCACACAGATTGCAACCTTTGGGTTGCACTGAACGAAAACTGTGAACCCAGAAAAGGTGCAAGAATGAATGCAGCATGGCCTAATAAACGGAGAAAACAGTCTGATATATAATAACAAGGAGCAGTATCAACTTTATAAGGCGATTGTTAGACGGGGAACAATCGTCTTATAATTATTGTGAAGCTATAGCCCCAAGGGCATGGATCTGAAAAATAAATTTTCAATTTCTTTCCAACTTTATCGACATCCCGGCCAATTTACCCTTTTATCTAACGTTTTTGCAGCCCAACCAGAAATTTTTCCCCATTCGGTGACCAACCAGTGAGAAAAGCATGCTAGGTGTCACCACAATACGTAACAGATTCCGTCAGAGACGCCCGACACGGTCCTGGTTTTTGAACTACTTCCATTTACATTTCCATTTTCCAAAATCAAAATTGAATACCCTACTGCGTCTGCAGGATAGTCTAACTTGGTTGGCCGCTGAACAACTAATCAAATTTGATCGGTCAGTAATGATATGTAAAAACAGGCCTTCTCATACTAAAGGGTTTAAAGTTATAATGCTTTGACGGTTATTGTATCTTTTTGCAAGTCCAAGAAATTCATGTCCGCGTTTTATCAAAACGCAAAAACATGGATCTTTATTCAGTTTTGGTAAGGTAGTATAGGGACAAAAAGAATTTATTTTCCAGCAGTCAACCCGCCTCTTTCCGAATACGAGACTAAACATGGCGATTATTGCACATGGAAGCCCTAGAACAGCAACAGGACTGGAATTATTGTAAAAATTTGTGAACAGTTGTCGTGCTTTCAAAAAATGAAGTTAAGCTACAAGGTTAGTGTGCTTCTTACCATTATTTGACCATTTACAATGAGATTTTAGGCTCATAATCAACAATTGTTTCGAGTATTCGTCGTAACTCGTAAAAGTAAGGCAGTTTTCTTTCAACTGAAAACTCTATTAAAAAAACCTAGAACGCATTGATTTTGACTCAGTCAAACAGAAATAAAGGTGTGTAAAAAGATTTTTCATAACAATCGCAGTGACCTATTTGATGAATTGTTTGTTATAGTCTTCTGTTTTTGGACTAGTTCACTGAAATGTCATAATAAAGCCTTGAAGGTGTTAACTTTTGCAGGGCCTCCTACGAAGACTTTTTTAGAAAACAGTAGAGCCTTTTGCAAAACCTTTGTTATGGTTGTTATATCTTCCCTTGGCCCCCATCTCCCACTTTCCAACCTTCTTTGGAGCCCATGTTTTTGACACATCTCTCCTCAATTTTCTCAATTTTCAGCATCATAAAAAATGCATGTTTGCCAATGTCTGTTTTGCCAATAACAATAGTGGTACGCCAAGAAATAGTGTATACCAGGAATAAGAAGACCAAATTAGTGGTCAAAATTTTCAAAAAGTTTGTCATATCGTGGAAAATAGTATGAAGGGACCTACAATTAGGTTTGTAATAACAAGAGTTTGCTATATATGGAATTTGTTATACTATAAGAATTTATATAGAGTTAGGCAGAATCCAGGGGGTCAGACATTTTTCGTCATACCGGAAAAATTAGTTATAATCGTATGCGAGTTTCATAATATGAGATTCCACTGAAGATTATTCCTATGATTATTTCAAAACTTTTTTTAATCTGCAATCCTGACAAGGTGTTAAGTTTTTTTATAGTGGCATGAAGTAAAAGTACCAAGCAAAGATAAACATTTAAACCTGTCTCAAAAACCAACAAAACCAATCACTAAGAATCTTCCTCTCATAACAAAAGAAGGTGTGATATTTTGCACTCCTGGAAAGCAGTAGGCATGCACCAGGGCGTGCATAAGTGATCACGCACCTTTCTGACAAACACCTGTTAATATAGTCTTTATTTGTTCCTGAATTATTAGGTTGTAGGTTAAAGAGATTTAAGGGAAAACAAATGATGAAATATTTTCTGTAGAAACTATTGGTGCAGTCATTGTTTATTTGATAACATTAGCCAAAGTCTTTTATACCCTATTATAAAAGATATTACGCCGTAAATCCTTGGAAAAGCCCCCCCCCCTCGAATAAGCCCCTCAAACTACAAATTGTCAATAAGGCCCCCCTCAAATAAGCCCCCACTGCTACTGTTAATTCTCGAATTGGACCCCTCAATTTCATGATTTTTGTCATCTGAGGTCACCTTTGGCATTTCATTGAATTTTGAAAATGATTAATTTAATGCTTATACAAAAATTCCTCCTAAAATAAACAAGGTCTTTTAATAATGTCCTCTCAATGTCTACAGCAGTTTTATAAATCCCCCCCTCGTATAATGCTTACAATGTTCTTCTTGTAAAGAGAGTGTAACTTGAATTAAATCAATTTTAAATTTATTGATTCATTTGTGCTTTCCTTTCTAGTTTTCAAATCTTCTTGGGACAGTTTATAAAAAGGGAAACATCATCTTTTCAAAATCTGGTGACTGTTTACTTAGTCCTGTTGGAAACAGGATAACTATATTTGATTTGAAAAAGTAAGTATTAAGTGAGCATTTTATCTAAAAACTGATACATCATGATGTCACATATGTTAATCAAATAATCAATTCTATTAATTTGGCCAATTTTGACACTCTAGCTGGGTGTGAAGGGAGACGTAGGCCTATGATGTGATTTTTTCTTCAGTTGCTCAGCATTTATTTGAAATGAAGACCAGTTGTGGTCACCCATTTTCGTTCTGGTAATGTGTTACATGTAAGGTAGAAGAAAACAATGTTAGCTTAAGGATTAGTTGTCTACAAAGACTTTGTATGCATTAGTTGTCTTCAAAGACTTCCTTAGAAATAGAGCATTTCTTAAGCAGACTAGACAGAACAGAATCTAAGGAAAACAAGTGTAGGACAGTTTGATTATCCCTTAATTCTTCAAATGTTAGAAGAAGGAAAAGCAATGCCATGAAACACAATTGTATTTTTGATGTCAATTTAAATTGTAGGAGACTATTCCAGTATTGTGATATTTCCAGAGGCTTGATATTATCCACATTCTGAAGTGCTCGATTTAGGTAAATTACTTACTTCATGACATTGTGCCAATTTGCTTTAGCAATAAATCAAGGACATTGGCATTGGAGAGCAGAAAGGATATTGCATGCATTTGTTTGTCACCAGATAATTCTGTGTTACTTGCAGTTGATGAGGGTAAGCAATTTAAACCTTCTTTTTCATGCATTTCTTTGTTCTTGAATATATCATGCAAAATGTTGAAATAATGTTGAAAATAATGTTGAGTGATACACTTAATTCATTTATTGAATGATTGAAATCCAAATACACTACCTGGTCTACTAAAGTAGTACAATAACACAGGCCTGGCCGTTTGAGGCGAGCGATAGCTCGCGCTCGCCTCCACGCTCCCCTCGCAACCTAAGGCGAGCTATGAATTGCTCTCCTAAACAGAACATGAAGGGAGAATCGCTCCCCTAAAATTTCCATTCATTTGCCTTTTTTCTATGCAGAGAACCCTGAAAACGTACAAGGGTTAATTGGTTTATTTTTGTAACAGCGATTTCTCCCGTCATTGCATTTTTTTGCAATTAACTTTTTGCTTGTTGGGCGGTTTTTGTTATGATAGGCATAAACTTCGATCTATTTGGAAAAGGATATTTAACCGAAAGGTACGTTTGTAGTAATTAGAACCTTTCAATCTTAAGAAAACAGGAATATTTTTGGAAGGAATGTCGAAGAAATTGGTAGGAATTGTAGATTGGGGATATAATAAGACAGCAGGTCCCTTCTAGCAATAGAAACAAAACTATCCCTCAAAGAGAACAAGGTACTCTGTTTTGCGAATCAAAAACGACAACCAAAACATGGAATTCCACTATCCAGCAGCATTTACTGAAAAACCCAGATTGGGTGAAAAACTATAACGGCGACATGTTTCGCATTATTGGCAAAGCCTGATCATCGTTCCATCTAGCAGTTTGTGAATCTATCTACTATATAAACATGGCCGACTGCTTTTGAGTAGACATAAGTAAGTTCGTTTTCACCTTAGGACTCCGTTGGTAACATTTCCAATAGGAAAGCGGCACTTATTGGAAAACCTCAACAGTCATGTCCTCGCGTTTTCTGATGGCCTATTTCGATTTAAAACTGGGTATTTTAGCGTAGAGTTTTCCATCTATGTTCTGATGTTTTATTCTCTGAAGAGTGCTAGACGTATAATTAAGTTTGTTTCAAAATTTGTTTTTTAAACCCCTTTTCATTTGTGTTGTGCCAGTTTTACATAAAACTGAAAGAGCCTGCTCTTTTAAATACTTCAAGTAAAAGGGGTGCCAAAGTCACGGTTAAAGCAAATACAAATTGAAAGAAGTAAAACAGCATACTCCTTGACTTCAAGACTGTTTAAAGGCAACTGATAGATACTAAAGGGGCTTATTAAGTCATCTGTCGATTGTCTTTAAAGTACATTCTATGTGTTACTGATTTAGCTCGCCTCAGCAAATGAGGGGAGCGATTCACAGCTCACCTATCAAAATACAAACGGCCAGGCCTGATAACACCCAAGTTATAATTGGTTTGCAGACTTATAATTATTGGGCAAATATATATTAAATTTGATATTCTAAATTTGAGTTCCAATTCTTGGAAGTTTATTGACGATTTCGAAATGTTTAGACTTCCATAATCCTTTTGAAATGACAAAAACAAGATAAACGAATGATAAAGAGCAATTTGTGTTTTTTTTTCTAATTTTGATGAAATTGAGTAGAAACGAGGTCTTTTCACAAGAGAAATTTCAATTTTTTTGAAAATGGTAACAAAGCAATGAGAGTGTGGAGATAAATGGTTGATGAGGCCATTGAAGGACAAAATCAGGGCTCTTTGAGAGAGTTTATTGATAATTGAGGAGAATATCAGTGCTTTTAAACAAGAAATTTTATTATCATTTGAAGGTGACTTTCAAAGTTATCAGAGTACAAAAGGCTAATCCACAAGATGCTATTTTGAATTAAAATTTTATAACAGGGAAAATTTAATGGAAAAGTAATATCCCAAGTTCCGGCGTCATTGAATCTTCTAATGTTACTCATATTTCATTGTTTTCTTAAGCAATAACTTGATCAGACAATAATTAGCATAATTGATCCAGCATTTATGAACTTGGCAAATTTTGACATACTTTTTTCCTGGTTGTGTACATATTAAAGAAAAATTCAACACGTTTTACAGAAAAATGTAATGTTTTGTTGAATTACAAAGAATTACAAAGCTCTTTTGATTTTTTAGATGGAAAAAGTATAGTTTTCAGTTTGAAGAATGATACACCACTACATTACTTCAGTTTCAAGCACCCGGTGAAAAGTATTGAGTATAGTCCCAATGGAAGGTAATTTTGCAGATAAATGGTTGTGAATCTTGAATTACAATTTGAAACAATTGTCCTGTTAGTCAAAATGGACAGGGAGAATATCTTTATTATCTTCCATGCATAATGCTAAACCAGCATTGCCATAGCTCAAGTCAGCTCAACTATCTTAAATATTTGCTTTCAGAAAGTCAAAAATTCCTTATCCATGATTGAATGTAAATTTTTATAGTGGTGCCACACAAAGGAACTGGCTTCATATAGCTTTTGCTTTGCATTCACTTTGTTTCAATGTTGTTTCTTGACATCTTTGTTTTAATGCATCTAGGGCTGTACCATAGGAAAGAACAAATCAATTGATGAGCCATAACATCTTGTTATTTTATCCTTAAGAGGCCACCAAAACGAATATAGCAGCCTTTTAATTCAATTTTTTCTTGGATGGCTTGCCTTTAAAACCATCTTATGGAGTTCACCTTCTGTAAAAATCTGTATGCCCCTTGCACATCCTCCCATTTGATTTAGGTATGCTTCTATGCTGTGTAAAACAACAGAGTCTTTTTTTGATTGTATCTTTTTGTTAATTTTGATATTGACAAGGCCACTCTATACCATCGAAAATGAAACCCGTAGCTTTTTTATTTGTTTAAAGCTAGCTAGCTTGATACTTTTTATGCTACATCCCTAGATTTTTGGCTGTCACAGTTGACCGTAAGGTCCAGGTGTGGCATGCACCTGGTGCTGGCAAAGAATTTGCAGCATTCACGATCCTTCATACGCATACCGGATTTTATAGCAATACAACTTGCATCGATTGGTCTGATGATTCACGGTAAGTTTATTTTTGTCATATCTTCTTGTTATTGATTGGTAAATATTCTGTGAGTATTTCTGCATGGGTATCAGTAACATTGTTCAAGTCATTAAGATTCTCTCAAGCAAAGATGCTGTTTCAGACAAATCTTCCAAACTGCCTATATTAGAGAATACATCTTTTTGGCGTAAAGTTTATAATAAATGCATTTTTGAACACTTCGTAGTTTTAAAATGATCCAGTACGCTTTAACCTGGTTAAAACCTTAAAGAAAACTAACTATGCATGGTATTATTCATTTGCAAAGAAGATTGCTTCTGAATTGCATGAAATTACATGGGAACATATGCATGGCTTCTATAGAAAGTTATGCAGCTGTTTTGTTGGTCAGTGACACGGACTTCAACGCCAATGATTTCTAATTACTCGCATTCCCTAACCAGAGTTCTGCGAAATGCACTAAATCAGCTTCTTTTTGTGATATTATCATAACGATGGTTTGCTTTTGAAACTCTAACATTAACTTAAAAATTTGAACTAAGTGATCATCAATAAACAATAAACAATAGCCCAATAAACAACGAAAAATTTAATTTTGCATGTAATTAGCAGTGTATTAATTTATTTTCGACAATTTGGTGTCATGCTTTGTGTGACTGTTGTAGCATTAAATTTGATCATCAACAGAGCTCATTGCCTCATTTAATTTTTAACCAATCATTTGAGATAAGTATTTGTTTTCACACACTGCAAATTAAGTCTTCACATCAACGGGCCGGTTATCCTTTGAAAATCGGTGCTTATAATTAGGTTTGATCAAAAACTCATCACTCTTTCGTTGATTTTAGCCGGATCGAAGGGTCATTCAACGCCCTAATCTCGACCTGAGTTCGTTTTAATCTAGTGAAAACAGTCAGCTATTGAATGAGAAATTCACTTGATGCGTTAATTCTCGTTAAAGTTTAAGTTCATTTTTGCTACTGATAAAGCGAATATTCTCAACATCTAGCAGCGACTAGCATCTCTTTCTAGAATTGACAGTGTCGTTTAGCAGATAGGACACTGACAGGTACCTGGGTGCCACTTGAAAATGGGGAACCGCCCGAAATAAATACCTGGAAAATCTTTTTTTCTTAGAAGGGCGCTTTTGTTTAGTTATTTTTGTTAATAGTCTTATCCTTATCACAAATATAATTTTCAATTCCTCCCTTCGGTTTTCCATTTTCTAGAGCTTATAGACACTTAGGCCCCGTTTACACGAAAGAAAAAGTAACGGATTTGAAAGATCCGGACCTTTTGGTACGATAAAGGTACCATCGACAAGCGTTTACACGAGATTGGATCCTAAACTATATAGCGTTTACACGGGAACGGACCAAAATCGAATCTCTCTTTTAAAGCATGCGTAATAAGGTAATTTTTAATTTTTATTTTGGCGGGAGGACATCGAGGACCATAAACATGACGAAAACAAGGTTCAGAAAGGCTGTCGACTGTGGAAAAAAGAATGAGGGTGGGAAAGTAGTTTCTATGTTGTATGATCAGTGGTATAAAATCCGGATAGGATCACCAGCTGTCAACCAATTTCAGGCGGAGTTGAAATTTCGTTTGTTCTTCAACTTTTGGTAAAGTTTCTGTTGTGGTTTATGGAGTACAATTGAAATGGCCTCCATTAACCCCAGCAACAGTCTCGTTTTACTGCCGTGCCTTTGTGGATCCGTATCTTCCCGTTGAAGGTACGGGTCCAAATGAATTTGCGTTCGAATCGTACCCAAAAAGGTACGGATCTCTCCTAACAAGATACGACGGATCCTACCGTGCCCGTGTAAAAGCAAGGCCTATCCTAGCCAGTTTGGGTACGAATCTATGCGGATCCGTTCCCGTGTAAACGGGGCCTTAATCTTTCGACCAGTTCTTTCTGCATTCTTCCTAAACACTCTGGCATGACAATATTGATCTTCAATGAATGGATCTCCAAACCAACGATCTTGGAGGGTCGAAATTAGTAACGTTAGTAACGAATGGATCTCCAAACCAACGAACTTGGAGGGTCGAAAATTATTTTTGGGGCTAAAGCTCCCGTAGCCAGTTTATTAAAAAAGGGACTTGCCTTTAATTGATCAAATGTTTTAGGAATTACTTTTCAACTGCGCCGTCTCGAAATCGACATCTGGAAATAAGGCTTAAGAGAAACGCAAAGAGATCCTGATTTTTGGGATTTCGGAAGGCCACCTGTGCTGCTTTTAGCTGTTTATAGGCAATTTTACTCACAGTTGAGGAATCAAAACTGTCTCAATAATCTTGCTGTAAATATTTCTTCCTTAGTTGTTAAAAATGACAGTTGTGTTCTGGTGAACCATCATAAGGCTAATCATCAAGGCAAAGAGCAGCCAAATCGAATCTATCAGTCTTAGATGATTGTAAAATTGTAGCTGCAGGAAAGTCCGACGTCATTAATTTATCTCTCAAGCAAGTTATTCCAAAGTTTTGAATTGAGAAAACTTATCAACAATTCGGTTTCTTAGATATATGAATCTTCTGCTTCAAGATTCGATCTTCAAGCAATCTTATCAGTGGTTTAGTGTGTAATTCAATTGCAACTCTTTTTTGGTGATGAGCTGAAACAAATTTCAAGAGTGCCGTCCTATTTGAAGTGAAAGCGGCATCCAAAAGAAATTACATCAAAAAGAAGTTAAGGGTGACACCAAACATAATATAACGTAAATTACCAAAACAGACAGTCCTAAATAAATTGCTGGTAGAAAGTTGTATGTGCTTAAGATGTTAAGTTAAAAACTTTTTAAAACCACTTTTCAACACGCATATTCATTAACCAGGATTTAGCCGCTTACAAAGATGCCTAAATCTATTTTTACACTTCACACCGCAAAAACTGGTCGGAAACGAAATTTTCTTTGTGACATAGTTCAGGCTTTTAATACACTGTCAATAGTAATATTTGATTTGATTTGATTGCGTAGTACGAATTGTTTATTTTCATCAAAAGCAGATTAAAACAAGAAGTTCTTTGAAAGCAAACGAGAGTAGATATTTTGCTACCTGCTTTCATGTAAAAAAGTAGTATGGTGGTGCAGTTTGAAGGGGGTTTTAGAGTAAACATAGGAGCCTTGGAGGAATATCTAATGCTGTCAATAAACAACAGCTCAAAATCGACAAACAGCAGATGATTAAATTCTACCGAAAATCATTTTTAGAGTCCGGAATGCTTTCCTGCTTCCAAAGGCATCTAGCCTTGGTTTTCTTTGCTGACCAGTGGAACCAAGGTGATGCTTGAATATTCTTACGCTAAGCCATCTCCCCTTTTGTCTTCAACCGTGGAATCATTACCCTTCCTGGGCTCAGCGCAAATTAAAGCTGTTTCATTTTTACGTCGTTAGCTCGATGTCTTCCTCGGGCTTCCCGCACGTTGGCTCCTGTCTCGTTATTGTGTTCTTTATCGTGTCGACTCGTCTTAGTGAGTGATTCAGGACATGCCGTACGTCTTTTCGCCTAAATGCGTAGAATATGGGATTGAGGCAGCACTGAACGTACGCTAGCCAGCAGACAACCGTGTCCGCCGTCTCAAGTTCGCACCAGTCCACGCCTGCGTCCCAGCCGAAAACATAGAAAAGCTGAACGATGAAGAATGGATACCAGCATACAAAAAAACCCACAGTTATAAGGAAAAATGTCTTTGCTAAAGCTAGCTGTCTCCTGATTGAGAGCTTGCCTTTTGACTTCGTATCCTTTTCACATGAATGGATTCTGCTTGCATGCGACTTGGCGATAAGAAAGACTTTTATGTAGAACAACGGGATCACCACTGATGGGAAGCCAATGTGAAGTATAAGGTATGAGCCGTATGCTGGGGATGCAAGATCAAAGAGGTATTCACCTTCTGGAGGCTCCTCTTGATAGATGTAAATCAAAACGCCGACGGTAATTGACCATGCCCACGACACTAAGATGAACATGTACGCCCGTCGTGGATTCATCGACATACTGTAGTGTAATGGTCGATATATCGCGAGAAATACGTCAAATGTCATCATGCATAAGCTTAAGGATGATTCTGCTAGGAACGTAAAGAAAAATGCATTCCACAATCGACAGAAATTTGGAGCTAAAGGAAACACCGGAAAGTTGTGCCAGTATAAAATGTCAAAAGGCAGTACGGTCAGCGAGGTCAATAGATCACTAGCAGCAACGTTGCTCACGAATATATAAGAAACTGTCTCATGCCGACGTCTGAGAAGGCCAACGACAAGCAGGACGACTGTGTTGCCTATGACACCAAGAACCATTATCATTACGATTAGTGCCAGACCAAATGCTCTTGCATGCGTGGGAAGGCTGCAGTCGTGAGTTTCAGTGTCATTTGCCATGTCCTTTATCAGAATTTTCTCAAAACCTACTGTAAAATATTGTTAGACCAAACAGTCTAGTAGCTTCTGTCAACGCAAGTTGAATCCTTAGCTAGCTTGCCATCACTGGTGTCCGTTTTCGGTATTGCCTTCACGTTGCATTGATATATTAAGTACCGCATAATATCGATAGATTATGTAGTTTCATATGTTATTCCACTCTTCGTGACCTATCACGAATCGATCTTCCTGTCAAATGGAGATGTGTTCTATCAGACATCTCTGTTACCGACCGGTTTTATCATCTATCCACCTGCCAGTTTGTAAATATGATTTCAATTCACCCAAAAGCAGCAGCGTTTGGTTGTACTATTTGCCGAGTATAATCAATTAGCGATATCAAGCTGCCGATTGATTTTCACCCTTTTCCGTTATTGTTGATCATTATTTAATTGTTTGTGCGTACATTTTCACACATTTTAGCTGCGGGCCTTAATTTAGGTAAATTGAAGTTTCATGGAGATTCTTGGATTCGTCCTTAATTAGTAATGTTTTACGATCGTCATTTGCATGAAGCGGTTGATTGGCTTGCTGGTAATATACCTGGTCTATGTAGACAGGTTGATTTCATTTTCTTGATTTTGTTTCAATAGAGTTCTGGACTCATTTTGAATACCATCTTCGATGACTTTGCTTGGAAAAATTAGCCTTTGGATGTTTTGGGCCAAAAAACAAAACATTTAAAGAATATTATAATAGTTTGGCTATTGCCCTACTAATTTTTGACGCTTCTTTAGATATGCAGACCCTCGATTTTCAACAAGCAGTAGCCAACGGTTTACTGCCTTTAAGCAACGATTTTACAGCTGCACATTACTTATCCAATGACAATTGCAATGATGTTTTTTGTCAAGTTGAAGTTGATGTCACTTGTATCACAATGGCTTTCTTTCTCTGTTGTTAAACTTTGCACCAACATAGCGCTGCTTGAAATCACTAAACTTTCTCAAAATCAGCTATGCAAAAAATAACAAGCATTGTCTTAAAATAGTTTACATCAAATACGATTTCAAGAATAACTGGAGTATTGTGAAAATGTATATTGAAGTGAAATAAGTAACGAAGAAGCTATTTCGTCAATATTTTAAAAAAATCCTTTCACCTTGTTATGGTCAGAACATCATTCATACGAGAACATAACAGCAACTAAGATTTAAAGTAAACATACCATCGAAAGTTTTTTAAAGGCAGCAAGACGTTTCGAAAGGGAAAAGAACACTGAACCAAAAGTGCTGTAGTTCAGATTTAGGGAGTGGCGAATTTCAACTCTAATTCATACCTGAGCTACAACTCAATTATAAGAGTTGAAGTTCAGATATTGAGAGTGTCGAGTGGTCCTCAAATTGGTGTATTTTACAGTCAAAGTTGATATTGTCCTTCGTTTTTTGTCCTCCTGTGTAAATATCCTCCCTATGTGCATGGTATGCCAAGAGTAATGCGTGTTTAAAAGGAGCCTTTTCTATGTGAGCGACTTGTTTAACATTGGCTGTAATTTCTGTTTCAATTTTGACTAGATTTATGTTAAATACAGTTTGAAAAGACATATTTCCATCAAAAGCTGGTCTAAATAAGGACAGTTGTTTCCAGGAAGTTTTGTTCGATAAGTTAAAAACTTGACTGTCCCAATAATCAGGGTCATCAAGGTGGTAAAGTTTTATTCTACGAAAGACCAGTGTCTTCTGTTTTGGCAAGTTCGTATGTTTAACTTTTAGGCTATTGCGAGTATTATAAAGGTATTTTTTTTCTTTGCTTCCTTTATTTGTACTGAATTTATTGAAACTCGTTTAAATAGAATAAAGAAACTGATGCAAATATTGCCAACCCTCGATTGTCTGCTTCTGGTAATAAAACTGTCTGTGGCAACAACCTGTTACTGTCTTTTCATATTTTTAACAGTTATGTGACCTGTTTTTGCGTATTTCTTAACCTCCTGTTTGTAAAGTTTTATTGATCGTGTAGTTGTACTTATGTAAACAGAAAGGAATATTACGACTGCAAGAGTCAAGTACTGTCAAGTAGTCTGCACAAATATCTAATGATTTTTCAAGCTATATTACAAACTATATATCTAAAGCCTAGGGTGTCACCCAGATCCCAGATCAATGCTGAGATTCAGAAACTTGGGCGTAGAGCATGCCTGCCCCAGAGATCCTCGAGAAGTTTCCTGGAAATAGCAAAAATACGTCTTCCATGCCGTGGTGGCTGTAGGCTAGATCACAATATCTCGGCTACAGTCCATTTTGATTTTAATAAGCCATCTGCCGTAAGTCTGACAATCGGAACACCCGAAAAGTTTAAGGCCACCTTAAATCATTACCCTGTTTGCGTAGAAAACTTTTGTGTATTGTGAGTTGTGTCTTTGCTAAAAACTGCGTTTTATTAAAGAAAGGGGTTGTTTGTTGGCTTAAACTTACGGACTATCCATGTTTGAAACAAATCCTTCAAATATCTCACAGTCTAGAGTCAACAGTCAAAATTTGCGATACAACCCGAAAGCTACCTAGTAATTAAGACCTAAATCACTAAACGTTTTAAGTTTTCAACTTAGATGCAAATTGGAAACACAAGTATATTAACTCACCTCTGTAGGAATCTGTTCCAGATTAAGGACCTTGTATATCTGTGTTGGGTATTATGTATGAAATGGTCCACCAAATCGCCGGATATCATATTCTTTCATTGTATAATCACATTCGGGACAAACTTCTTTGTAAAAGTTGTTAAGCGATATTATATTGTAAGAAAGAACTGAACTGAGATGTGTCATTTGCTGTCTGTCTTGTCATAGCCTTTGATGACCCAAATATTTATGTTGATTGTAAAACGTAGCAACTGTTTAAGTTGCAAAATGTCGATAATTAAGTCAAGTAGTGTTTTCAGTCAACCTGAAAACGTATTGCGATGTTCTAGAATGACACAAGATTCTAAATTATAGAACTGAATATTTGAATCATGTTAATCCTTTTATCATCCAAATAGAATTTTTTCTTTCTGAGACATTGCAAAAACCGGATTTCTATGAATTCAGTTCATTCACATCTTTCTAAAGTAAATTGTTTGGCAGGTGGACTAGATATTCATAATCCTGCTAGATCAGTATCTTATTGGTCAACATTGTATGTATTGCCCCTTTCTCATTTTAACTTCTTGCATTTGGATGGTGGTGTTTTGCACGGAGATATGCGCACCGGCCGAAATAGCCGTAGTTTCTCGAGTTTTGTTTGAAAGCACGGATGACAAGTTTCTTAAACAAAAAGCCTACAGCGGCACATTGCTCTTTTGTATGATTATGCAAAATATTACGGGAAGGTGTTCACTTTTGCCCCTCAGAATTCAAGACGACCTCCTTGCATTTGGAAGTTTTGGTTACAATGTAACCTCCATTAGCAGACAGCTTCCATTAACGGATTCCTGCAACGGACAAATATTTTTATCCTAAATTTTCTCACGCGTTGAAAGCCTTGTTAAAGCAACCTACAGACAGCAGACACCTCCCGTTTGAAGACATTTTGTTCTAGGCCAGCTGCTGCCCAAAGTTAGGAGGCTTTGCAATGTTTGCATAATAACTTCGGCGCTGTTTACCGCATTCGCTTGTGAATTTTGCAATCCAGAAAGAAACAGGTTGAGAGAATCTGTGTGATCAACTATCATTTTGAAATACCAACAAGTCCGTTATCGAATGAATTCATTAGTTGACAAATTCAATATTGTTTGATTTAGAAACGACAGTTCTTCTGCCGATCACCTAGCGAAGGTTCGTTGTCAGGCATTGAAAAATATGAGAAAACAATGGGAAAAAGAAGAGTAAGGGCAATTTAGGTCACCTTAGAAGGGAAGCTAGACAATCATAGGCAGGTACCCGAGTGATCATTCTGGTTCAATGTGGGACATATTTGGTTTATCGTCGCATTTATAGAAAATGCTCATTTAAGCGAAACATTTTGGTCAAATTTTGTAATCAAACTTAATAATCAAGAAGATGTATATATGTTAATTTAGTTTACCTTTATTTTATTTGTTCTGGTGTTCCAGGGTGTTTGGTGTGGCTCTGAAGTATATGCCAGGATGCCTCACCAGTTCAATGTAATTTGTTAGTCTTATTCTCTAGTTTGCCATTTCTTTCCTTTCGAGTTACCCCCAAACCTTACTTGCCTATATTTTGTCATAATGTTTACTTAGTTATGTTTGATGTCACCGGAATTCTAGGACACTCAGTGCCATGCCATTGTTCAGTGTGATGGTTTTAGTATTACCCACATTGTAGATCATTTTATTTGTATGGTAGATCATTTTTCTTATATTTTTAGTACCAACTCTTTCCTATTTAAAATCTCATTTTTCAATAACAATAAAGTAGAAAACGTTTTCCTGTTTAATTGAATAGGCGGTCTATTCTAAAGAGCATAGGCAATTTCTGACATCCAATTGCTTGGTTTAGACAGAAGCTTGGTCACCTATAAAGAAGTTTCCTATTACTTTAGTGTCTGATCAATGATTTTTAACAAGTTGATCAAGGATTTACCATATTCAGTTTGTCATATTCAGAACTATTTAATTGCTAATCGTTTTAGAACACATGTTGCTGGTCGGATCTAAGTAATTGCCATGAACCTTTGTTTCGGTTTTAAATATTTGTTTTTGTAAGTCCCAATGCATCCATCGTTTGAACTTTATTTTTGACAAATAAACCGGGTTTGCGTTACCTTGTTGAAATCGTCGTCTTCTAATTTTTATCTCGAGCATTCATGGTGAATGTCAACATCAGTTTTAGAATATGTGAATATTATTAAGTTTGCTTCGTTTTTAATTTTACACTTCAAAAATATTGCTTGCAATTTGTTAACGTCTTCAGCTGGTACACCGTGATGTTTTTCAATCAAACCATATTTTAATTTGAAAATTATTTATGGCTTTTTATTTGTATTGATGAAAATTAATGATTTATTAGTTGCCTCATTCAATGATTCATTCATTCGAATTTTTTTAGCAGCATTTCACTTTTTTTCACCATTTTCAAATTTTTCTTTGGCAAAATGATATTTTTATTCGTAAACCATGTTGTTTCTTTTCTTTAAAGTAAGGCAAGAAAAAGATAAATCCTTATTTTACGTTCTATAAACCAACGCGTAATTTTTCAGTTATTCGAACAAAGAGCTGTTCCGTTTCCAATTTTAATCATTCTTTTCCAATCAAACTATCTGACCACTGGCCAGAGATATCATTTTTTTAAGCATAACATATATGAATTCAGCACTGTTTATATACCGATAGTCTGCCGGTTGACAAAATGAAATGAACATACAATTAAGTAACAACCACAATGTTTTTAAGTAGTGATGCTAGATAAATTGTTTCAAGTGTCAATGTCACCCATTTCACCAATAGGGACAGCATGTTGTCGGGACCTAGAACATCTTATACAAATTACTGCAGTTCTAAGTAAGCAAAAACTCAGCTTTCTTTTGATCCAAGCAGAGGTTTCACTAACATTTTGGTGATGTTTTTCAGCAATTAGTTCCGATACACGTTGGAAAAATTTTCCTCGTTTCAATGCTCATACCACCATGGCATAAGAAAATCAAAGATATCAGAGATATCATTAGTTTACGTCCTAGTCTCTTTTGAGACGTCTCAGATCTTATAAATTTATCACTTGTCATTTGTTTTGGATATTATTCCCTTCGAAATAAGCTCTCAGGACGTGTTTTTTCGAACAAATGTTTTCACTTTTTGTTTAAGTACAGTGTGATAAGACGTAATTTTTCGGTAATGTCCGATACGACACTGCACAACAAGACATAACATAACATGGCATAGCATGGCTGAGACATAACTTGGCATAACATGGCATGACATGATAGGACATTTCTGAGACAAATGAAACGGGCAGAAAAGTACATAAAGGACAGGAAGGGATATGACACGATATTTGATATCCAAATAGAACGCATGGTATGATAAATATGTTTTCTTTGTCGTAGATTCTTTGCAGTTGGATCTGAAGACATGACTGCCAGAGTTTTTTCAATCACACCAATGGAAGGACATCACCCATTTGTTGTTGTCGGGCATCGAAACAGCATCATTGGCTGCTTCTTCGAGGAGCTCAGCCTAAACGTATCCTTCTTCCATCCGTCATCTTTTCCATCCGTCAAGATTTTGTCTAATTATCAGTGTCCCCTTCCACATTAACTTTTCCAGATTTTTGCACTTATCCACTTCAAACAGCTCATAATATGCAGAGCTTTTTCTAAATAACTCAGTAAATCTCGTAAACAAAGTTTCCCCTAATTATAAATTTTAAATGGAATTTAAGCATCCAAGCAAGAGCGTATCTCGTAGCTTACAGGTTCAGAAAACAGAATTATGACTTCAAAAAGACATACCGTAAAAGCTCTTTAAGCCCCCTTCTCTATCAAGCCCCCCTCTCTATTAGGTCCGACCTTATCAACCAAAAACTTTCAATAACCCCCCCCCCTCTCTATCAAGCCCCCCTCTTTAGCCTTTGATGTCAAACAAAGGATACAGTCCATTTAGTGGGTCTCTTGACGGGTGTTATGATGATTACTGTTGTTTTGTTAGCAGCGGTTTTGTTAGGTCAGCGGTTTTGTTAGGTCAGCGGCTTTGTGTTGTTAGGCCGCTATTTTGTTTTTTTGTAAGCACGTGTGGTAGCCTTCGTTCTTATTGCTTAGTAAAGCCTATTATCTACGACAATGACTCGTTAATATTTATTACAATTTACTGTAATGTAAATGTAAATGGTCATGCCGTGGAAGCTCTTTTCGATAGTGGGAGCAGTGAAAGCTTTATTGCCCCATTTTTAGTGGAATTAGCGTCGCTACCTACCCATCCCTGCTCTGGTACAGTATCTATGGCTTCCACAGGGTTTACAACACAAGTTAAAGGCTTCTGTGTAGTTGATCTTACGTACAAAGGGTATACATACAAGAATGTTCGCCTATCTGTGTTACCTGGACTCTGTGCTAATCTCATACTAGGACTTGATTTCCAGACCCAACATGAAAGTATCACCTTCAACTATGGTTATCGCGAACTTAGAATGTTGTAAGGCGATAAACTCACAAATAACTCGAAATAGAAGTTATATATTTCTTTCAAGGTAACAAAACAATAACGAACTGGTTATATATTCTCGTCGCACACTCGCTTTTTTGAATAGTAAAAGTCATGTCTCTGAAGCTCCTCACCCCCACGCGCTCGCTCCTTCCCCGCGGTTAATTATAAGCAGTTTTTATTTTACACACACTCCCCCCGTTTGGACCGAATAGGTACCAAACGTCAATGTTAATCATCTTCTAATTCCTTGTCTTCATATGCGAATGTTTCTTTTACTGAACTCTTGGCAATTTGTGCAGCTCGTCGTTGTGGTCTAAACTCTTTGGCTTGTGGGTTCAAATTCTCGGCCTTCTTTGTCTCCTTTTCCGGTACATCGCAATCTATCTCTAGAGGATATAACAACTGCACTGCCCGTTCTATCTTTGTCTTTCCTGTTCTTAGCCTTGCGCCTCGAACAACTCCATCTTTGCCTTGAATGACTTTATCAACAATGCCTATGTTCCATTCGCCTCTGTTACGTTCGTCGCCTTTTATCAAAACTACTTTTCCTTCTTCTATACTTTCTCCTCCGTCCTTGCACTTTAAGTTGTGTCTTTCCCTGAGTGATCTCATGTATTCTGACTTCCATCTCTTCCAGAGGTTGTCGCGACATTTCTGCAGATATCTTGCTCTCTTGCGCAAATCCCTGTCCTGCACCCTGCAGACCTCTGACTCTAGAAGAGCGTTCTGATGGCTCAACAGCATCATGTTTGGGGTTAACAGAGGCATTTGCACATCGTCCTCAATATAGCTTAATGGACGATTGTTAAGCGTTATCTCAACATCAAGCATCATTTCTTGTAGCTCATCATAACTCAGCTTTGCTTTTCCTAAAATTCTGTACATTACTTGCTTGGTTAAACCTATGATTCGTTCATACTGGCCACCCCACCAGGGGGCTTTACTCAAGTTGAATTGCCACTTGATGGACTGCTCTCTTAAGAAATCATGGAATTCCTCATCTTTCATTAGTTGTTTTAACCACTTTGCTGCAAATTTAAATGTCTGAGCGTTGTCTGAATAAATCTTTTTAGGCCGTCCACGTCTTGCTGTAAACCTTTTCAGGCATTGGAGGAAAATCTTTGCTGTTGTGTCAGGAACAACTTCCATGTAAACAGCTCTCGTTAGACTGCAAACAAACAATAAGATATGTGCTTTTCCTTCTCCCCTTTTCTTGTTTTGTGACTAATTGGGCCTGCATAATCAACACCGACTACTTCGAAAGGTCTTGTTCCTTCAGTTCTGTCTTCCGGCAATAAGCCTGGTTTTGGCTTGGAAACTGGTCGCGCATTGAATCTTTTGCAGGTGTTACCCTTTTTGATGACTCCTTTTGCTAGCTTTCTCAATCTTGGAATCCAATAGTCCTCTCTAACTTTCGCCATTGTAAGACTTGACCCTCCACAATGAGTGCTCAAATGCGCATAGGAAACCAATTTCTCACTAAATAGAACATCGGTTGGGAGAAAGATTGGGTACTCTCCTTGAATTCTTCCTTTACAAACATAGATTTCTCTCTCATCTTTCTCTAACCCTAGTTGCTTTTGTGTTTCTTTGAACTCTAGCTTTACTTCAAACTCTCCTTGAACTTTTCTAATCCAAAATGCTATTACATCTTGCAGTTCCGCAGTTGTCAATGGACCGACTCTTCTGTCTATTTTCTTTAATCTTGAGTTAATTGCAAACCTTTTCAACCAAGCTGTCACTTTCATTGCTTTAAGAAATGAGTACTTCTCTAGGATCCTTTCAGTTAGTACATCTCTTATCTCTCGTCCAACCTTGAGTATTTCCTTCACTGGCTTTGCCTCTAGCTCTGTATCAGTGTCTGCTGTTGTCTTTATATCTTTTGGCCACTCTACTTGACATTGAATCCAATCTGGTCCTCTGAACCAATCATCTGTCAATTTTTTAATATTGCTTCCTCGACTTGCTATGTCAGCTGGGTTCAGTTCAGATGGTACATGTCTCCAAACTATATAATCTTTCTCCTTAATCTTTGAGACCCGGTTACTCACAAACTGTTTATAACGGTTCTCTCCTCTCACCCAATGAAGGGCAACAGTGCTGTCAAGCCAAGCATAGACATTTTCAATTGGGTGTCCTTCAAGTGCTCTTACTACGTTGTCGACGAGATTAGCTGCCATGTGTGCAGCTACCAACTCAAGCCTTGGAATTGTAAGGTTGTTCTTTGCAAGGCGAGACTTTGCTACCAAAAGTCCTTGACTTTTCTCAGACTCCTGCCTTATGACTGCATAAACTATAGCTGCTACCCCGTCTATACTCGCATCTCCGAACACGTGTAGCTCAATCGAAGTTATTCTCCCCTCTTTCGTTGGAATGCTTCTGGGTATTGCTACTCTTTCTGGCAAATTTTTACTCCACTGCACGAATCTTTCATTGAGGTCTTTTGGTAGTCCTTCATCCCATTTGACACCTTGTTTACATGCATCTCTGAAAATGATCTTTCCAACTAGGGTAATTGGTGAAATAATTCCCAGTGGGTCATATATTGAAGCCAGATGTTGCAATAATTCTCTCTTTGTTGATCCTCTTCCTTTCTCTTTCTTTATTGAGACTGCAATGGTATCCTTCTGTTTGTCCCATGTAAGCCCTAATAGTTTGGACTCTTTGGCCTTTGTTCCCAGCTGCTGTTTGGCAAAACTCTCATCTATTTCTTCTTGATCACCATCATCTGTCTCTAACTCTTTTCTGTTTGAGTGCAATTTGTGCAATGTAAACTTTGCACTGTCGAATATTTCTATGGCTGACTCTTTCAATTTCTGTACCTCTGTGATGGATGACCCACCTAGCAGAAGGTCATCGACGTAGATGCTTCTTTCAATTTCTGAGACTTCCTCAGGAAACTCTGCTCTACATTCTTCAAGATGTTTCTTTACGGTAGCACAAAGCAAAAATGGCGATTGGCTGCATCCAAACATTACTCGAGTGAATCGATAGACTTCAAGTTTCTCTAAATCTCTGTCTTTCAACCAATGGAACCTTAACACATCTCTGTCCTGCTCTTTAATTCTTATTTGTAGGAAAGCTTGTTTCATATCTGCGCATAGTGTGATGGGTTGCAATCTGTTTCGCGCCAAAATGTCCCAGATCAGGTTTTGCAATGGGGGGCCTGTTTCGAGGCAATCGTTGAGTGATGGTGATTGATCGTTTGCTCTTGCAGATGCATCGAATACAATTCTTACTTTGGTCGACTCTGCTGACTCTCTTACTATGGCTCGGTGTGGCAAATAAAACTTTCTTCCTTCTTTGCTCTGACAGGTAACTTTCTCTATAATTCCTTCTTGCTCCTGTTGCAGTAGTATTTCTTCATACTTATCATAAAGCTCTGGCTGTCTTTCTAACCTTTGCACGAGCCTTTTCAATCTTGACTTGCTTCCTTGTTCATTGTCTGGCAGGTCTGGGATCTCTGATTTCCAAAGAAGACCGGTCCTGTACCAACCTTCTGGGCTCCTTTCCAACTGATCTTTGAAATCTTGGATAACTATGTCTTTCTCTGCTTTGTCCTGTATGCCTAGGACATCTAGTGAACATAATTTATCAAAATCGGCAAGTGCTGACTTTGCGAAAAACATGTTATTTGATTCTATCTCGTATCCAGGTGACATTATAGTCCATCCGAACCCTGTAAGCTCTGCCACTGGCTCCCCTGGCTTCCCTACTCTAGGCTTTGTTGGAGTTTTTATCTTTGCATAGTCACTAGCTCCTATGATAAGATGTATTGGTAACGCTTCTTTGTCTGATCTTTCTTCCATATACACACCTTTAAGGTGTGAAAATTTCTTAGTCATTTCTCCATAGTTTGGGTTAGGCACTGTCAAAAGCTCCTTCCTGTTCACTTTGCTCACATCTAAGTTTAGACTGAAACTCTGGTCTTTGCTCTCCACCCTCAGATTATAGATTTCGATCTTTGCTATCTTGGTGGACATCATCATGTCTATCTGGCGTTGTTCTCTCTTGATTGGCTGCTTGGCGACTTTCTCAATTAACTGTGATGATACATAAGAGCTGCCAGCCCCTGTATCCAACAGGGCTCGACAGAGCACTCCTTCTACCTTCACTATAACAACTGGGTGCACCACACCTTGTTCCCCAGTAACCAGAAGAACATCTCCCTGTTTCTCAACTTTGTCGCAAACTGAAGTGTGGTGCTTTCCCCTACAATTTCGGCAACTTCCTTTGCTTGTACAGACTGATGCTTTGTGTCCACTGCTTGTACAATTGAAACACAATCTTTTTTGCCTTAAAATTTCTCTTCTCTCGCTCACTTTTACAACCTTTTTGCACTCTGAAGATTTGTGGTTTTCATGCTCGCAGTATACACATGATCTTGGTAGATAATTGGAATTCCTTGTGGTAAACATCCTGTCCCTCCCCTCAGACTGTGTAAGGGGGTTCCTTTCAGTCCATTTACTCAAGGCTTCAATTAGCTGCGGGAATCCCCATTCTTGCCACTGGTCATCTAATCTCACCAAGTCAGCTCGTATCCCTTCTAGCTTATCCAATGTGAGCCTTGTGTAACCTGAAATTGATTTCAGTCTCCCTAATGATTCAAGTGCTTGTACACTTGGCAACAACTTGTTGAAAAAATCATGGATTTTGTGTGGGTTTGACCCCCTTATCACTGGTAACTCAATAATACACTGTACATGTGCATTTATAACTTCACTTGGCCTGCCATATTTAGACTTCAATATTTGTTTAGCCCTCTCGTAGCCCTCACCATTGTGGATCAAATTCTCAATGTTTATACGTACTTTTGGCTCTATGAATTCTTTCAAGTAATTAAACTTAGTGACAGGGTCTAGGTTTTGCTTATCGACCTCAGTCTCGAACTGATTCCAAAAGCGGAACCAGTCTATATGTGTTCCTTTAAATTTGGTGATACTTAGCTTTGGAAGCTTCACTGCGGTTACAGGCTTTTCCCTCACGAGGGATCTCCCCTTCAATTCAACTAATTTTGCCTCTAGTTGTAATCTTTGCTCAAATTTTTGTCTTTCTAGCTCTAAATCTACTTCTTGCTCTTTCTTTTTTGCATCATGTTTAAAACTTTCAATAATTTCTTTCATACCTGCAGCTATGGGCTGAAACTCCTTCAGTCTTTCCTCGATTCCGATTCTCCATTTCTTTACTTCACTGGGGATTTCCCCTTCCTCTAGTTTCAATTCTTGTATTTGAATTTTCAGCTCCTGAATTTCGTCCACTTTCGTTTCGTATACTCTAGACTGTCTCTCGATTTCCTTTTGATCCTTTCTCTGCATAATTTGTTCAGTTTCTTCGTTCAGATACGATAAAAATCCAAGTTTTTTGTCGATTTTCTTGACAAACTCTTCCACGACGGCCATCTTGAATTCACAGTCTTGAACTCACTTATTATGAAATTTCACTCACTTCTCACTTTCTCCCATCTGGGTGGTGCCACTGTATCGCGAACTTAGAATGTTGTAAGGCGATAAACTCACAAATAACCCGAAATAGAAGTTATATATTTCTTTCAAGGTAACAAAACAATAACGAACTGGTTATATATTCTCGTCGCACACTCGCTTTTTTGAATAGTAAAAGTCATGTCTCTGAAGCTCCTCACCCCCACGCGCTCGCTCCTTCCCCGCGGTTAATTATAAGCAGTTTTTATTTTACACAATGGTGGACCCAAACCACCCTTGACTGTCTGTAATCTAACAACTCTGAACATTAGTCCACCAGAACCATTTGCCAATCTCTCACCTGACTGCCGACCTATTGCTACCAAATCCCGCTGATACAGCCAGGAGGATTCTAATTTCATTGATGCAGAGGTGGAACGGTTACTTAGAGAAGGAATAATCGAGCCAAGTAATTCTCCTTGGCGTGCTCAAGTTGTTGTAACGAAAGATGAAAATCACAGGAAAAGATTAGCCATTGATTACTCACAAACTATCAACAAGTTCACTCTCCTTGATGCATTCCCACTGCCAAGAATAACTGACATAGTAAACCAGATCGCCCAGTACCAACGAGAAATGATGAAATTTGTACAAGAGGAGAATCTGAAGGCTGTTTTCGCATACCTTGATAACATCACCATATGTGGCAAAGATCAAGATGATCATGATGTCAAACTGGATGCATTTCTCAAGGCAGCTCAGCGAAAGAACATTACATACAATGATGATAAGAGTGTCTTCTCGACAAGACGTCTTCAAATTCTTGGTTATGTTATAGAGGATGGCACTATTCGTCCTGATCCTGAACGTCTCCGACCATTGCATGAGCTTCCTGTACCACACGACTCAAAGTCTTTAAACAGATGCTTGGGACTATTTTCATATTACTTCCAATGGGTCCCTGCCTATTCTGACCGCATCAAGCCTATTACCTCCTGCAAGGCGTTTCCCCTGAGTCAGCAAGCAATAGAAGCCTTCGAAAGCATAAAGTACACAATAGAAGAAGCCACCATTACAGCTATCAATGAGGATATTCCATTTGAGGTGGAAACAGATGCCTCGGATGTCGCCTTAGCTGCTACACTTAGCCAACAAGGTCGTCCAGTCGCATTCTTCTCAAGAACCCTTCAAGGTAGCGAACTCAAGCATGCTGCTGTGGAAAAGGAGGCACAAGCTATTGTCGAGTCGGTACGCCATTGGAGGCATTTCCTAACTGGAAGGCATTTCATTCTTAAAACTGATCAAAAGTCGGTGTCTTATATGTTTGACAAGCAGCACAAGGGGAAAATAAAGAACGATAAAATCATGCGATGGAAACTCGAACTTTCCTGCTATAATTTTGATATAGTCTACCGTCCAGGCAAGGAAAATATTCCTGCTGACACCTTCTCTCGAGCTACCTGTGCTGCTTCCTCATATCAAGAGTCTGGACTTCGCAACTTACATGATGCCCTCTGTCATCCTGGCATCACTAGAATGTGGCACTTTGTCCGCTCAAAGAACCTGCCCTATTCTCTTGAAGACGTTAAGAGAATCACCAGTACTTGTGGAATCTGCAATGAATGCAAACCTCGGTTTCATCAGCCACCAAAAGTGCACCTTATCAAAGCCACACAACCCTTCGAAAGGGTTAACATTGACTTCAAAGGATCATTACCAACTACTAACAAGAACAAATATTTCTTGAACATTGTTGATGAATTCTCAAGATTCCCTTTTGTTTTTCCATGCGCTGACGTGTCAACCCCAACAGTAATCAGATGCCTCACTTCACTTTTCTCTATCTTTGGAATGCCAGCCTATATTCACTCAGACCGTGGTGCATCGTTCATGAGTAGAGAGCTGCAAACTTTCTTGATGGAAAGAGGAATTGCCACGAGCCGAACTACCAGTTATAACCCTACGGGAAACGGCCAAGTTGAAAGGTACAATGGTACTGTTTGGCAGGCAATAACAACATGTCTTAAGTCTAGAAACATGGGCAAAGAACACTGGCAAGAGGTCCTTCCAGATGTTCTTCACTCTATCCGCTCACTCTTGTGCACCGCTACTAATGAAACGCCTCATGACCGTTTTTTTGGTTTCCCACGAAAATCATCCTCTGGTACTTCTGTACCCTCATGGTTGACATCTGGTGGATCCGTCTACCTGAAGCGACATGCCCGCTCAAGTAAGTTTGAGCCGTTGGTTGAAGAAGTTGAGCTCCTCCAGGCCAGCCCACAATATGCTCATGTTCGCTATCAAAATGGGAGAGAGAACACAGTATCGACAAAGCATCTTGCCCCATGTGGTCAGTCGAATGTATCACAGGATAATGGCAAAGTCAGCATAAATGAGCATTTACCTAAAGAACTGCCTGCGTTAGAATCGGGAGCTGAAAGTCCTCCTCAGGACATAGCTGACCCCCAACCCCTGCGTCGTTCAGAACGTATCCGCCGTCCTGTGGATAGACTGGAACTTTAAAGAAAGGGGTGACTGTTATGAACTATGACTATTCGTTGGGTTGAACAACAACTTGTTAACTTGTTAACTTTGTTAGGTCAGCGGTTTTGTTAGGTCAGCGGTTTTGTTAGGTCAGCGGTTTTGTTAGGTCAGCGGTTTTGTTAGGTCAGCGGTTTTGTTAGGTCAGCGGTTTTGTTAGGTCAGCGGCTTTGTGTTGTTAGGCCGCTATTTTGTTTTTTGTAAGCACGTGTGGTAGCCTTCGTTCTTATTGCTTAGTAAAGCCTATTATCTACGGCAATGACTAGTTAATATTTATTACAATAAGATCTAGTGCATCAAATACGGCCCATTTAAAGACTTAGAAGTCAGTCGAAATTTGTTTTTAAGGTGTCCAAGGGTTGTCAATTTATCCAGATGATGCTGATGAAGATGGAGAACTTATAATTGAATAATTAAACTTTCCAAGTTGCTAGAAAAGTTTTTGAGAACATTTGTATGACATTTTTATAACAAAAATTTGCCAAGAGCATTTTTAAAACATGTTTCGCTTCAAATTTTAATAAGCCCCCCTCTCTAATAAACCTCTTCTCTTTAAAGTCCCCCTTTAGGACTGAAAAAAATAAATAAGCCCCGTGGGGGGAGCTTAATAGAGCTTTTACGGTATGTTTGTTAGAAATAAAAGGCTTTAGATTACTAAAAGAAAAAGGATCATTAGGGCTGTCACCATAGGGGGGTGTGAAGGTTGTGGCACCCGCTTGAAAAACAATTCCGTTGAAACAAGGGATTTTCTGACATCCAGAGGTGCTTAGACGGCAAATTTAGAGGCAAACCTGTCGGCGAATAAAGCATGGTTCAGCCACGTTGTCGGCAAATGGGACCTGAAATACCCCCTTGAGCAAAATAACTAGCGGAGGACCATGCTCAAAGATTTTTTGAGTTGATTGAAACCGTCGTAAAAGGTAAGATTTGATGATTCTTACTAACTCTCGAATAATTAAGCTTAAAAAGCCGCTTTTAAGAATGTTGTATGGTAGTCCTTCCTTTAATTTTTAAACAAGTTTCCTTAACAAAATTCTAAGTTTTACACGGTCAGTAGAGATGGCGCCTTGATGCAGTGGTCTTGCAATAAGCAGCTTTCCGAAGTTAAGGAAAAAAGCAGAAAAAGGAAGGCGAGCCTTGATGAAAACATGGAAACTGAAGGTGATAAGGAGAGTGGAAATGGTAAGAACAACGCTTTGTTTACTCTTAACTAAAATCATATGAAGGCGGGGGCTGTTGCTGCCAGAAATCGAGAAACGTTTGAAGGGGGATTTGATAGACAGTCTTCTGCTATGTCGTAAGTAAGTGAAAGCAGGTGTTCGGGAATGGCCTTTTTTATCGAAGTTTGAAACAGAAAAGTATGTGTTATCTCCATTTCAAATTATTAAATAACAAAACGTCTTCACAATGCCAAGATCGCAAGTTCTTTCTTATCTGGACGAATATCTGAGAATAATCACGCTCGGTTTGGGTTAAATACAGCATTGCTTTAAATAAGTTGTTATTAAATAACAAAACGTCTTCACAATGCCAAGATCGCAAGTTCTTTCTTGTCTGGACGAATATCTGAGAATAATCACGCTCGGTTTGGGTTAAATACAGCATTGCTTTAAATAATTTATTATTAAATAACAAAACGTCTTCACGATGCCAAGATCGCAGGTTCTTTCTTGTCTGGACGAATATCTGAGAATAATCACGCTCTGTTTGGGTTAAATACAGCATTGCTTTAAAAACTTGTCATTGTGTCATTATTGTACATGAGAGAAATCTACTAAAGAGATCAGTATTTTGGTTGAGATTGCAAGGAAGAATTAGAAAATGTTTTCCAAGTTATTATTGATGCCATAAATAGTTTTTGATGGCTCGTTTAAATCTCTTTCGGCGGTTCAGTCTCATTAATCATCATTGAATTGCCAAAGGGCTGTTTGTAGAACTTTCAATGATCTTTCTTACAATGGTTTTTAAGGTGTCTGATCTTACAATGGTCTTACAGTGGATTGGTTCTTTAATCATTTTCTTATAATCGCCATGCTGTTTTTTTAAGAGATATGTCGCTATTTTATCTTCATTTTAGACCCTTCTGAGGCAGAGGTTGTGTGGGGTAGAAAAGCAAAGTAAGTTTTTGTTACACTATTAAGCTTTTGCTCGGTAGTTTGGTAGCTTCCTGTTGCAGTGCGTCTAAAGTGGTTGCTTTCGTTGGTACATTTGTAATCAGTAGTTGCATTGAATCTAGCTCGATACGAATCGCAAATTTACCTTGAAAAGAAGATGGAACAGTGAAGGAGCAACGGCAAAGGAGTAGTGAAGAGCTCCCTAACGATAAACTTGGGGAATTCTCTGCCCTCGCTCATCTCCGCCTTTCTTCATGAATCTCACCGCTCAATTATGTAGGGTTGTTTTGAAGGCATTGATTAAGAGAGCATATCCACGCACACCCATAAGCATAATGTCCTATTTTCCTTTGCAATTAGCTTTGATTTCTGTACGAAAATACATAGGCACAATCTCACACGCTTTAATAGAAAACTAAAATGCCCTTTGCGCTTGGTTCAATCACTTTCACTTAACGTCAGTGCATACGGCTTTTGCGATGCCGTTGGGCTTCGACATTTGGGCGATGCCCAAGGATGGGGAATGCGGGGTTAAGGTGATTCAAAAATTAGCGACTCAAAAATTTGGCGGGTGCCAAAAAGCGGCAATTCACCAATATTGTGAGCTGTGAGTCTTTGCATGAAAGGTCTGTCCACATGCAGCTGTATCAGCTTTACCGGACTCTCTCCTGTAAATTTGTCAATAGAAGGTTGATTTTGATGCCATTGATTTCCAGCAAGATATCTGTCACCTGTCTATATATTACACACAGCTTGAATAAAAATTGTGTTATTTTATAGCTCAATTTCGATATAGTATCAAAACACCAATTTTATGTTTGATGGTTTCCATTTTACGAATAACAGTGTTTTTTGCAATTTGTCAATATGAATACATTTAACATCTCTAAACTAACACTCCTTAACTCCTAAACAATATGTGATTTGGCATTCCTTTTCTAGGCATTTCTTTCTCCAAGATCATGCCGATTTGAATTCGGTTCAGTATCACAAGAAATCCAAAATTCTGGTAGCCGGGTTTTCAACTGGAGTCTTTATGCTTTACGAGCTTCCTGATTTTATACAGATTCACGCATTGAGGTAAGTGTTGTCAGTTAACAAACAACTGAAATGTCTCTGTCTTCCTTTTCCATAATGCTCTTTTCCAATCTGCTACGCTTCGAGCTACTTAGAACATCCCTTGATTCTACGTTGCTTATCACTTCTAGATTTAATTGAGTTACCGCCAATTACCGTTAATCCTACGAAAGCCACATCCCTCCCCCTAAAATCGTCATCGTTAAGGTCTTATCCTCGTGGTGTCTACACTGATACTAAAATAAGTTTTATTTTGGCAATGTTTAATATATGCAATGTAACATAGTAATTTTTTCATTGTAAATGTTTCAAGCAATTTAAGCAGACATGTAAAACAGGCCTAAAGGTCATGTCTCATTTAATCAACAGTAGTTAAATTTTGAAGCAGCTATTTTGCTGAATTTTTACACAGTAATTGTATACTCTACCTTTGAACTAGTTTCCGGCCCCAAGTAGCCCCGGTCTTGCCTTCGCCTCATCTTACTGACTATTTTAAGATTAACATATATACTTTTATCATCTATTGGTCCAGAATAGCGCCATCTTGAATTATAACAGCAATTGTCAGTCCAATTTATTTTTCTATAGTTCCTCTATAGAGACGGTATAAGAAGTTCGGTTTTAATTTGCTTTTTTTTCTTTTGGTTTGGAACTGGAGTGAAACAGTCTGAACTTGATATACAGACGACCATTCTTTGTAAACCTCTTTTAGTTTCTATTCAGTCAAACTTGTCGTTATGTTTCTAAAAAATCTTTACTGTCTTTTTTTAATGACAATAAATTTGAAAAAATCAAGCGTTTTCTAAAGCAACAAGTGTGTTCGATGCCGTTTTATGATGATCTTTTCAGAGCAATGTATGCTTTGTAAAGCAAGATTTGAGTCAGTAAGAACTAATCTCGCCTTTCCAAATTGATTTTGTACCTCAGGTAATTGTAGTTTTGTTTATTCTAATCTTCAACTGTCTCTTAAAAGTAAAATAAAGACCCAATAAGCAGAGTCTAAAATCAACAACACCGCGAAATTTTTCCATGGTGCGCTTGAAACCTATAAAATATTTACTATTCTACCGGTTTATCATTTACATATATACTGTTGTAACCGCATTTGTCTTGACGACAGGCTTTAAATATTTTCTTTGCTTTTATACTGCTTAGCAGTATGGGACATCATTCTCTATCCCCTGTGACCTGCATTCTCTTGCCCTTTTGTCCAGTATAGATAATACAGTTTTATTGCCTGCTACTACTGTGTACCATCTACAGCCTTGGATCTTTTAAGGGCCACATAGATTATCCTAACTGATCCTTTTCTTCAAGCTGCTTTCCTCCTTTTCTTTATCATCAAGTTCACTAAAGTTAAATTCATTTCGCTTGAAATGTGACGCAGCTAGACTTGCTTTCTGGCAAAAAAAATTTGGTTGTTAGGTTGGCTTCTGTACTGTCTCATTCATCCATCGCCAAAATCCACGACAGTGTGGTTGCTAAATCTAGAATGTTTATCACTGAAAGACAAACTTTTATCTTATTACCAGCCTTGCTAAATCGACTCTCGTTTTTAGCATTTCACAGCATCACATCTCCAGCATCGCAATCAGCCCCTCAAGTGAATGGCTGGCTTTTGGGTCATCATCGCTAGGGCAGTTGCTAGTTTGGGAATGGCAAAGTGAGACTTATATTTTAAAGCAACAGGGACATTTCTACGATATGAATGTTTTGGCCTATTCTACCGATGGACAATTGATAGCTACCGGTGGAGATGATGGAAAGGTACGTTAAAATGGCTGTTCATTACATGCTCCCTGGCCATGGACATGATGCTTTAAAGTACAGGGCACACCAGTACAGGGCACACCAAGACTCTTCGATTTCTCCAATATCATCTAAGTTTTAGTACAAATTTGCTTTCCCCAGTCTTTCCCAAGACTCAAGCCATCATACAATCAACTCTAATAGGTCAACGTGGCCTTCTTCATGAATCAAATCTGATGTGTCAAATCTAATGCTCTTCGTAAATCATTTTCAGCTTTTCTACAAATAACTGTAGAGACCTTCCCCTAACGAAATCGTGAATAGAATGCTAGTGTGAATATAAGGAAATTATGCCGTAGAAGAACCTTCAATAAAAAATGCCCTTATGTTACTTTCTGTTTTCTAGGTTAAAGTATGGAACACTGTTTCTGGTTTCTGTTTTGTTACGTTTCATGAACACACCTCTGGAGTGACAGGAGTTGCTTTCAATCAAAATAACAAAGTCGTGTTGAGCTCTTCTCTAGACGGCACGGTCAGAGCTTTTGACATGACCAGGTAATCTGAATGCCGTTTTTTGATATTTTCATCTATTTGATAATGTTGACTGAAAGGTATTTAGTACGGAGTAGCTTATTGTCATCAAAATCTTTAGCGATTAATGTCAACCTTGTTTATCTAAAATGCCAGTGGTATCACTCGCGCAAACAATGACGGCAGTGCAGGTTGAAAGTCTGAAAGGTTGCTTGGCAGTTGCCATAGTTGTTGTTAGTGGTTGCAGTGGTAGAACCATATTAGAACCATTGATTAGATTGAAAAAGAACGCTTTCTTTTTAAAAGCGGTTGTTTAAGTGGTTGCGTTGATAATGGCTTTGCTAGTGGAGAAACTGCTTTGGAAAAAACGTTTCAGTTTTTTGGACTGGCGGCTGGTGGTGTTAGGATAAAATGGTGGTTGTATTGATTGAAAAATGATTGGATGATGATTACTAATAAATGGATGCTGTTTTATAATGTCGATGATTATAAACAGGGATTGAGAATGACTGATAATGACAATTTAAAGATGATTTGATGATGATTAATGGCGATTAACGAGAAACCAACTGACCTTCGTTTCAGGTATCGAAACTTTCGCACTTTTGCTTCGCCAAGACCTGCGCAGTTCTCATGTTTGGCCCTCGAAAGTAGTGGTGAAATCGTCGCTGCAGGATCTGTGAATTCTTTTGAAATATTTGTGTGGTCAATGCAGACAGGACGTCTTTTAGAGGTATATTAGCAATCCCCTCTATCTGTGGTTCTCTTCAAGCAAAAGGCTTTTATAAAATCCTCAGAACAGATTTTCTCTAACCTTCTCTGTGTTCAGGAACAAATACCCCTCTCCACGTTTTTTTAAAAACTTTTGAAATCCCAGCTCCTTATTCCAGTTTCCATGTTTCATTGACGAATACGTCCGACCAAAATTGGAAATTCGAATGCCTTTGCGATTGCTTTCAACAATACTTTCGCTTCAGAGTTGTCCGCCAAGCCCTTCCCCCTTTACTGAACATGGCCCTTTGAACATGGAACAACACCCTGCCCCTTGTTATTTTCTAACTTCCCCGTTTATCCCCGACCTCGGATTACACTTGTAAAGGACTCGTTTTGAAACTGTCACAAGCAAGCTTTGCTTTTCAATAAGGATTTAATCTTGTTTACTTTACTTTCCTTTTGTCAATGGAAAAGTTATAGACATTTTCATCTTGCATTGACGTTGTTTAGATTTTTAAGCATTAATCAGATAATGCAAAGAATATTATTCTGCACACATTGGTTCAATATTTACAATTTTAATCCCATCTATTAAAGATATATGTAGCTTTTATTCAATCTGTTTATTTGTCTTTGCTTATTCTTTTGGTGTATTCACACTTTAAAAGAATTTTTCGAAAAGTTAACCACCATTGACCAAAGTTGGAAACTTAGATACACGATTATTTTAAATACAAAATCAATTATCGACTTTTCCGGTTTTAGATCGTCTAACGTGCTGCATTTTTGCTACTTTTTTGTCTGCAATAGATACTATCAGGACACGAGGGCCCGGTTTCCAGCTTAGCCTTCAACCCATCACAAGCAATTCTCTATTCCGCTTCTTGGGATAAAACCCTGAAAGTATGGGATGTTTTTGCACAAAGCAGTGCCAAAGAAACGCTGCCACTTGGAACTGACGGTAAGCTAATGTACGCTTCCCTGGGCCTGTCCTAGCCTTTGCAGTAGGTCTTTATCAATTCGAGTCTCAGTAGGTTTATGTTGCTTTTCTTGTTCTTGCTATGGTGCTACACTCATTTCAAATCACCTTCTAGAAAGGAAAACGGCTTTGGATTGAGCATTATTTCCGCTTATCTAGAGAATCATGCTTACCGTCTTATACGTTGTCTTTAGCAGAGAGCATATAAATCTTGAGTGTTTTTTTATTTGACAGAAATTAACCATTATTTGTGGGCCCTGTATGTAGATGCTAACCAATCATGCGAATGTCTTTTAGCGTTGGCAGTAGCGGTGAGACCAGATGGGGTGGAGATAGCTGTTGCAACTCTTGACGGACAGTTGACGTTTTGGCGTCCTACGATTGCGATGCAGACTGGATCCATCGAAGGCAGGAGTGCACTTGGCAGTGGGAGGCGTCGGACAGACAAAGTGACTACAAAGAAGATGGAGTCTGGGAAGTGGGTTCTTTCATCGCTAGTCATTTCCTAAGAGATTCAGGATCAATTCTTCCCTGTCCAAAAACTCTCCATAAGATACAATAGAAAACGATGATTTCAGACTCCCCTGGAATTGCCTCAGATCTAGGAATAGGCCCATTTTCCTGTCACTTAAGTTTGAAAGGAATTCCTTGACATGTTATTGACACGTTCCACTTGTTGTCATGGATAATGGTTTTCAAAACCAACGATTAATGAAATTCTCTTTTATGACAAGCTCTTAACAGCAACATTTTCATCAAACCTTCAGTTAAGCACACTGTTAATGAACTAACTCTTCAGTCAATTTAATAATAACTTTCATATCTTTTTGTATAAATGTATCATTGCAAAGATATTTTTGTTTTCTTGTTTCTTATGGTGATGGCACTTAACATTGGCATTGTACTTTCTTTATTGCAGATGTTTTACAACTCTTTGTTACTCAGCAGATGGTACTTGCGTACTGGCAGGAGGGAAATCAAAGTTTATTTCTATCTTTCATGTCGAGCAGCAGGTTATTTTGTCATTTTTCTACGAATTCTTGGTCTTCCGTCCGCATGCTTTAGCCACAGTCTAATTTGAACATTGAATAGATTATCTTTACCATTTTGTCAAGTTGCTGATTTAGCTCTTTTAATTTCAGATACTGTTGAGAAAATTTGAAATCTCAAGAAATCGATCTCTAGATGGCATGCAGGTAAAAATTTCAAACAATATTCATTGAATTTAAAAATGCCTCATTTCGTTTTAAAATTTAGATGCTTTTTGCTTTCCAGCGTACTGATTATATTGACAAAATACCTCAAGTTTATTTTTAATGCTTTTATTTTTTTGGACAATATTTCTTTGGACTGCAAATCTTTTCTCTTGAGATCGCAATCGCGTACTGCTGGAATTTACGCTGGAAGATATTTTCCTGCCAGCAATTTTTGCTTCCAGAAATCTTGTTAGCACGAACAGTTAATTGTTTACGTCATTTTCTAATTCCTTTGCATTTTCTTGCCCTCTTTAAACATGCTCGATTTTATTCATCAAGGAAATGCTCAACAGCGCCAACATGACAGAGGCTGGGCCCCTTGATCTGGTTGATGACCAAGGTTCTGACAAAGAAGACATTGTTTTACCCGGCGTCATGAAAGGTGCTGGCTCCTTTGCTTCACGTAGCAATCCATTCCTGATAATAATTTGGTTTATTGAGAAAAACTCCAATAATCACTACTTTCATGGCATTGTTTTCCCTCAACTTTTGTCACCATTGCTTGGTTGCTGTTTCTTTTGTTTTACATTTCTTTCTTTATAAACCAAATTATTGTTAGGTCGCTGTTTCTGGTTTTTTGCTTGTAGTTACTTTTCTGTACAATAAATTTTAGTACTTTAGCAAATTTTAGTACTTCTTGCTTAGCTGTTTGGACAAAGTAGAAAAAATAATCTTTCGCCAATCCATTCAGTATTTAGCAAAGATCTACCTAGAACAAAAAGAGCGCAATAAAGATTTGTAAAAACATCCTTCTATTACTCTTTATTGTAAATGTTCAAAGATAAATGGTCTATCACTATATTTGTCCATTTGAAAAAATACTTTGTTTTGTTGCCCTATGAGCGTACTTTGGCTTGCAATACAGTTCATTTGATCGACCACTGCAAGGATACTAGTAAATTACGAGTTCTAAGTCAACCTGAGTCTTTGATGTGAGTTCTCAGCTGGGAAACGTTGATAACAGTCATTTATATTGTTTATACATAGTAGCTTTAATTTAAAAAAGAATCCCTTTCTTTAGAAGGCCTCTCCCTCGAAAATAAAAGATGAGGCCCCTTTTTAATAACTAACTGTCCACGTAACAGCATACTGGCAATTTTGTTGCTTATCAAAACTGTATCCCTATTTTGACTCGAAAATTGCTTTGAAATTTCATTCCATTTAAATTTAGCCACTCAAAATAAACTTTCACAATGAAATTTTTAAATTAGCAAGAAAAAGAGGGACTTTTTAATGCCTTTCTAAAAGCCTTCAATGATTTTGAAACCATTTATGTTTCATTTCAGGCGATATGAGTTCGAGGAAAGTATCACCGGAAATCCAGACAAAATGTGTCAGGTTTTCGCCCACAGGTAACAATAATAAGTTTTGTCCTGTGGGAGCTTATACTGTAGATAAGGTTGTAATTTATATTTGAACTTCTAATTTAAATTAGCGTTGAAGTTGTTGTCTTTAGATTTCTACTTCGAATAAGGTTTTTGTGTAAGAAGGCAAGAAGCAGTTCAGAATTTTAAAGGCCGATTTTTATAGCTCCCTCTTGAATTGAGTATAAGAAGAGAAAATTACAAAAAACGAGCTATGCTTTAGCTTTTCAATTTGGTTTATGAAATATTACAGACAACCTCGTTTTGCAATATTTGTAATCGATTGATGCTAATTTTCGTAGAAGTTCCAAATGGATCAACTAATATCTTGCTTATCGTAATTTCCGTTACTGAACTGTAGCTGGAAGTGAAATCAGTATACTTAGTGAGACCTTTTGGCTCGTATAGCCTTCTTTGATAAGCCATCAGCAGGGTAGAACGTAATGTAACGGAAGTCTATTGACCCATGGCTTCATCTTTTCACCATAGATCAAGTTCTAGCTAGAATAAGATAGTGTTTATTTCCATAAGCTTACGGTTCACAGAACTGTGGTCTTCGTTGATTTTACTGTAGATTTATTGAATATTTAGCAAATGATGCGCCAATATCGTCTGCATCCATAATTCGCTATTGTCAAGTTACACTCTCACAAAAAACAAATAAATTTAGCCATAATAGTGGTTTGGTTCACATATGAATCAAGAAATTAAATATGCTAAATAAAAATTCGCTAGATCAGATGTACTCTCGGGTGGAGGGAAGCTGTCCCTAGCTGATTTTTCTAGAGGTCTTGCCTATTTCTGTTCTTGACCCTTGCGACGCCACTCACGCCAACTTTTTGGCCAATAAGATGTCATTTGAATAAAAACTTTCCTACTGTAAAGTTTGCATAAAAAGCGAGACCTTCATTGTAAGTTGCATCTTTACAATAAAATTTTCTCCGTTGCACTTTTGGTAGGTCGGGCATGGGCAGCAGCAACAACAGAAGGCTTAATGCTTTACTCACTCAACTCTTCTATTGCCTTCACGCCCTATGACTTGGAAATGGATACTACGGTGGAGCAAACGGTTGAACTGCTTGCGAAGAATGAACTTGGCAGAGCCCTTGTTTGCAGTTTGCGACTGAATGAAGATAGTTTAGTTAAAAGAGTGATGGAATCAATCAAACCAGACGATAGTATGTATATTACAATATTTCATATTCATAAATCTCGTTGAAAATCAATCGTCACCCTGTCATGACGTCACTGTTGCGCCCTAAAATGTTGGATCTAAGCCGCACTTTATTTGCTTTTTTTTATTGTGTAAGATGAAATCTTCCACATCTTAGTTTCTAAGCTTTCCTTTGCGAGTATTATCTACCTGTAATTTATATCTTCGGATGTACTGCATCCCTTTTCGTGGTAGATATATTTTGCTCGGTATCGCAAATAACTATGTACCACTAGAGTTTGTACTCTTTAGTTCAAGGTATTTGTCAATCAATGACTGAGTCGTTTGCAGTTCAGCTGCTAAATCATGTGGCCAAGCAGTTGGAATCATCAGGACATTTGGAGTTTTATCTTATCTGGACTAAACAACTGTTATTTACATGGGGTAAATATATCAAAGAAAATTCACTAGAAGTTATGCCATTGCTCATAAATTTGCAGAAATCATTGGCGAGAACCTCTGAAGATCTGGGAAGACTGTGAGTTTGTCTCCTAGTTGAATTTTTTCTGTAGGTGCTTGTTTTCTGCAGTGATAGAGGTATCTTTTTCACTAGCATGTTCATCCGCAGTGCCAATTATCTTGTTATTGCCTCCATTTAGGTCCAGTTAGCAATATTTCCCTCCTCTCTAGAAGACTCTTGGTGTATTTTTAGGCTGTTTGCCGCTCAGGTAGCTTGGAACCCCTAGAAGGTTGTTCAAAATTATCAAAAGTGGTTGCTTTACTGTTCTAATTTGCTTGGTGCAACCACGAAGTTTTGATCAATTATAATCCTGTGGTTCTCGAGCACTTCCCCTTTGTTTTCCCCTAGTCTCTAGTTTTCTTTGCCATCAAAGACAATATATTTCCCAAGCACTCAGGGGGATAAAGATCTTAATTCTCAGCTTTCTCTCTTGACTGTTTCTTTGAATACTTTGAATACTTTCAAGCATGCAGACAACAACTAGTACTAGTACAACTAGTACTGCCATGCATAATCTTTGAAGCATGCATAATCTTTTTCAGGTGCGATGGTAATATATATGCATTAGACTATCTTCTTAAAATGAAGCTGAAGACCTCAGTGAAGGATCAAGATACGGGAACTGAAGCCGTGCAAATTGAAACTTTGAACGCTGGTAACTTTGACAGTCTAGAAGTCTAGTTGATCATCTGTAAAGAGGGTAAAGACGTCAATCTACACACAACGAGAAACCAGTAGCCCGACCAGGAAGAGAGATAAGCCTTGTATGGAAGAATCAAGCTCTATATACGATCTTATCCGTATTAACCGATTTATTTGTTACAGAAATGGACCTTTGTTACAGAAATGGACCGAGTGCTAATGGCAATCGATGCTACTTGTGATTAGAATAAAAACTTTTGGTTTTAATAAAAAATAATATCGACACTGTTTATTGGTTTTATCTCTTTTTCTTGTCTTTCATTCAATTCAAATATCTTTGCAGTGGTTAATCATATGTTTTTCCGCCCAATCAATCACAGGTTTGGTTGTAAATATTTACTCTTTCTCGCCGATTTTCACTTAAAACAAAGGATATAGGCTCGCTCTGGAGAGCGTTTCAGTTTGGGATCGATCCCGTCTCGTGTAAACGTTCGAAATTGATGGGATCGATCCCAAATTGCCACGGATATGAAACGAGGCTAATGAACTCTCCAGATTAAGGTGCTTTGAGCACGGTACTTCGACACTTGGTCAGGTCTTGCGCGCTCTCTTCGCCCACAAGATGGAAATACAAAACAAGACGGGGGAAGTTTCTATCACGAGTTTATTGATTAATTAAGCGAACAGGCTCCAACCTATAATGTTTTAACTACCTTTCAAATTCGAAGCCATTTTCTTCTCAGCCTTCCTATAAACTTGGCGGTATTTTCTTTGTGTTGTTGATAATGACATAAGCAATACGCATGACCATTCCGTTCAAAAGGCCTAGAAAGCCGTGCGGTCCGATCCGGGATCGATCCCGTGTAAACACAATATATCTTGGGATCTATCAACTGGATCGGTCCCATTTTCCCTCTGTAAACAGGGCCATAGATACAGAAAAGCCAGCCATCTGCAATTGCTTTCAAGCTTTTGTTATGAAATGAAACAAGTTGTAAGGTGTCAATACAGATATAGGGCACCCTAGGACATCAAAGTATAAGGAGAAGCATGAGATTGAATATAAATTTCAAGATATTCATTTCAATGGTAATAAAAAAGCATATTGATTTTCCATTTTCACGGTCGAAAATGTTCTGCGGTCGGAAATTTTTGCCAACGTACGACCAGCTTGTCGTTAACACTCGTTAAGATTAAAATCAGAAATATTCTCTCAGTCTTTATCCTATATTGAAAAACTTGAGGAGTTATCCACACTGTTTGGGTGCTGTTGATAGCAGTTTTGCAGCATGCTCAAAATACAGTAATTACTGACACAAACATCCAATTGTGCTATTGGCAGTAGCAGAGACAGACTACGAGCGCCGATTTGGAAACTAATGGGATAATTCTGAACAGAGACGGATGTAGCGGGAGGGTGTAGGGGGAGCGCAACCCCCCAATATTTCTGTGTCCTTCGGTAACTTTTTGTTTCATTCGATGAAAATCATTTGTTGGTAGTCAAAAGTAACCAAGAAATGGCCTGGCCAAACGAATAGAACATCCGCAAAACATCACAAAACATTTTTGTACCAACATTGTTGAACAATGTTTCATGTCAAACAAATGTTAAAAAATCTATTATTGTCAAGCGCTGCCGCACAGCTTCCTATTGTCTTGACATCCCTAGCCAATGTGGTCTGTGACCTGGGCTTTGGTATTCCATGGTGGCTACCCTTTTTCCAGCCACCTGTAAAATGGTTTTGGCTGTTAGAAACTTTTCTTGGCTTCACGATGGTTTGAATCGCTTTTAAATTCACAGATTCAGCAAATGTCTTAAGAAATGTCTTATGCATTAGTTTTCGTGACGCTTATTCATCTGAGTCTGAATCTATAATCATTACTTTTTAATGCCCTGCGTCCGCAAATATATAGTTTTTCTTAGTAACTAGTGGATTTATTAGTAGCCATTAGTAACTTATATCATTTGAAAAATATGTAAACTGGCAGTAGCACTGTTGCATTGATGAGGCTTATTACTACACTGACGAGATGGTTAACGGCAGTGGCATTTCTGCAATGTCTCCCAGCCACTTTCTCACAATGTAAGTAAGAAACTAGTAGCATCTTATGGGGGTGATATCTATGACAAAAATCAGTTTTCGAAATCTGCAATGTATGTAGTGATAACATCTAAGCTTTTGTTCGTTCTGTTTTGTTCCCGCTGAGTTTTTCATGCTACGCTTCGCTGCTTGTATATACCGCTGTGTTTATTTAGAAATAGTCAGTTGGTTTGAAATAAGATAATAACACGACGTACGTCTCTTACTATCGACTTCGCTCTTCAATAATTCGTCCTTCGAATCTGTTACTTGATTAACAACACAGGTTGTTAAATTGGTGACCACTTTGTTAAATTGGTGACCACGTTGTTTATTTCTACGTCTACAATTCGACATGAATACAGACGCCAACACGCCCCCGTCAGCCAGCACTACTGCAACTGCAGCCATCGCCACGACTTCAGAACCAGCACCAGTAGCTTCGGTGAGTGTCAAACTTCCACCTTTTTGGCCTAACGACCCCCTGGTTTGGTTTGCTCAAGTAGAGGCCCAGTTTTTCACAAGAAGTATAACTTCACAGGCTACAAAGTTTGCTTATGTAATCTCCACTCTCCAGCCTGAAATCGTACAGGAGGTACGCGACATTTTGATCCACCCCCCTCAAGCAACGCAGTACGATATACTCAAGGCCGAACTCATACAGCGCACTTCCACATCTGAACAAAAGCGGCTTCACCAACTGCTGACTGCAGAAGAACTGGGTGACCGGAAGCCCTCTCAATTACTGCGCCATATGCGACAACTGCTTGGAGACAATACACTGGAAAACAACATTTTACGACAGTTGTTTTTGGAAAGGTTACCAACCAATGTCAGGCTGATTTTAGCCTCCACTGCTGACTCTCTTCCGTTGAGCAGGTTGCTTTATTAGCAGACAAAATTTTAGAGGTTGCGACCCCCCTTGGCATTTCCTCTTTAACACCTACTGTGTCAGCGCCAGCCCCCACGCCTGTTCCACCGCCTATCGCATCTGAAGTTCATTCTCTCAGATCTCAAGTAGAGGAACTGACTTTTCAAGTCCAAGCCCTCATGAGCCGCACACAGCCAACCAATAGTTTCCCAGGGCGTAGCCGAAGCCGCTCTATCAGCCGTAATCGCCGCACCAGCCCAGCACCCTCAAACTCTACCTACTGCTGGTACCATCAACGTTATGGTCGACTTGCTCGCAATTGCACTCCAAAATGCAACTTTTCAAGATTCACCTCAAACCAGGGAAACGACGCCACCAGCAACTAAGGGCAACTAGTTCTGCTGGTCCTGCTTCTTCCAGTCGCCTCTTTTATATTACCGACCGTACCACTGGTACACGCTTCTTGGTAGATACAGGTGCTGATGTAAGCATTTTACCTCCTTCTTCTGCTGACAAACAAACTTCTCAAAACATTTCTTTACAGGCTGTGAATAAGTCGCCAATTCGTACTTTCGGAGAAAAGTCTTTAACGATAGACCTCGGACTTCGCCGCACGTACAGGTGGATTTTTATTATTGCTGAAATACCGTTTCCTATTCTTGGCGCTGATTTCCTAGCTCATTTTGGCCTTAAAGTTGATGTTAAACATCGGAAACTCATTGACACTACAACAAATTTGACAATTCAAGGTATTTTGTCCGCCGATAGCTCACCTCATCCTATGCTGGCAACCCCTGATACTACTTCGCCATACCAAGCCTTACTTCAAAAGTATCCTGACATTGTCCGTCCTTCATACAATGAATCAAAAGTAAAGCATACCGTCACCCATCACATCACAACTTCAGGCCCTCCTGTATTTGCTCGTCCCCGTCGTCTTGCTTCTGAACGTTTGACCATTGCCAAGGCTGAATTTGATCACATGTTACAACTTGGCATCATTCGGCCGTCAAAAAGCAGTTGGTCTTCTCCGTTGCACATGGTTCCTAAGGCTACTCAAGGCGACTGGCGAACTTGCGGTGATTATCGTGGCTTGAACAATGCTACAGTTCCTGATCGCTACCCCATCCCACACATCCAAGATTTCTCTTCGTCTCTGCATGGAAAAACCGTTTTCTCAAAAATTGATCTTGTGCGTGCCTATCATCAGATTCCAGTCGAGCCTACTGACATTTCTAAGACTGCTATAACAACTCCCTTTGGGCTATTTGAGTTCGTTCGCATGCCATTCGGATTGCGTAATGCAGCACAGACCTTCCAGCGCTTCATGCACCAAGTACTTCGTGGTTTGGATTTCGTTTTTGCTTACATTGATGATTTACTTATCGCCAGCAACTCTGAAGCAGAACATTTGTTGCATCTTGACATTTTATTCTCTCGTCTTTCCGATCATGGTATTGTCATTCACCCTACCAAATGCATTTTTGGCCAATCTCATATTGACTTCCTAGGACATCATGTTTCACCACAAGGAATCTCACCCCTTTCCACAAGAGTTAAAGCAATCAAAGATTTTCCTCCTCCTACTTCGCTCAAAAAGCTTCGCGAGTTCCTGGGATTGCTCAACTTCTACCGTCGTTTTGTGCCTCGCTGTGCTCAATTAATACAGCCTCTCACCGATCTTCTCTCTGCCAAGTCTACCAAGGAACCGTTCCAACTAACTGTGGATTCATTATCTGCATTCTCAGAGATCAAAAAAGCACTTTCCCAGGCTACTCTTCTTGTTCACCCATCACCAGTGGCACAATGCAGTGTAGTTGTTGCTGCTTCGAATGTGGCTGTAGGAGCAGTGCTACAACAATTCCTCAACGGTGCCTGGCAACCTATTTCTTTCTTTTCAAAGCGCCTGCAACCAGCCGAAACGAAGTACAGCACATTTGGACGAGAACTACTCTCCGTCTACTTAGCTATCAAGCACTTTCGGTACTTTTTGGAAGGACGCGCATTTCATGTTATGACAGACCATAAGCCATTGCTCCATGCACTGTCTTCTTCGTCTGATCGATATTCGCCACGGGAAATTCGCCATCTTGATTTTATCTCTCAATTCACCTCTGACATACGACATGTAAAAGGCCATCAGAATGTGGTTGCGGATGCTCTTTCTCGCATTGAGCTCAATTCCTTACTCAATATTCCAACCCTTGACTTTGTCACACTGTCTGCAGCTCAACAGCAAGATTCTGAATTCCAACAGGTATAGTCAAACACCTCTCTTAACCTGAAAGAGTTTTCTTTACCGGCAGATTCTGGAATCATCATTTGTGACATATCAACCGGCACTCCTCGCCCATATGTTCCTGTCTGTTATCGCCGCCTTGTGTTTAATCACCTCCACTCACTTGCACATCCCGGTATTCGTGCAACACAGCGACTTATCAGACAACATTACATCTGGCCTAGTATCAACAAAGACATCCGTAATTGGACTCGGTCCTGTATCCCATGCCAACAGGCTAAAGTCACCCGTCACACGTTTTCCCCCATTGGAACTTTTCCAGCTACCGACACACGTTTCGATCACATACACATTGACCTTGTTGGCCCTCTACCACCATCAAATGGCTGTAAATATCTTCTTACTTGCATCGACCGCTACACTCGTTGGCCAGAGGCGATTCCAATTTCAGATGCTACTGCAGAAACCGTCGCTCAAGCTTTTGTTTCACGTTGGATTGCAGTTTTCGGTGTTCCTTCAACGATAACAACTGATAGAGGAGCTCAGTTTGAATCAGCTCTCTTCCGTTCCCTCGCTGATTTACTTGGAATCAAACGTATTCATACTACTTCTTACCACCCTTGCGCCAATGGTATGGTTGAGCGTTTCCATCGACAGCTTAAAGCTTCAATCAAAGCTCAACCGGATTCCACAAGATGGATCGACCTTCTTCCACTCATTCTCCTCGGACTTCGGACAACGATTAAAACTGACCTCGGTTGTTCACCTGCCCAACTTGTTTATGGTTCCACACTTCGTCTTCCAGGTCAATTCATCTCTCCGACCTTTGATGTCACAGCCCTTGATCCCTCTGTTTTTGTTGATCGTCTACAAAGTTTTATGCAACAACTAAAACCAACTCCTCCCCGTTCTCAAGAAGCTTACACATACATCCCAGCTAATCTTCCATCTTGTACGCACGTTTTTGTTCGCCATGATGCTGTTCGAAAGCCGTTTCAACCTCCATACGACGGTCCTTTCAAGGTTCTCAAGCGCAATGACAAACATTTCCTCGTAGATGTCAACGGAAAACAACAAACAATAAGCAAAGATCGTCTAAAAGTTGCTTATACCGATGCAGATAACCAACGTTCAACTGCCAGAAACACATCATTCCCATCAAACCATGCTTCAGCGAGGGCCAAGCCGGTAGAGAACCAAGTACCTGGTACTTCTCGGACAACACGTTCAGGGAGACAAGTTCATTTTCCGGACAGATATGGACATGCCTGAACATTCGTACATACACTGTATTAACTTTTATCCCAAATGCTTTTCTCGAACTTGCATTCTAGGGGGGAGGTACTGTAGTGATAACATCTGAGCTTTTGTTTTGTTCCCGCTGTGTTTTCCATGCTACGCTTCGCTGTTTGTATATACCGCTTTGTTTATTTAGAAATAGTTACTTGGTTGGGAATAAGATAATAACACGACGTACGTCTCTTACTATCGACTTCGCTCTTCAATAATTTGTCCTTCGAATCTGTTACTTGATTAACAACACAGGTTGTTAAATGTATGCACTGCATTTCATGAATCCAGCAAATGCTAAATCCAAAATTTTGCATTCACGCAATGTGCAATTTGGCAAATGTCAGATATCATTCCGTAATTCGTTAATTCATTCTGCAATCAGTCATTTCATGGTTTGCGATCATGCATCCACCATTCCATATTCCACCATTTCATCACCCATTTGTCATAACATCATTCTGGAAACCGCTAATCCGTTATTCGGCATTCTGTATTTCGACATCTGTCAATCTGTTATTCGTGATTCAGGAAATTTGCTGATTTTCATTCCAATAGGCAAATGAGTTGAGCAATTCAATTTAAATAGAGAATCTCTCCAACAATTTAATACCCCCGTCCGCGTATTTGGTACTTACCGCTAATGGCGGCGCCAGCCACTAAGCTCTGGGCGGACAAACCCAAAAAATTTAAGCCACGCCCTTTTAACCACCAGAAAAAGCCCTTCTACCAACAGGGAACGCCAATTTCATCCGATGGGAACGCCTATGACAAGCTTTTGTTTGAAAATTGGCAGTTTGAAAATCATAGGATTACATCACAAAAAGTACGGTGTCAAAATATTACCCCTCCCCCAACATTTTCTCGTCAAATTTAGTCGAAATACAAAATCGATTCTGCTGAGAACTGGGGGGGGGGGGACGCGCCCAGAAGTCCCTTATCGGTTATGCACTCTTCTTGTTTTAAGAAAAATTTTACAAGAACACGAGCCTCAAAATTGGTCAAAAGTTACGTACATACATTCCAGATCTCGATAACTGATTTTTGTCATAGATATCACCCCATATCACCTACCTACCTATAGATTGTACTAATAGATTGTAGTTTGATAATTCTCTCAAAGGGCATCAACAAACAAATATGGCGATTGGACTCGATACCGTCGAGTTCATTTTTCATTTAAAGTATTCCTCATTTATTCCTCAGACCCAATGATGAAACCTTCTGTTTTTTCTACAGATGTCTCGAGCTCCTTTTTATGCATATGAGTCTAGGGTACATATTGAGGTTGCCTTGCAAGACGTATGGAAATTTCAGCGTTGAAAAACAAGGTTTTATGCTTAATGGACATGTGCTGATGTCATTGGAGGTCTGGACTGTAAGAGAATGCGAACAGCATTGCTTGCGTCATCCGGGATGCAGCTCAATAAACTGGAAGATACCAGCATCTGGGTTTGCTAATTGCCAGATCAATGATAAATCGGCAGAAAATTCGTATGACAACGTAATGTTATCTCCTTCATCTGAATGGACCTACAAAACAACAAATTATACAGAAAGAAATGTAAGTTGCAGAAGGTTTAGGACCATCAGCATTTAGAATTAGGGGAAGGTTACACCTTTTTTATTTTAGAGACAAAGGTTTTGGGAGTAATCATAGGTGTAACAAAAGAAATAGGATATGAACACATTCAATCAAATTTGAATATACAGAGTTGCCATCTGTGATCACTCGTAAGTTGTAGCTGTCAAAAGGTGGCATTGGATTTGATTGGCCGCACCCTTTTTTCACTGCGATCCTCTCACATTGTGATCATTATTTTGTGTAAATGTGTCTAGAGTAGAAACTAGGCTTTCTACAAAAAGGGCACTTTTCTAACAAAACGGGAAATTTCTTTATGTTCTTGGAAGAATGGAGGCACAAGGACCATTATATCATCGTTTCAGAAAGACTTCGTCACTGGTGGCGGCATTGCATCTGCTATAAGAGCATTTGATATGCTGTCACTGGTAAAAGGAACTATGCAACGTTTACACAAACAAAGTGGACTTTGAAGAACGATTTCATGTTATTTTGCACTTCAAATTTTCATCAAACAAAACTGCCCCTTTAGCGTTACTCTTTATGAAAAGCATGCACTTCAGTGCTCGAAAGAGACACGATTTTAAAGTAGGTTTTTTAAATTGATAAAATCTAAAGATGGACAATCTCTAATCATGTTGGCTGCCTTAACCAAAGGTGCCGTTGATGATCTGCTCAGGAACCAGCGTCCGGGGGCAAAGAAGCTACAGCCCCCCTCAAACCAAAAGCTTCAAACTTTTGCTACTTTGTGCGGGCTAACTTGTCTTTAGCTTTCTCCGTGGAAAAAATCAAACCCCACTTCGCCCCTTTGTTTTTTACTGCAAATGCATAAGACAAAGGTTAAAACTTACTATATAAGGAAGTAGAGCTTGGAACAAGCCCATGACTTGTATAACTGGGGCGGTGCCAAGAAACTCAAAGTGAGAGGTAAGCTCGAGTTGACAGTATTATTTGACTAAAAACCCATCTTTGAAAAGGCAAAAAGTGCATTACTGTATATTATGTCTATGATGACGTGAGCACCTAGATTAATTCTATTGAGAAATTGGCTGGACTGTTGAGAGATTTCTGCGGGAAAGCTGGATGAAGAGGCCCAGAATATTTCCGTGACCACTCCTTTTGATTTAATATAGCTTCGATTTATTTCTTCAGTTTATCTGAATTTGCTCAAGTAACAATTTATCAATTCTTGAAGCAACTAATGCACTAGTCGTTAACCTGTGTGTCCATTTCACTGTTTTCAGATCGGTGAGTTGTGTCAAGCTTTGAAACCATGTAAAACCCCAGAAACATGTATGGATTCCTGTGATTGCCCAGGATACGACTGCCAAACCACGAATTTAGGCAAGTAATTTTCTGCGTAACAAAACATTGTATCTCTAAACAGTTTTGTAAAGCAAAAAGGCAACAAGACTTCGATAAACTGAAAGTATGGTGTGCTTTCAAATGGCGATGATACTTGGTCGCTTGCAAGAGTATTCCAAATAGCCACAACCCCTCCGCCCCTATTTTCCGGTCTCCTTTTATATATTTTTACGATATTTTTGAAGAGGCACAATATCTTATAAGACTGTCAGACTAGCCCTGAAATGACGGTGATGCCACTCTCCATCGCAGAGGCGTTTGTTGAGAAAGATCGCTTCTAACCCTGACAACTAGCCCTGACAAAAAAGTTGGTTGCTGCCACAGCCTGACAAAAAAGGTTGGTTGATGCCACAGGTTCTGCGACGGAGAAGTCTTTCTAGTCGAACCCACAGGGCTCAACCTAAACAAGTGGTGGTAAGGCGTCCCCACTACCGGTGTTTTAATCGAAACAGTATTGCTAGGGAGGTTGCGAACCAAGGTTTAAGAGGCAGCCTCCTCCTTACCCATGAGAAAGAATAACCCCCGCCGGATGCCAACTTGATTTTGATGGTTTATCGAGAGGAGCTAACAGGTACTACACCTTGCTCAAGGTTGACCTGGAAGTAGTATTTGGTAGAAGCTCATCCCACGTCAGGACTCCAAAGCCGGAATGAATGATTTTCCCGGTCCCTTGAACTTGCTTACCCTCTCCTTTTACAATTCAATGTGTGCTGTTCATTTAAAAACAGTATACTCTCGTTAAGTAGGACCCCGGATAAGTAGGACGCCAGCTATGAAGTACAGATTTTCCCGGTCCCTTGAACTTGCTTACCCTTTTCAAGCGTTTGGATAAGTAGGACGCCCGCTAAGTGGTACACTTTTGCTCGGTCCCTTGAGTGTCCCACTTAACGAGAGTATACTGTATTGATCATCCCGATAGACCAAAAGGTTTTCATTGAAGCAAACATGATAATTTCCTTTCCATTTAACAGGACAAAAAAGTTGCCAGGATTTGTACGCTCTTGGCTTCAGAGAAAGTACGAGATACAACATTTATCAACCAGACATTGGAATTTTCCCAGTCAGATGTGACATGGCAAGCGATGGAGGAGGTTGGATTGTGTTCCAGCGCCGTGTTGATGCCAGTGTGGATTTCTTTCGAGATTGGGATGCCTACAAGCAAGGATTTGGGGATATGAACGGAAACTTCTGGCTGGGGCTTGAAAAACTGCACAAGCTAGCGGCTCCAGGAAAGGGGGCCATTCTTCGTGTTGACTTAAAACACATGGAATTCGAAGACAAGAAATATGCAAAGTACAGCTTATTTGAGATTTCTGGAGAATTGGATGGGTATCGTCTAAATGTGGGAGGCTTCTCTGGAACTGCTGGTGATTCACTGGCAAGACAAAACAATATGAAATTCTCGACAAAGGACAAGGATCAAGATACATATCATTCCAACTGTGCAGAAATATATAAAGGAGCTTGGTGGTACATTGCATGCCATGACTCAAATCTGAACGCCCTTCATCCTTCCTCTGGAAGTGGTAGTGTACTCGCAGGTTATATGTCCTGGAAAGCGATTAGGAACGAACATGGTAAAGTGACATTCTCTGAGATGAAAGTGAAGTATCCGTAGAAGTATTCATTCATAACTGTTACTTGCTAACTGTTAACTGCAAAGACTTCGAATTTAGTTTTCTTTGTCTTAAAAAAAGTGACAAGGCCATGGCCCTACTTTTACTCTTGCACTCTTAAGTATGCAAAGGTTGTAAGAAAAAGGTTGTAAGAAAAGTTGTGTAAAAAGAATTGATAGTAATGGCGTTTAATGGCGTATTGTATAAATTATTTGATGCTAGTGTTTCGAAGTGAACGCACACCGACTTACTTACTGACACATGCTCACTTATTTTTAAGTAACCAAGTTTTAATCAAATACTTAAATTACCAAAATACAAGTAGTATTTTGGGCTGTCTTTATTGATTCTGGGAGTGAATTCTAGATTTTAGGCCCTTGAAAACTTCGTGATCTGATACCATTGTTGGTAGTTCTGACTTTTGGAACGGCAAAAGGGTTTTTGAGACGAAAGTTGTGACCTGTTGTTTTAGGGACAAAGTAGTTTTTCATAAAAGTTGGATTAACGTTGTTCAGTTTTTTATAAACTTCAATCGCTTGAATTGTAATAAATTGGGTGTGTATGTTAGTTTCTTTCGAGATAGCAATATACATGGGTAATAAATCTTTATACGAAGTTGAATAGTTCGAATAGGCTAGTCGTAATGTCCTCTCGTTAAATTTCTTTAGATTGTCCTGCCTTTCTTAACCACATAAACAACTATATCAATGGGCAATAGTTGAAAGGACATAGATAAATGCACTTTTGATTATTTCTTTCTCTTATTCCCCATAAATCTTGCTAATCTTTTCAAAGGATTCATCTATTTAGCCTCGTTTTTTCAGATATTATCAATATGAGCATTAACTTTGAAATCTTAATAGATCTGAACACAAAGCAAAGTAGCATTTTTCTTCATTTTAATTGAAAATTTATGTAAGTTTTAAACTCATTTATGCATTTATTTATCTTTGTTGCCAATTATGATAGCTTGAAATTTAGAGGGATTCGCAATCATTTGTGTGGATTCTTGGGTGGTATTGCCATAACTCCTCGAATAAGCCTCTTTGGGCTTACTGTTTGAGACACTTACTTCTTCAAGCAGAGGCTTTAATAAGGGTGAGGGCTTGTGAAAGTCTCCAAAAACTGCCATTCAAATTTGTGAAGAACTTTCTCTTTTTTTCAAGTTCACTCTGAGAAACGAAACATTTTGCAAGTCAACACTGACACTAAAAATATCATGGACGGAAATAACGCACTTCATAAAAAGTGACATGTCAGGGGGAAGCTTACTCTAGGTTGGGGGCTCTTTAAAAATTTTCATTTCCAGGTTAGGGGCTAATATCTGGACGTATGAGAGAGGGTAAATTTGCTCACGGAAAATTGCACAAAACTCGTGTTTTTAAAAATCAATGACCAACTTGGGGGCCTTTTAAACTTTTAAATAATCTATAAAGACCATTTTGTAATATTTGATGACCCGCCTTAAGTGGAACACAAAGCTACTTCAATATTACTACTTTTACAGTTCCTTGGTGTCGAGAGGAGAAACGACCTCAAAATCAAAGCAGTTGTACAGCTTATTGACAACATTCGATGTTCAGTTACATAAGTTTCTATATGATACTTAATTGTGCTGTTTATAATAATTACGAATTTGAAACATATAGTATACGTCTTAGAGAACCTTTTCAGCTACCGCAAAATGCATAAAGGAGAGTCTGAGCTACCGCAAAATGCATAAAAGTTCCACGAATGATGGTAAAAATGCAATGAAAAAGGAGTTATTAACTCTTTAGATTTCATGTTGCTTAATCTATGGGTTTGCAAATGTCGGGTACGATTTGTCGGTGCATATCCAGCATTCTTTTATGGAGAAGAAACATCTTTGCTTATATCCAACCTTTTTTCGCAAACGTAATATGAAGACAAGAGGCAGAAATTTCTGAAAGATACCAGCGTGATATTTGAGTGCTGCCTTGGGTCTTCAAGAACCCCACAACAGGTCTGCGTTTCATTGCAGCTCTTCCTTTTGATAGCTTGGTCAAGAAATCTACTTGATGCTCGTTGGTCATCGGCCCATCTCAATAAGCCTCCTTTTCCCTAAAAAATGATGAAAATTACTACAACATGACCTGTATCAACATCTTTTTACAACAATTTCAAGTGATACAATGACTTCTATTTTATTTTCAATATCCCTGCCTGAAAAAGTTTCTTTTCTCAAAAGAGAGTTGGATACCCTGAAACAAATAGCATACATTGGAATGCCTTATATTTTCTGTTGACGTCAGTTTAAATATCCTTTCCAAGGGAATTTTGTATCATATACCAACTCTAAACAGCTTGATTACTTGAAAAAATTTATGAGTTATGAAATGATTGGCAAAGGGGGTGTGAGCCCATAAGATATTAGTAAGTCAACCTTCTTTGGCTCCTCTAATCATATTAGGATTTCTAATAAAATTTCAATCTTCTTGCTTTGCTTGGTAAATTAGTTGGCTAAAAATATTAGCGAGTAACATGGCACTACCCTTAAAATAATCTATTGTAGTTCTTCGGTAATCTTTAGGTTCTTCGGTAAATTTTCCTTTAAACTGCAGTATTTTTGTGCTTTTCTCTATCACATTTTTGCAGCGAATTCTCACAAAAATTTAACCTCATTTGCTTAAATTTGATAAAGCTTGAGAACTGACAGGAAGTCACCAATGTTTTTCTTGCAACCTTGTCTCACAATACGAATGCACCGTGTAACATGTCATTTCTGTGTTGTACAATCAACTTTTTGCTTTCACAAAGGTTGCCTGCCTCAAGTAGAACTGGTAAAATTGCAAGTATTTTCAAAACCATTGCTTGGTGTAAGATCGATGTATGAAACTTTTGTTTGGTCTAAGGTTTTTAGGTCGTAGCAATATATGTCGATTCTGGTCCGTTTGGTAGAAACGACACTTCAGATTCGTGAACAGAAGAGTCAATTCCAATATCAACTGTTGACCGTGTTATTCCAGAGGAGATCGAAATAACTGTTTCTTTCACAATGGAATTAGTCAGCAGTTTTAAACTGGGGCTAAAAGCACTGCTGGGCTCTGATGCAGACAGCGTTGGCCTAGGTATAGAGGAAGAATGTGCAAAGTAAACCAAGCTAGTTGATAGTGTTGAGCTCTGCTGAGTCGTAGTTTTCAAGACTGCTGAGTAGTAGTTTGTAAGGGAGGGAGTTGTCACGCTTGGGTTCAAGGACGTGCCTGCAAGAGTAGAACTAGACAAAGTTCCAGAGGATTCACTCTTTAAAATGCCTTTGGAAGATGACATCAGGAGCGTAGAACTCGTCTCAAGTTGGGTGTTACTGTGCTGTCTATCTGTGAGCACTTCCATTGCAGATGATGCTTTGACGCTCTCTAAAGTGCTGCTTGTCTCCAATGTTGGAAGTGACAATGAGGAGTCCTTTGACATATGCTTCAATATTGATGCTGCTTCCTCGTGTTTCTAGAAAAACAAAGAATACACCCTTTACCAACACTAACATGTTTGAACTTTAGGTTTATTACCTGTAATGTTCACAGTGTGCCAACCGTTGAATGCCAGCTGCTAAATCACGTGGCCAAGCAGTTGGAATCATCAGGACATTTGGAGTTTTATCTTATCTGGACTAAACAACTGTTATTTACATGGGGTAAATATATCAAAGAAAATTCACTAGAAGTTATGCCATTGCTCATAAATTTGCAGAAATCATTGGCGAGAACCTCTGAAGATCTGGGAAGACTGTGAGTTTGTCTCCTAGTTTAATTTTTTCTGGTTTTCTAGAAGGTTGTTCAAAATTATCAAAAGTGGTTGCTTTACTGTTCTAATTTGCTTGGTGCAACCACGAAGTTTTGATCAATTATAATCCTGTGGTTTTTGAGCACTTCCCCTTTGTTTTCCCCTAGTCTCTGTTTTCTTTGCCATCAAAGACAATAAATTTGCCAAGCACTCAGGGGGATAAAGATCTTAATTCTCAGCTTTCTCTCTTGACTGTTTCTTTGAATACTTTGAATACTTTCAAGCATGCAGACAACAACTAGTACTAGTACAACTAATACTGCCATGTATAATCTTTGAAGCATGCATAAGCTTTTTCAGGTGCGATGGTAATATATATGCATTAGACTATCTTCTTAAAATGAAGCTGAAGAGATCAGTGAAGGATTAAGATACGGGAACTGAAGCCGTGCAAATTGAAACTTTGAACGCTGGTAACTTTGACAGTCTAGAAGTCTAGTTGATCATCTGTAAAGAGGGGAAGCGTCAATCTACACACAACGAGAAACCAGTAGCCCGACCAGGAAGAGAGATAAGCCTTGTATGGAAGAATCAAGCTCTATATACGATCTTATCCGTATTAACCGATTTATTTGTTACAGAAATGGACCTTGTCCGGCCGAGTGCTAATGGCAATCGATGCTACTTGTGATTAGAATAAAAACTTTTGGTTTTAATAAAAAATAATATCGACACTGTTTATTGGTTTTATCTCTTTTTCTTGTCTTTCATTCAATTCAAATATCTTTGCAGTGGTTAATCATATGTTTTTCCGCCCAATCAATCACAGGTTTGGTTGTAAATATTTACTCTTTCTCGCCGATTTTCACTTAAAACAAAGGATATAGGCTCGCTCTGGAGAGCGTTCCAGTTTGGGATCGATCCCGTCTCGTGTAAACGTTCGAAATTGATGGGATCGATCCCAAATTGCCACGGATAGGAAACGAGGCTAATGAACTCTCCAGATTAAGGTGCTTTGAGCACGGTACTTCGACACTTGATCAGGTCTTGCGCGCTCTCTTCGCCCACAAGATGGAAATACAAAACAAGACGGGGGAAGTTTTTTCTATCACGAGTTTATTGATTAATTAAGCGAACAAGCTCCAACCTATAATGTTTTAACTACCTTTCAAATTCGAAGCCATTTTCTTCTCAGCCTTCCTATAAACTTGGCGGTATTTTCTTTGTGTTGTTGATAATGACATAAGCAATACGCATGACCATTCCGTTCAAAAGGCCTAGAAAGCCGTGCGGTCCGATCCGGGATCGATCCCGTGTAAACACAATATATCTTGAGATCTATCAACTGGATCGGTCCCATTTTCCCTCTGTAAACAGGGCCATAGATACAGAAAAGCCAGCCATCTGCAATTGCTTTCAAGCTTTTGTTATGAAATGAAACAAGTTGTAAGGTGTCAATACAGATATAGGGCACCCTAGGACATCAAAGTATAAGGAGAAGCATGAGATTGAATATAAATTTCAAGATATTCATTTCAATGGTAATAAAAAAGCATATTGATTTTCCATTTTCACGGTCGAAAATGTTCTGCGGTCGGAAATTTTTGCCAACGTACGACCAGCTTGTCGTTGTCGTTAACACTCGTTAAGATTAAAATCAGAAATAATCTCTCAGTCTTTATCCTATATTGAAAAACTTGAGGAGTTATCCACACTGTTTGGGTGCTGTTGATAGCAGTTTTGCAGCATGCTCAAAATACAGTAATTACTGACACAAACATCCAATTGTGCTATTGGCAGTAGCAGAGACAGACTACGAGCGCCGATTTGGAAACTAATGGGATAATTCTGAACAGAGACGGATGTAGCGGGAGGGTGTAGGGGGTGCGCAACCCCCCAATATTTCTGTGTCCTTCGGTAACTTTTTGTTTCATTCGGTGAAAATCATTTGTTGGTAGTCAAAAGTTACCAAGAAATGGCCTGGCCAAACGAATAGAACATCCGCAAAACATCACAAAACATTTTTGTACCAACATTGTTGGACAATGTTTCATGTCAAACAAATGTTAAAAAATCTATTATTGTCAAGCGCTGCCGCACAGCTTCCTATTGTCTTGACATCCCTAGCCAATGTGGTCTGTGACCTGGGCTTTGGTATTCCATGGTGGCTACCCTTTTTCCAGCCACCTGTAAAATGGTTTTGGCTGTTAGAAACTTTTCTTGGCTTCACGAATCGCTTTTAAATTCACAGATTCAGCAAATGTCTTAAGAAATTACTTGCGCATTAGTTTTCGTGACGCTTATTCATATGAGTCTGAATCTATAATCATTACTTTTTAATGCCCTGCGTCCGCAAATATATAGTTTTTCTTAGTAACTAGTGGATTTATTAGTAGCCATTAGTAACTTATATCATTTGAAAAATATGTAAACTGGCAGTAGCACTGTTGCATTGATGAGGCTTATTACTACACTGACGAGATGGTTAACGGCAGTGGCATTTCTGCAATGTCTCCCAGCCACTTTCTCACAATGTAAGTAAGAAACTAGTAGCATCTTATGGGGGTGATATCTATGACAAAAATCAGTTTTCGAAATCTGCAATGTATGTAGTGATAACATCTAAGCTTTTGTTCGTTCTGTTTTGTTCCCGCTGAGTTTTTCATGCTACGCTTCGCTGCTTGTATATACCGCTGTGTTTATTTAGAAATAGTCAGTTGGTTTGGAATAAGATAATAACACGACGTACGTCTCTTACTATCGACTTCGCTCTTCAATAATTCGTCCTTCGAATCTGTTACTTGATTAACAACACAGGTTGTTAAATTGGTGACCACGTTGTTAAATTGGTGACCACGTTGTTTATTTCTACGTCTAAAATTCGACATGAATACAGACGCCAACACGCCCCCGTCAGCCAGCACTACTGCAACTGCAGCCATCGCCACGACTTCAGAACCAGCACCAGTAGCTTCGGTGAGTGTCAAACTTCCACCTTTTTGGCCTAACGACCCCCTGGTTTGGTTTGCTCAAGTAGAGGCCCAGTTTTTCACAAGAAGTATAACTTCACAGGCTACAAAGTTTGCTTATGTAATCTCCGCTCTCCAGCCTGAAATCGCACAGGAGGTACGCGACATTTTGATCCACTCTCCTCAAGCAACGCAGTACGATATACTCAAGGCCGAACTCATACAGCGCACTTCCACATCTGAACAAAAGCGGCTTCACCAACAGCTGACTGCAGAAGAACTGGGTGACCGGAAGCCCTCTCAATTACTGCGCCATATGCGACAACTGCTTGGAGACAATACACTGGAAAACAACATTTTACGACAGTTGTTTTTGGAAAGGTTTCCAACCAATGTCAGGCTGATTTTAGCCACCACTGCTGACTCCCTTCCCGTTGAGCAGGTTGCTTCATTAGCAGACAAAATTTTAGAGGTTGCGACCCCCCTTGGCATTTCCTCTTTAACACCTACTGTGTCAGCGCCAGCCCCCACGCCTGTTCCACCGCCTATCGCATCTGAAGTTCATGCTCTCAGATCTCAAGTAGAGGAACTGACTTTTCAAGTCCAAGCCCTCATGAGCCGCACACAACCAACCAATAGTTTCCCAGGGCGTAGCCGAAGCCGCTCTATCAGCCGTAATCGCCGAACCAGCCCAGCACCCTCAAACTCTACCTACTGCTGGTACCATCAACGTTATGGTCGACTTGCTCGCAATTGCACTCCACCATGCAAATTTTCAAGATTCACCTCAAACCAGGGAAACGACGCCACCAGCAACTAAGGGCAGTTAGTTCTGCTGGTCCTGCTTCTTCCAATCGCCTCTTTTATATTACCGACCGTACCACTGGTACACGCTTCTTGGTAGATACAGGTGCTGATGTAAGCGTTTTACCTCCTTCTTCTGCTGACAAACAAACTTCTCAAAGCATTTCTTTACAGGCTGTGAATAAGTCGCCAATTCGTACTTTCAGAGAAAAGTCTTTAACGATAGACCTCGGACTTCGCCGCACGTACAGGTGGATTTTTATTATTGCTGAAATACCGTTTCCTATTCTTGGCGCTGATTTCCTAGCTCATTTTGCCCTTAAAGTTGATGTTAAACATCGGAAACTCATTGACACTACAACAAAATTGACAATTCAAGGTATTTTGTCCGCCGATAGCTCACCTCATCCTATGCTGGCAACCCCTGATACTACTTCGCCATACCAAGCCTTACTTCAAAAGTATCCTGACATTGCCCGTCCTTCATACAATGAATCAAAAGTAAAGCATACCGTCACCCATCACATCACAACTTCAGGCCCTCCTGTATTTGCTCGTCCCCGTCGTCTTGCTTCTGAACGTTTGACCATTGCCAAGGCTGAATTTGATCACATGTTGCAACTTGGCATCATTCGGCCGTCAAAAAGCAGTTGGACTTCTCCGTTGCACATGGTTCCTAAGGCTACTCAAGGCGACTGGCGACCTTGCGGTGATTATCGTGGCTTGAACAATGCTGCAGTTCCTGATCGCTACCCCATCCCACACATCCAAGATTGCTCTTCGTCTCTGCATGGAAAAACCGTTTTCTCAAAAATTGATCTTGTGCGTGCCTATCATCAGATTCCAGTCTAGCCTACTGACATTTCTAAGACTGCTATAACAACTCCCTTTGGGCTATTTGAGTTCGTTCGCATGTCATTCGGATTGCGTAATGCAGCACAGATTTTCCATCGCTTCATGCACCAAGTACTTCGTGGTTTGGATTTCGTTTTTGCTTACATTGATGATTTACTTATCGCAAGCAATTCTGAAGCAGAACATTTGTTGCATCTTGACATTTTATTCTCTCGTCTTTCCGATCATGGTATTGTCATTCATCCTACCAAATGCATTTTTGGCCAATCTCATATTGACTTCCTAGGACATCATGTTTCACCACAAGGAATCTCACCGCTTTCCACAAGCGTTAAAGCAATCAAAGATTTTCCTCCTCCTACTTCGCTCAAAAAGCTTCGCGAGTTCCTGGGATTGCTCAACTTCTACCGTCGTTTTGTGCCTCGCTGTGCTCAATTAATACAGCCTCTCACCGATCTTCTCTCTGCCAAGTCTACCAAGGAACCGTTCCAACTAACTGTGGATTCATTATCTGCATTCTCAGAGATCAAAACAGCACTTTCCCAGGCCACTCTTCTTGTTCACCCATCACCAGTGGCACCATGCAGTGTAGTTGTTGATGCTTCGAATATGGCTGTAGGAGCAGTGCTACAACAATTCCTCAACGGTGCCTGGCAACCTATTTCTTTCTTTTCAAAGCGCCTGCAACCAGCCGAAACGAAGTACAGCACATTTGGACGAGAACTACTCTCCGTCTACTTAGCTATCAAGCACTTTCGGTACTTTTTGGAAGGACGCGCATTTCATGTTATGACAGACCATAAGCCATTGCTCCATGCACTGTCTTCTTCGTCTGATCGATATTCGCCACGGGAAATTCGCCATCTTGATTTTATCTCTCAATTCACCTCTGACATACGACATGTAAAAGGCCATCAGAATGTGGTTGCGGATGCTCTTTCTCGCATTGAGCTCAATTCCTTACTCAATATTCCAACCCTTGACTTTGTCACACTGTCTGCAGCTCAACAGCAAGATTCTGAATTCCAACAGGTACAGTCAAACACCTCTCTTAACCTGAAAGAGTTTTCTTTACCGGCAGATTCTGGAACCATCATTTGTGACATATCAACCGGCATAAGAGGCGATTCCAATTTCAGATGCTACTGCAGAAACCGTCGCTCAAGCTTTTGTTTCACGTTGGATTGCAGTTTTCGGTGTTCCTTCAACGATAACAACTGATAGAGGAGCTCAGTTTGAATCAGCTCTCTTCCGTTCCCTCGCTGATTTACTTGGAATCAAACGTATTCATACTACTTCTTACCACCCTTGCGCCAATGGTATGGTTAAGCGTTTCCATCGACAGCTTAAAGCTTCAATCAAAGCTCAACCGGATTCCACAAGATGGATCGACCTTCTTCCACTCATTCTCCTCGGACTACGGACAACGATTAAAACTGACCTCGGTTGTTCACCTGCCCAACTTGTTTATGGTTCCACACTTCGTCTTCCAGGTCAATTCATCTCTCCGACCTTTGATGTCACAGCTCTTGATCCCTCTGTTTTTGTTGATCGTCTACAAAGTTTTATGCAACAACTAAAACCAACTCCTCCCCGTTCTCAATAAGCTTACACATACATCCCAGCTAATCTTCCATCTTGTACGCACGTTTTTGTTCGCCATGATGCTGTTCGAAAGCCGTTTCAACCTCCATACGACGGTCCTTTCAAGGTTCTCAAGCGCAATGACAAACATTTCCTCGTAGATGTCAACGGAAAACAACAAACAATAAGCATAGATCGTCTAAAAGTTGCTTATACCGATGCAGATAACCAACGTTCAACTGCCAGAAACACATCATTCCCATCAAACCATGCTTCAACGAGGGCCAAGCCGGTAGAGAACCAAGTACCTGGTAATTCTCGGACAACACGTTCAGGGAGACACGTTCATTTTCCGGACAGATATGGACATGCCTGAACATTCGTACATACGCTGTATTAACTTTTATCCCAAATACTTTTCTCGAGCTTGCATTCTAGGGGGGAGGTACTGTAGTGATAACATCTAAGCTTTTGTTCGTTCTGTTTTGTTCCCGCTGTGTTTTTCATGCTACGCTTCGCTGCTTGTATATACCGCTGTGTTTATTTAGAAATAGTCAGTTGGTTCGAAATAAGATAATAACACGACGTATCGACTTCGCTCTTCAATAATTCGTTCTTCGAATCTGTTACTTAACAACACAGGTTGTTAAATGTATGCACTGCATTTCATGAATCCAGCAAATGCTAAATCCAAAATTTTGCATTCACGCAATGTGCAATTTGGCAAATTTCAGATACCATTCCGTAATTCGTTAATTCATTCTGCAATCAGTCATTTCATGGTTTGCGATCATGCATCCACCATTCCATATTCCACCATTTCATCACCCTTTTGTCATAACATCATTCTGGAAACCGCTAATCCGTTATTCGGCATTCTGTATTTCGACATCTGTCAATCTGTTATTCGTGATTCAGGAAATTTGCTGATTTTCATTCCAATAGGCAAATGAGTTGAGCAATTCAATTTAGATAGAGAATCTCTCCAACAATTTAATACCCCCGTCAGCGTATTTGGTACTTACCACCAATGGCGGCGCCAGCCACTAAGCTCTGGGGGGACAAACCAAAAAAATTTAAGCCATGCCCTTTTTACCACCAGAAAAAGCCTTTTTACCATCAGGGAACGCCAATTTCATCCGAAGGGAACGCCTATGACAAACTTTTGTTTGAAAATTGGCAGTTTGGAAATCATAGGATTACATCACAAAAAGTATGGTGTCAAAATATTACCCCTCCCCCAATATTTTCTCGTCGAATTTAGACGAAATACAAAATCGATTCTGGCGCCGCTACTGCTTACTACGCGAATGAGATACGGCGCTGTATTCAAACGTAGAATGAGATACCGTGGTGCTTGCCATTCGTACCTTCTAAATGGAAAAGAAAGGGGGATATTTCCTCCAGGGAATTCAACTCATCTCTTTGCATGCCTAAGTTACCGTTGCTCATTTTAACATACCCTGCTTGATCATCTCCGTTGGTTGGATGGATGGCATTGTTTACCGTTTTTCATTCTCATTTCTTTATGAAAAACTTTGGTCCGGGGCTAGAAGGCAATTTCTTAAAGTTTAGGGCTGTTTTGCTACTCCTTTTTATAAGAAAAATTTTACAAGAACACGAGCCTCAAAATTGGTCAAAAGTTACGTACATACATTCCAGATCTCGATAACCGATTTTTGTCATAGATATCACCCCATATCTTTCTACTGTAGCTGTAAATTTGTCATAAATTGTTTTGTCTGTTTACGAAAACATTTCCAACTTTTTGCTATGAGCTCTTCGGCTCCTCATTTAGGCAATCAGCATATTTGTCTAGCCAGGCTCCTACCTACCTAGTTTGATAATTCTCTCAAAGGGCATCAACAAACAAATATGGCGATTGGACTCGATACAGTCGAGTTCATTTTTCATTTAAAGTATTCCTCATTTATTCCTCAGACCCAATGATGAAACCTTCTATTTTTTCTACAGATGTCTCGAGCTCCTTTTTATGCATATGAGTCTAGGGTACATATTGAGGTTGCCTTGCAAGACGTATGGAAATTTCAGCGTTGAAAAACAAGGTTTTATGCTTAATGGACATGTGCTGATGTCATTGGAGATCTGGACTGTAAGAGAATGCGAACAGCATTGCTTGAGTCATCCGGGATGCAGCTCAATAAACTGGAAGATACCAGCATCTGGGTTTGCTAATTGCCAGATCAATGATAAATCGGCAGAAAATTCGTATGACAACGTAATGTTATCTCCTTCATCTGAATGGACCTACAAAACAACAAATTATACAGAAAGAAATGTAAGTTGCAGAAGGTTTAGGACCATCAGCATTTAGAATTAGGGGAAGCTTACACCTTTTTTATTTTAGAGACAAAGGTTTTGGGAGTAATCATAGGTGTAACAAAAGAAATAGGATATGAACACATTCAATCAAATTTGAATATACAGAGTTGCCATCTGTGATCACTCGTAAGTTGTAGCTGTCAAAAGGTGGCATTGGATTTGATTGGCCGCACCCTTTTTTCACTGCGATCCTCTCACATTGTGATCATTATTTTGTGTAAATGTGTCTAGAGTAGAAACTAGGCTTTCTACAAAAAGGGCACTTTTCTAACAAAACGGGAAATTTCTTTATGTTCTTGGAAGAATGGAGGCACAAGGACCATTATATCATCGTTTTAGAAAGACTTTGTCACTGGTGGCGGCATTGCATCTGCTATAAGAGCATTTGATATGCTGTCACTGGTAAAAAGAACTATGCAACGTTTACACAAACAAAGTGGACTTTGAAGAACGATTTCATGTTATTTTGCACTTCAAATTTTCATCAAACAAAACTGCCCCTTTAGAGTTACTCTTTATGAAAAGCATGCACTTCAGTGCTCGAAAGAGACACGATTTTAAAGTAGGTTTTTTAAATTGATAAAATCTAAAGATGGACAATCTCTAATCATGTTGGCTGCCTTAACCAAAGGTGCCGTTGATGATCTGCTCAGGGAATCAGCGTCCGGGGGCAAAAAAGCTACAGCCCCCCTCAAACCAAAAGCTTCAAACTTTTGCTACTTTGTGCGGGCTAACTTGTCTTTAGCTTTCTCCGTGGAAAAAATCAAACCCCACTTCGCCCCTTTGTTTTTTACTGCAAATGCATAAGACAAAGGTTAAAACTTACTATATAAGGAAGTAGAGCTTGGAACAAGCCCATGACTTGTATAACTGGGGCGGTGCCAAGAAACTCAAAGTGAGAGGTAAGCTCGAGTTGACAGTATTATTTGACTAAAAACCCATCTTTGAAAAGGCAAAAAGTGCATTACTGTATATTATGTCTATGATGACGTGAGCACCTAGATTAATTCTATTGAGAAATTGGCTGGACTGTTGAGAGATTTCTGCGGGAGAGCTGGATGAAGAGGCCCAGAATATTTCCGTGACCACTCCTTTTGATATAATACCTTTCAGAATATTTTTTTCTGTCAGTTTCTCACAACCGTTGCAATTATCTTACTATTCTAGGCATATTTGTTTCTATTTCTTTTCTTTATTCTTTTCTACTTTTTGTTAAAGCTTTTTCTTTACAAGAAAGTGGAGGGGAGCTGAAGCCTCTCAGCCCCCCCCACCCCCTTTGCTCTTGTTGTATGCCTGTTACAACCCTGTTATTTTCTTTGACTCTTCTACATAGCTTCGATTTATTTCTTCAGTTTATCTGAATTTGCTCAAGTAACAATTTATCAATTCTTGAAGCAACTAATGCACTAGTCGTTAACCTGTGTGTCCATTTCACTGTTTTCAGATCGGTGAGTTGTGTCAAGCTTTGAAACCGTGTAAAACCCCAGAAACATGTATGGATTCCTGCGATTGCCCAGGATACGACTGCCAAACCACGAATTTAGGCAAGTAATTTTCTGCGTAACAAAACATTGTATCTCTAAACAGTTTTGTAAAGCAAAAAGGCAACAAGACTTCGATAAACTGAAAGTATGGTGTGCTTTCAAATGGCGATGATACTTGGTCGCTTGCAAGAGTATTCCAAATAGCCACAACCCCTCCGCCCCTATTTTCCGGTCTCCTTTTATATATTTTTACGATATTTTTAAAGAGGCACAATATCTTATAAGACTGTCAGACTAGCCCTGAAATGACGGTGATGCCACTCTCCATCGCAGAGGCGTTTGTTGAGAAAGATCGCTTCTAACCCTGACAACTAGCCCTGACAAAAAAGTTGGTTGCTGCCACAGCCTGACAAAAAAGTCGGTTGCTGCCACAGCCTGACAAAAAAGGTTGGTTGATGCCACAGCTTCTGCGACGGAGAAGTCTTTCTAGTCGAACCCACAGGGCTCAACCTAAACAAGTGGTGGTAAGGCGTCCCCACTACCGGTGTTTTAATCGTAACAGTATTGCTAGGGAGGTTGCGAACCAAGGTTTAAGAGGCAGCCTCCTCCTTACCCATGAGAAAGAATAACCCCCGCCGGATGCCAACTTGATTTTGATGGTTTATCGAGAGGAGCTAACAGGTACTACACCTTGCTCAAGGTTGACCTGGAAGTAGTATTTGGTAGAAGCTCATCCCACGTCAGGACTCCAAAGCCGGAATAAATGAAATAAAATCGTCTACATACTATAGTTGAGAGAGACCTGGTCAGTCTCCTTTTACAATTCAGTGTGTGCTGTTCATTTAAAAACAGTATACTCTCGTTAAGTAGGACCCCGGATAAGTAGGACGCCAGCTATGAAGTACAGATTTTCCCGGTCCCTTGAACTTGCTTACCCTTTTCAAGCGTTTGGATAAGTAGGACGCCCGCTAAGTGGTATACTTTTGCTCGGTCCCTTGAGTGTCCCACTTAACGAGAGTATACTGTATTGATCATCCCGATAGACCAAAAGGTTTTCATTGAAGCAAACATGATAATTTCCTTTCCATTTAACAGGACAAGAAAGTTGCCAGGATTTGTACGCTCTTGGCTTCAGAGAAAGTACGAGATACAACATTTATCAACCAGACATTGGAATTTTCCCAGTCAGATGTGACATGGCAACCGATGGAGGAGGTTGGATTGTGTTCCAGCGCCGTGTTGATGCCAGTGTGGATTTCTTTCGAGATTGGGATGCCTACAAGCAAGGATTTGGGGATATGAACGGAAACTTCTGGCTGGGGCTTGAAAAACTGCACAAGCTAGCGGCTCCAGGAAAGGGGGCCATTCTTCGTGTTGACTTAAAACACATGGAATTCGAAGACAAGAAATATGCAAAGTACAGCTTATTTGAGATTTCTGGAGAATTGGATGGGTATCGTCTGAAGGTGGGAGGCTACTCTGGAGATGCTGGTGATTCTCTGAGTTTCCAAAACGGCATGAAATTCACAACGAAGGACAAGGATCAAGATACTTATTACATCAATTGTGCATCAAAATTTAAAGGGGCTTGGTGGTACAGTGCTTGCCATTTGTCAAATCTAAATGGCCTTCATCCTTCCTCTGGAAGTGGTAGTGCACTCACAGAATATATGTCCTGGAAAGCGATTAAAAACGAATATGGCAAAGTGACATTCTCTGAGATGAAAGTGAAGTATCCGTAGAAGTATTCATTCATAACTGTTACTTGCTACCTGTTAACTGCAAAGACTTCGGATTTAGTTTTCTTTGTCTTAAAAAAAGTGACAAGGCCATGGCCCTACTTTTACTCTTGCACTCTTAAGTATGAAAAGGTTGTAAGAAAAATGTTGGAAAGTTGTGTAAAAAGAATTAATAGTAATGGCGTTTAATGGCGTATTGTATAAATTATTTAATGCTAGTGTTTCGAAGTGAACGCACACCGACTTACTTACTGACACATGCTCACTTATTTTTAAGTAACCAAGTTTTAATCAAATATTTAAATTACCAAAATACAAGTAGTATTTTGGGCTGTCTTTATTGATTCTGGGAGTGAATTCTAGATTTTAGGCCCTTGAAAACTTCGTGATCTGACACCATTGTTGGTAGTTCTGACTTTTGGAACGTCAAAAGGGTTTTTGAGACGAAAGTTGTGACCTGTTGTTTTAGGGACAAAGTAGTTTTTCATAAAAGTTGGATTAACGTTGTTCAGTTTTTTATAAACTTCAATTGCTTGAATTGTAATAAATTGGATGTGTATGTTAGTTTCTTTCGAGATAGCAATATACTTGGGTAATAAATCTTTATACGAAGTTGAATAGTTCGAATAGGCTAGTCGTAATGTCCTCTCGTTAAATTTCGTTAGATTGTCCTGCCTTTCTTAACCACATAAACAACTATATCAATGGGCAATAGTTGAAAGGACATAGATAAATGCACTTTTGATTATTTCTTTCTCTTATTCCCCATAAATCTTGCTAATCTTTTCAAAGGATTCATCTATTTAGCCTCGTTTTTTCAGATATTATCAATATGAGCATTAACTTTGAAATCTTAATAGATCTGAACACAAAGCAAAGTAGCATTTTTCTTCATTTTAATTGAAAATTTATGTAAGTTTTAAACTCATTTATGCATTTATTTATCTTTGTTGCCAATTATGATAGCTTGAAATTTAGAGGGATTCGCAATCATTTGTGTGGATTCTTGGGTGGTATTGCCATAACTCCTCGAATAAGCCTCTTTGGGCTTACTGGTTTGAGATACTGTTTAAGACACTTACTTCTTCAAGCAGAGGCTTTAATAAGGGTGAGGGCTTGTTAAAGTCTCCAAAAACTGCCATTCAAATTTGTGAAGAACTTTCTCTTTTTTTCAAGTTCACTCTGAGAAACGAAACATTTTGCAAGTCAACACCGACACTAAAAATATCATGGACGGAAATAACGCACTTCATAAAAAGTGACATGTCAGGAAGAAGCTTACTCTAGGTTGGGGGCTCTTTAAAAATTTTCACTTCCAGGTTAGGGGCTAATATCTGGACGTATGAGAGAGGGTAAATTTGCTCACGGTAAATTGCACAAAACTCGTGTTTTTAAAAATCAATGACCAACTTGGGGGCCTTTTAAACTTTTAAATAATCTATAAAGACCATTTTGTAATATTTGAAGACCCGCCTTAGGTGGAACACAAAGCTACTTCGATATTACTACTTTTACAGTTCCTTGGTGTCGAGAGGAGAAACGACCTCAAAATCAAAGCAGTTGTTATAGCTTATTGACAACATTCGATGTTCAGTTACATAAGTTTCTATATGATACTTAATTGCGCTGTTTATAATAATTACGAATTTGAAACATATAGTATACGTCTTAGAGAACCTTTTTAGCTACTGAAAAAGTTCCACGAATGATGGTAAAAATGCAATGAAAAAGGAATTATTAACTCTTTAGATTTCATGTTGCTTAATCTATGGTGTTGCAAATGTCGGATACGATTTGTCGGTGCATAACAACGTTCTGCACATATCCAGCATTTTTTATGGAGAAGAAACATCTTTGCTTATATCCAACCTTTTTTCGCAAACGTAATATGAAGACAAGAGGCAGAAATTTCTGAAAGATACCAGCGTGATATTTGAGTGCTGCCTTGGGTCTTCAAGAACCCCACAACAGGTCTGCGTTTCATTGCAGCTCTTCCTTTTGATAGCTTGGTCAAGAAATCTACTTGATGCTCGTTGGCCATCGGCCCATCTCAATAAGCCTCCTTTTCCCTAAAAAATGATGAAAATTACTACAACATGACCTGTATCAACAGCTTTTTACAACAATTTCAAGTGATACAATGACTTCTATTTTATTTTCGATATCCCTGCCCGAAAAAGTTTCTTTTCTCAAAAGAGAGTTGGATACCCTGAAACAAATAGCATACATTGGAATGCCTTATATTTTCTGTTGACGTCAGTTTAAATATCCTTTCCAAGGGAATTTTGTATCATATACCAACTCTAAACAGCTTGATTACTTGAAAAAATTTATGAGTTATGACATGATTGGCCAAGGGGGCGTGAGCCCATAAGATAGTCAACCTTCTTTGGCTCCTCTAATAATATTAGGATTTCTGATAAAATTTAAATCTTCTTGCTTTGCTTGGTAAAGTAGTTGGCTAAAAATATTAGCGAGTATCATGGCAATTATTTTCTTTTGGGACTGCATGCCGAAACAAACCTTTCAGATCTATGCGGTTTTGTTTCACATTTTTGTCAGCTGTTTTCGTAAATCTATTTTCAGCCGCTATGTAGAATTTAACCTTGAAAGCCTGCATTAAGCACTACCCTTTAAAAAATCTATTGTAGTTCTTCGGTAATCTTTAGGTTGTTCGGTAAATTTTCCTTTAAACTGCAGTATTTTTGTGCTTTTCTCTATCACATTTTTGCAGCGAATTCTCACAAAAATTTAACTTCATTTGCTTAAATTTGATAAAGCTTGAGAACTGACAGGAAGTCACCAATGTTTTTCTTGCAACCTTGTCTAACAATACGAATGCACCGTGTAACATGTCATTTCTGTGTTGTACAATTTCAAGGTTGCCTGCCTCAAGTAGAACTGGTAAAATTGCAAGTATTTTCAAAACCGTTGCTTGGTGTAAGATCGATGTATGAAACTTTTGTTTGGTCTAAGGTTTTTTGTAAGAAGAATGTAGCGTGACTTTTTCAAAGTTTGTTGACAACCCATTTCAGATAAAAGTTGTAGAGTCACAACTGGAAATGCAATCTTCAATTTGAGAAAAGCAAGTCAAACCATAATACTACCACCAACCTGTGTGAGTCCAATGTATAGAAAATATTTTTTGAATTTTGAACGTATAAATCTGAGCTTGATATCTGTATCGACTTTGGCCAAGACAGCATCAATCTTTTTGCATTTTTCTTTGGCACCAAGCCACGAAGAGGAGTCTTTTGAAACGGAGAAACAAGTTCTGGATGATGCATGCAAAACAAACCCATCACCGCAAGCTAGAAGAAAGCGATGACTATGAGCTACTGATATTATAATTTAATACTTAAAAGGAGACTGATTAAAAGGAGATTAACTCGAACCTCAATCAGTACCAGGTGTATTATATGTCTTGGTGCCATCAGAGTCCAGAAAAGTCCGTAACCTTCCTCCGGTCAAAATTTTTCCCTGCCTGAACCTTCATACAATTTTTAAGGCAACCACAGTTGATAGGGCGCGGCTAGGGAGTAGCTAGGGTAAAAGGTTTGACAGACGTTATAAATCGAGACAAAATTACCGCCTTTAAGTAACCAGAAGTTAGTAATGGCCGTTCCCTTCAGGTAAAATTGGCGTTTCTTTGTTGATAAAAATGTATTTGTATAAATGAATATGTATTTCTTGATATTGATGACAAGTACTGAAATTTTTTTATAATTCCTGATTGTACAGTACCTGTTTCTTATGGCATGCTTTTTACTGAGAATATGGGTGTAATCATTAACTAATCAATGGTTTATGAATGTTAGTCATGAAACAAAACAACTGTTTAGCTACAAAAGCTGTTGTCCAAATTTTAGCACAAAAATAATATTTCCGACAACAACGCAAGTATCTTATTTTATTATCTATTAAGTTTTTTGTATTTTACTGCATTTCAAATAAAATGAACTCAATATGTTGACCATCCTGGCTACTTGACAAAATAATCACAGGACTTTTACCAATTATATGTATAATCCGTTTGGAAGTGATTTTCACCTCAATTTCAACAAGTATAGCAATTTGAAATTAATATCAGTAATTTGAATATATGCTATATATCAGATAGGATATCAGATAGGATAAGGATATCAGAAGTGCCAATATACTTGCTACAGAGATCTGATAGTCCACTTTTTAGGTGATTGAAAATTTTTTACTAAAGAGTTTTCATTCAAATGAACTTCTCACGTTCTCCAAGAAGTAGTTTATTCCCAATGGCATATTAAGAGTCTTTCTTCTATATAACTAATATTTGTCGAGTATGGCAAAGCAAATTTTGACAATACTAAGAACATGTTCTTTAATACAAGTGTAGGTATAAGACAACTCAATAATACGATAAAAATCAAGATATATTTCACTTGCCTTGAATTGTATCCTGCAACATATGATATCTTACATTTCCTTACTTTAGTTTGTTAGATATTTGTTTTTTATATCTAGAGCAGCTTGTAGACATTTTACTGAATTTGAATAATTTATTCAAGGTTTTTGCTGCTATGTAGAAAAAATTAATACATTGAAATGTTGCGAAAAGGGGAATTCAAGTCAGTATTTTCTTCATCCGAAGTTTTTGTGACTCTCTTTTAGTTACAGAAGTTTATTATTGATGATGATGAAGCTGATGATAAAAGAACTATAAATGAAATCGAATATATATTCAATTACCTTGTTCTTCTTCTTTGCACTAAAAAGCAACAAATGTTTTTTAGATCTGTGCACAGGAATTTCTAACAGTATGAAAGATATCTTAGTATACAACTGGACAGAAGGCTTACAGCTTTATTAATATCTTATACTAAGTTGTAGTAATATTTCGAATTTTTCATTTTCAAATATTTAAGCAGGGTACCCTTCAGCAACAAATGGACTACAAAAAGCCCTCTACTTTAATACATTAACACATGTCTTACTTAAACCTGCGTAAAAATTATTTCCAACGTTTGTGATTGGTCTATCATTTAAAAGGCTTTTCCAGGTTTCGACTGAGGTTTCGATCAGCGGAAGTTTTGTGTCTTTGTTTGGTTCGTATCTTAAAAGAGATCTGTTTCCTGTAACATTTTCCATTAGATATTTATCAGACGTTAGTAAACTTTACTTACATGAATTACTTGATTGTGTAATTCATTCATTAACGCATAAATTCATTCACTCTCTTATTCATTCACTCTTTTATTCATTCATTCTTTTATTCATTCAAGTCAACAACAACTTAATCACTTCAGAGATCTTTGTATAATTACGTTCACTTTGATATCTATTTAAGCAATTAATGAACGCTGCTTTTTCATAAGAATATTTGGCTCCAGTTTCAACCTGGCTTTCCTTATTTTTTTGCCTAATTTCAGCCTCGCGTGTTTCTAATTTTGTTTCTTATTATTGTATTAGAATTTCCTGTGAATAGTAGTGTTTGGACATAACATGTGCTTGATAAAGTAATGAATACCAATTTTCTTATCACTTTCTGTTGTTCTGCTTCTATTTTTTATTTTTCAATCTTTGCTGATATTTTATTTCTTAAGTTTTGTCGAATTTCAGTCTGCCTTGTTTTTTATGTTGTTCTTATTTTTTGTGCCAATCTCAACCTTTTAAGGTTTGTTCTTATAAAAAAGCCTGTATGTACAATACCATTCCATTTTTTCTTTCAAGCAATGTGTAAGTGGTATCCTCTTCGGTCTCGAATCTTGTACCATGTACCAAAGAGTCATGCCGCAGCAACTGGCAATTACGAGTGTCGTCATCGATCAGTTTTCGGAAATTTGTTCCTCCACAGAGGACGTCTTTCAGACATTCCAAATTGCATTCGACTACTGAGACGGCTTTCTCAGTCCTTAACACCAGGCCTTCTCCTGATGCTCTGTTGTGCTCTTTGACCAGCCTCCCAAAAGCAGAATGGAAATTTTCACATCCATGTCCAACCAATCTATCACCACATAAAGTTAAAGTTATAGCAAAAATTGCAAGAAGAACGTTGAATTTCATGCCACTTTTTCTCGAAAATTACAGAAATTTAACACTTCTTTTTGGCATCGACTTAACTTGGTCTTGCATGTCCAGATGCAGCAGGTTTTGTTGATGTGATTAATTTTGCTTCCTTCGAGGATAGGTGCATTCGGCCACTTGATATACTTAGAATATCATACAATACTCTAGCTATACCTAGGTTATAGAATAGCTACTTATGAAAGACAATACGATAATAAAATGTTGGACTAGCTAATTCAACATGAGATCAGCCTTTTTCAACATCGTCGTAATGATTTCAAGTATGATCCTACGTGAGTTTATAATTATTCGCAGAATTGAAAAGTGTTTAAGGCACAACATTGATCCAGAGTTGTCGTTGAGAGGAGGCTCCGGGGGCTTAGCCTTTTTGTTAAAATTAAGCGAGATTTTTGGGGCATGAAGAAAATGAAGGCTCGGATGAAGAGTCGGACTAAATGTGTTTCAGTATGCTATGTTGCCACTATTTCTACCCTGGATACCAGAGTCTCCATTATTTAGTCTGAGAAATATAGCTAAAAACTTGTCACAGAAAACTTTTTTGAGCAATGATTGGAAATATTTTCCTTCCACTCCTCTGTATCCACTCATTCTTTGCCACCGCAGCTGTCTACAATATTTTATCCCCGGATTTATGAGGCTGTGGTACTCAGGGTAAATCTTCGAACATTATTATAATTTTGGAGCGTATTTGAGGTTGGTATTGACCGTTTTTAAAGTTTGGTATTGAGTAAACACTGTGCACTTCTTTTTCTGCTGGCTTTAACGATAACTCCTTTTAGGTTTAATCTAATGTTTCAACTTTGAAAGATTTTGAGACAAAATACTACTCTCTCAGGAAGCAGGCCTCGGACAACATTATTTGAGTCACAAGGCAACTATTAATCATCCTCAAGAGCAATGGGAAGTTTGCGCATCGGTAAAATTCAGTCAACATTACTTAATGTAGCAAATAAGAAACACCGCAATACGCCGAGAATAAACAACAATAAATACACGTAAACAGTGAAGGCTTCTACCCATTACATTACTTAAACCCATTGACAAATATGTCTGTAGAAATAACTCAAGTCACTGATCAATTCAAATAGTACTTATTTGCTTTTGACATCTATCTTAAGACATACCTTTCATACTTTTTAGTCTTTCTAAATTATTCTGTTCATTTCTTTTTTAGTAAATATTAATAAATGATGCTTATTTTAAGTACCATTCACAGCCAGAACTTAGTGACCATGTGCCTTTTTAGGCTATGAATAACACATGTTATTGAAAATGTTGTGTTAGTTTTTTGTTGGTATATATTAAAAAGAAACATTCTGGCCCATTATTTTTCTTAAACTTTTGCCTGAGCATCGCCAATCCTTTCACCCAATCAGTGTCTTTCCTTTGGGAACGAAGGAGATGTTACAAGCTCCTGCGATAAAAATTCAGTTTCAGAAGTAAGGAGTTTTTTGCCATTTAGGGATTCTTCGTTGGTAGATTTCAAAACTTGTTTGAAAAAAAATACCTCACCCACCTTTCGACAAAGGAGGTCTGCACACAAGTTTTCTTTGAGCACAATAGCTAACCACTGAAATTGGCCCAATTTATGTTAATATAGACACTTTTTTTAATTTTAGGGGCAGGGACTTGGAAAGCGGTCAAAGTGTATAACAATGCACTTGAAAATGTTGTGTTAGCTAAGAAACTTAGAGATTGCTAAGAATCAATAGGCGTCTCATTGAACTTGCTCTCACATTCTAACAATAAGCTTCTTCCTCATAGGTAAAAAGGCTAGTTATAGGTTCACTCTCTACAGTAATTCAGTTTCTACTAAAAATAAAGTAAGTCTTATGCAAAGCAGCGATAGCACTTTTGACTCTGCATTTATCAAAGTTGTTTTGTTTTTACTTTTTCTTATGACAACAACAGTAGCGACGAGGAGTATAGATGTCAAATCTGAAGGCAAAAGGTTCTTCAACAGGGGAAGAATCCGTGTTGGGGAGAGGGAATGTACCTGCGGAGGGCTCTTAGCTTTCCTTCGAAGCTGAGATTTGCCCTCGCAGCACATACCATACGTAGCTATTTGATTCAAGCTAGTGGCTGAGCGTATAACAAGGCGTATACATGTAAAAAACTCCATCTCTAATTTTTAAACCACTCTATTCTGTGACTGTTATTTAGGCCACATCGGAGCAACAAAGCTTAATTTTACTATAGCAGATGCAAGGATTTATTACATTCAAACAGATTTCATACAATATCCGATTGCTTGTTTTGCAAACCATTAAATCTGTAGTTCTTCAAACAATCCAAACTGCAAAACTTGCATCTTGGAGCTACGATTCATTTTGCTTAGAGTATTAGCTTAAAGTCGTTGCTTCTAGAGCTACCTAATTTACTACTATCAAAGCATTACTGCAGCTTTTGCCGGCTGAATACTTGTGGATTGCATTCCCGGAATCGTATTTTACAATCTTATCAAACATAAACTTCTCATTAATTGGTTGCCCACTCGCAGACAAATCTACGTGCAGCATTACAGTCTGATTGCAATGCCAATGTGAACTTCGTTTCCTCTTCTTCGATATAGATTTTTCCACAACAGTGTTGCAAAGTGCACTGAGTGGCAACGATTACTTCATCCAAGAGGGTGACTGATGCCGATGTTCCATCGACCCAGGTTGCACTTCCATCAACAGCCTGCAAAAATAGTGGGTAAGAAGGCATAATGAAGCCGCTAAATATTCATACAAGGCAATTGTCGATGTGGATCTCGACCCTCTTGAAGACGCTGAAATGAAGGTCTTGATGGGCAATATTGTTGTCGTGAGTATCTTCAAGATACAGTTAGATGCCCAAAACGTATCTGTATCTTATAATAAGATAATTATAATAAAATACTATTTGCACCAGCAGCAAGAAGCGTCGTGACGAATGAATTCTAAAAAGGGCAAGAAAGAAAACTTTTCCGACAAAATTTCTTTGATTTATTTCTCAATCAAATAGAAGCATTTCATGTTAGTGTAAGGGAAGAGAGAAAAACACATAACCTTTGCCGTAGCTGGAAAGATATTTAAAACCCTATAGATCGATAGATTAGGACAAGGGTAGAATAAAGTTACTACCTGAGACGGTACCATGTTTGCCGCCGAAGGTGAAAATTTTTTATAATCTTTTTGCTTCATGAGTCCAAGATTATCTTTCAAATCGTTCTCAAATTTTCAGTTTTGAAGGGAAAAGTCAAAAGAAGAAAATATTTTGTTCAGTTTGCCATAGGGGTCAATTCTGGGTCCCTTGTCTTTCTGATTAATGTAAACGATCTCCATCAGACGATCGAGAAATCAAATCTCATAATGTATGCAAACGACACTGTACTTTGGTTTCCTGGCAAGAATGAAGCTCCGAGAAAAGGCTATAAATCATGACGCTAAATTGTTACATAATTGGTTGTGCATTAATGGCTTGATCTTGAATCCTAAGCAAGGCAAAGCTGAGTTTATGATGTTTGGAACAGTGGCAAAAAGGAGCAAGATAACGCATCAAGCAAAAATAATTATTGATTCGAAAGACATCAGTAATCCCAAAGCTATAAGTGCCTTGGAATCCATTTTGATTAAGTCTCTCTCTCTGAACAATCACGTTCAAAGAATCTGTAAGAAAGCTTCAAGCCGGCTAGGTCTCCTGCGCCGAATCAGGCCAATACTCACAGCCTATGCCGCCGTGGAATTATACAAAGCCATGGTTCAGCCATTTATGACTTACTACAGCATTGCATTCTTGACGCTATCAGAGTCATATGAATCGAGAGGTTCAAGGAGACTTAGAAGAGAGCACTTAGAATCGTTTTTGGAGAACAGCATAATAACCACCGTGCCTGGCGATCATTGGCTTCCATGAGATCAATTCAGTGTGCAGATTTCGTTTGCAAATGCTTAAATTTTGCTGCTCCTGATACTTCCTATAACTATTTTACGAAATTAGAACACGGAAAATCAACAAGACATAATGGTATAGACTGCGTATGCCAAAAGTTAGGATGAAAATTGCACAAAAAGGGGCGCAGCTCCAATTACAGCGGGACAAAAATCTTCAACGCTCTGTCATCTCATAAAAAACTGAAGAATTTTACATTTTTTTCAGGAAAGCTTTGAAGGAATATTTTATGGACTAAAATCATCGTAATTGAAATGATTGATGGTAGCTTGATGGATAAATACTACGCTGTGTTTTCTTCAACATTAGACATGGCTTCTTTTGATAGCAGCTTATACCTGACTGAATTACCCTGCATAAATAAAGTATTATTATCATTATTATTATTGTTATTGTTATAATCATTATTATTATTATTATTATTTTTATTATTATTCAGACTCGTAAACCCTTAAACTAAACTAATACGCCCCCTTTGCTTGCTTTTCACTCATCCTTTTAATGTCTGTATTCACCTTTGATCAATCAACAACAACAAAAATATAAACGAATGATGTCACATTTACAAACCTTATATAATCCAACATAAAATTCTGTCTCTTGAATTGACTTCAATCCACGTAACTCGTTAAGGAACTTCCGCTCGTCTTTATCCACCTTTATTGCTAGATAGCCATTTCTAAGCTGACAGTCTTGGACTGCATTGGGCCACGTGTGAAATTGCGAAGAGAAATTAAAACACTTGCCTGTCGTGGCATCCAATGAGCAGGCTAGAAGTAAAGTAAACGATATTGCTTAGGATAACAAATAACAAGAAATAGGTCTGGCAAGTACACGAAAAATATCACTTATGATAAAGGGTTAGGAGAATGGCTGTCAACCCCATAATGAACATCAAAGGTGGTCAACAATATGTTCTTTGGGTGGATAGTGTTTGTCAAAACATGTTGAGTGACCTAGGGGCTAGAAACTAACTGATAGAAACTAATTCAGTTAGTAGCTCAAAGTTCTCTTTACGAAATAAGTAAGGAAGGCTTAAGCCCTCAAGCAATCCCTGTCGCGTTTCTTGCTATCAAAATTGATGAAAGTTGTGTTAGCATTTTTAGCAATTACCCAGAATTCACTGCATTCCGAGTGAAAATGTTTACTAGTTCTTAGCATAGTCTATAATTCTCAATTTTGAGTCTCTTCTCTTATGACTGCCTTTACGTACATAGCTTGGTGATTCGCAGAGGAGCCCTGTCGGTTTCTTCCCCTTTTGTATGTCATAGACTTTTGTTGCAATGGCAAATTATGCTTTTTATGTGTACTTTATTGAGATGAAGGAAAATGAATCAGTATCCGAAGCATTAAATTTAACAATTATGGTATATAGTTTTTGATATTACACTTCACATACGTGGTGATTGTGTTGGAACTTGTGACGTGCTTGCTGAAGCAGCAGTCGCCGAGAAAGTCGAGTCTATGCTGCTTATAGCGGTGTTTAACAGTACTGACTGTGCCTGTAATTGCGCCTGTAATGTTGATGCTATGCTCTGTAAGGACGTTGAATAGCTAGAGCTCTCAAGTGCAGTATTTTGCATCACCGAAAGGGACGAATTCATGTCAGTTTCGGTTGAGGACGTTGTCAGTTGCGGGAACGTATCAGCTGCTTCGCTTGTTAACAGAGTGGTTGGCACTGAAGGTGACGAAATGCTTACGGTTTCGGTTGTTTCAACGGTTGGCACAACCTTTAAAGAAGCAACTGCTTTGTCAATGCTAGGATTCATCGTTTTCGCAAAGGAAATCGAATTCGCATGCATTTGTGATACTGTTAGTTCTGATTGAGAAGTTGCCAATTCTTTTGCAGAGTTTGTGCTATCGATGGCATTAGAAGATACTGATTTTGTTGCTATCATTTCCGTAACAAACGTAGCAAGGGCCACCTTTGAGCTCGTAAAGTAACTCTTATCTTGCATTGTCTTGCTGTTTTTTGGAGAAAGGGAACTAGCCAGTTCTTCATCTGTGAAAGGAAAAGCCGCAGCGGTTGACAGGATAGCAGCAGAAGTTGAAACGGTTGGCTTTATGAGCACATCTGTATCAGATTGCTGTCTTTCTTGAGAAGAGGAGACATAGGTCGTAGCAATATATGTCGATTCTGGTCCGTTTGGTAGAAACGACACTTCAGATTCGTGAACAGAAGAGTCAATTTCAATATCAACTGTTGACCGTGTTATTCCAGAGGAGATAGAAATAACTGTTTCGTTCACAATGGAATTAGTCAGCAGTTTTAAACTGGGGCTAAAAGCACTGCTGGGCTCTGATGCAGACAGCGTTGGCCTAGGTGTAGAGGAAGAATGTGCAAAGTAAACCAAGCTAGTTGATAGTGTTGAGCTCTGCTGAGTCGTAGTTTTCAAGACTGCTGAGTAGTAGTTTGTAAGGGAGGGAGTTGTCACGCTTGGGTTCAAGGACGTTCCTGCAAGAGTAGAACTAGACAAAGTTCCAGAGGATTCACTCTTTAAAATGCCTTTGGAAGATGACATCAGGAGCGTAGAACTCGTCTCAAGTTGGGTGTTACTGTGCTGTCTATCTGTGAGCACTTCCATTGCAGATGATGCTTTGACGCTCTCTAAAGTGCTGCTTGTCTCCAATGTTGGAAGTGACAACGAGGAGTCCTTTGACATATGCTTCAATAATGATGCTGCTTCCTCGTGTTTCTAGAAAAACAAAGAATACACCCTTTACCAACACTAACATGTTTGAACTTTAGGTTTATTACCTCTAATGTTCACAGTGTCATCTGAACCAAATTGATTTGAATGGTAGAGCTAGGGAGGCCTAGAGAAAAACAAAGAATCTGCTGCTCTAATTCGGTACTATCTTATAAAGGAATAGTGCATAATTTGGCAATTTTTGGGGATGCAGCCCCCTGTCTGCTTCTTATGCCCCCTGGAATACTTCAGTAACACTATTGCTTTACAAATTCAATTTAAAATTTACAAAGTCAGCTTAGACAACGACGGGACTAAAAAGATTGTTTTCGTAACTGAACGTCAAATATTTGCTTATCTGAATTATATTTGGAATACGGTCGAAAATGATATCGTTGGATCCAGTTTTTTCTGACTGGATTTCATAAATTTACCACCATGGATTTGATTAAAATGCTCAAAAAAGTAGATTGGACATGTAAAACATTTTCTGAGGACGTTGCTCGGACAAGCGTACTACTTACAATTTCATATTTACTAAACTTGCGAAGTTTTGTATAAACTGTTCGCTCATGATTCTCTAGTCGTACCGCTCCTCCTTTTGTCAATGTATGTGGCAGCAATAGCTCACATCTCCCTGCTTCTCCAGTCGCAGGAAATTGAAAATTTGTGGCAATGCAGCTTGATTTTCGGAGGCAGTGTTGATTGCAAACAATGATTGTTGGGCAGCTGAAAAAGCTCTCTATAAGTCCAGAGCCAACAGCTTTAAAGCCTTGTTTGCAGTCTTCAGCTTGGGCTACAGTGTACTGGGATTGTGAGCTCTTCACAAACGTTAAAATCAACCATAGCACTACAGAAAGAATCATATTTGCATTTAATGCTAACGTGAAGTTGCGAAGCATATTTTGTTGTTGTCCACTTCAAGAAATACATGCAGAAGCAACTCTTATAATTTAAATAGCAAACAGACAGCTGTTTATTTCTGAAAAATTTTACGGGTAGAAACAGATGCATACTCAAGTCGTCGATTAAATCTGAGAAAATGAGAGCTGAATCAAATTTAGAGTGTAGACAATGAACGAACAACGTGAAAGTGAACAAGATTATTATCAATCATTTTAATATTGAGAACAGGAGAAAGTGGACATTATTCGTGGTTTTGTCAGTCATAGTCATTACCTCGATAATTGCTTGACACAGACTATTTTGCTGATCAATGTAACATCTGCCTTAACACCCAAGAAGCCTATCAACGATTTGACATTGATACAGATTGCTTCATTCTTACCTTATAATTCTGTTGATAATCAGAGCGTATGGGATGTTTCCCTGTATACAACAGCAAATAAGACTAGGACAGGTGAACTTTCCATCCTGATATCTAGATATTAAAACTGCGCAGTACTTCATCATAGCAAGACTTCATCCTCCGAATACTGCTAAGCAAAGTCTGTGGAGCGTTAAGCTATCATGCAGAGAACAACTTCTTTGCATACATGTTTACTGAACGAGCAAAAAGGCTAAAAGATGAATAAGGATTCGAAATATGTTTGAAGCAATCTCTAAACCAGTTGAATAAACCTAAGGAAATGTCAATTTTTACAGATTTTCAAATTTCAAGAATGAGTAGGAAATGATATGGAAAGTAGAATTCTTGTCAACTTGTTAGACTGTGTCAATAAACCTAAATGTTCAGTTTCATTATCCATCCAACAGCCTACTCACAATACATATTACTGTTAAGTTCAACAGCTAATGATAGACAAAACCAAAGTTTGAACCTTTAATGTGCTTACCACCTAAAATATGTCCTTATGTTTCTTTTCTTAGCGTAGAGTTTTAGATCTATGTTCTGACGTTTTAAACTCTAAAGAGTGTCAGACGAAAAGCTTTAGTTTACTAAATGTTTGCTTTTTTCAAAGCCATTTACTTGGAGATGGGTTACAAAGGAAAATCAGATAAAAGATTGCTAACGAACGCATTGAAATTGCAATGTTTGCAATGATGAGACTTTAGCAACCCTTAACGAATCACTTTGCTAATTGTAGATACTACCATTAATTAAGCATGTCCATTGACTCCACTTTTCGACTTCCATATTTTCATTTCAATAAATATTCCTGAAGGCTAAAGAAATATATTTCTCCCCTCTTTTTGCATGTTAAGAGAGACAATAAACAGGCTGGCCTAATCGTTTTTGTTTCATAAGAAACACGATGACCAATAGCTTATTGGTTTGTCGGCCCAAAAGAGCTTATTTAGCTTTATGGAAAATTTGTGAAAAATTTCTGCATTGAATTCTCTGCAGGGTAGTCGCATAAAATCTTAAAATATTGCAACTAATCTGAGAACTATAACTGTAATCATCTTTTCATTTGACAAATTTGACTCATTTCATTTTCATCTTACTTTCTTCACACAATGACCTTATAATTAACAAATGAACTTACATATTTGAAACAAGTATCAATCTTTGCGTACATCATGAAGCACGAGCTTATATAAGTATTCTAAAAAATACTATAGGCCCTGTTTTCACTTTAAAAGATGAATATGCACATGAAATGTGCGTCTTCATAGCTATAAAACCATGAGGAAATAAGCTTAAAGTATCCAAATTATGTAGGACAGAGTCAAATGGTTTCGCAAACCCTGTTAAATTTCAATCACAACAACTTTCAAAGCAGTTTGACTTCGGTTCCTTTACCATTTCCAATAGGACATGCGTTGGATGACAGAATACTTTCAGTGATGAGAAACATAAAACCCATATTTTTGGAGAGCTTTTAACAGGCCCGCTCGTTTCGCCATAGTAGTTGCATGTTCGTTCAACACACAAGTCAAAAAGTAATATATTTTGAAATAGTGATAATTGTTATTTTGATCAATTTGATAAATACTCTTTACACGCGCATGTAGCAACTTGATGGCTGAGATTGATGAAGAATGTGTCGAAAAATCTTTATAATATGGGGAATATTCTAGATAGTGAATAAAACGAGCAAAGATAAAACAACAAGCGCTGAAGCTATAGTGGGACTTTAAGGATTGATTTGCAAAAAGGATTGAAATATAGAAAAAATCAGGAATATCAAAGCTAACTGAAATTTGGTTTGGTTGATAACTCTGAGAATACTGAAATAATCAAATTTTACACAATAAAATTTTTATTCTATCCTAGTCTCTTTTAATTTGGTAGAATACCTGTTCTCAGTTAATTTGTGTTCTTATTTAATTAAGTTACCTTTCTTATTGAATTAGCTGCAAAATTACTCAGCCGCCTTGTAACGATAACGTCAAATATCCATGTTTTATCAACAGCTGATTTGACATTTAAGGATGAAAATGAAGAGTCTTGTTCCAAAATCTCGAACATGAATAAAGCAAACATCTTATCCTTTAATTGTCATTAGAATAAGCATTAGAATCTGCGATTGGATCATTTAGGGCACATTTTGTATGCAAATAACAGCGAGGTATATCAAAGCGACTTTTTTACCCGGTAATTCTACTTGGTTTTAACAAAGAAGAGACAGCAAAATGGCAAAATTTATTCTCATTGCAATTTTTGCCTCTTTGGGGCTTTTGGTATCAGGAAGGAGTTTAGAATCATGTGAGTATCGATTCAAATGCCGTCTTTATCACTCTTTGATATTGATGATAAATTTCGCTTGATGCATTACAGCTGTAGAGGTTAAATGTCGCAGCTTTCTCTTGGCAAAGTTGTTTTCACGCCTCACTATTCTTACAGCAACTAACTGTGAAATATTAATAATCTGAGAAGCTTACCATGCTGTTGTAAATGTAAAGCATCACTTTGTTTTTTTAAGATGCTCCAGGAGAGGAGAACTTCGCTCTTGGAGTCGATGCAAATGGGCATCCACTGAACGAGCCATTTGAAGATGATGGTAGCAAAGGAGGAACCACTAAACTCGACCCAATGGCTCAGGTTAGTTCGAACCAATTCATATTTGCTTTGAACAACGTGATTTATGACTTCCAAATGAGACTTCTAGTGACTCATTGGTGACTTGCAGCAATTTCTCCCACAAAAGTTCCTACTGATTTTGGAAACAACGAACACACGTACCAATCCTCCTGATAAAGAGTCTCACATCACAGTTAGCGCGCATGAATCCAGGTCCCATCTGCAATTTGTTTAAATCAATCGAGAAAGAAAGTTCAAATCTTTTCAAATGTTTCTCTTTATCATGAAAAATGTGAAATGCAACACTCTTACATGAACAACATCCTTACAAGCTTGACAAGTATACGTTAAGTGTGTTACGTCACTTTCTTGCTTGCTGACTTAACTCAAATGGAAATTAAGTTGAACTGTCGATATAGTTCTAACCAGGCAATTATTTCTAATCAACTCTGAAATTTCATCAATATCGAGCCTCAGTTTTATAATGAAAATTATTATTTTTAAATAGAATTCACACTAACCTTCTTTTGTAATCCAGTTTCATAATCCTTTGATTGACTTTAACTGTATTTCAAGGTTTCCTAGAGAACAAATGATAATGGGCTACTTTTCAGAAACAGAAAAAAGGCAATATCAGTTAATATGAAATATGTTTCTTATCGGTAGATTAGAATTCTTTATTATATTAGTTATTTCAACTGAACAAGAATTGGGTGAATCTATATGGCTTTTAAAAGAAGGATTTTCACGGAATATTATGGGTGATCAACACGATGGTTTCTAATTTTTCGGTCATCCCAAAGCTTGGTTGTCATAGACAGTTTCTTAGGAAACGAGATAAGGTTTTTATTTACAGCAATTGATACTTTGTGATAAAGGCAGAAATGAAATAAAACTCATCATGTAACTGATGAATGAATTACAATGAAAATAATACTTGGATTTTATCCCGACTAGAATGAAAAGCTTAAAGTTTTACCCTTACCGCTATCTAAGGCATTTTGTTGTGGCTTAAAAAGTATGCCTACTATTTCTAAAACTGCATATAAATTTACTGACATAAACCCATAACATCTAATGCATACAATGTTTATACCGCATGGGTTTACACTCTGTAAGAAAGGTAGATAAGAGGGAATGATCTTCTCATTTTAGGCTTCTTACCCGTAAATCTAAGCCCAATGTTTCTTTCTTCTTATCCACACCATCATTAGATCCTGTTAATTAGAAATATCAACCAGTTATTCAAGCTATATTGGGAAGTTCCAGGTGCAAATTAGGAGCAGTCGTTAATTTGGGAATCCTTTACCCATAGTGCCTTTGGGATTGGATCAAATGTTGGACATCGAATCCAAGGAATTCAACCAGATGTGGTTGGGTTTATTCAGAGTGTGTGGAGAAGGTTAAAAAGCAACAAAGTTTTAGAGATGCTAAAAATGAGGTGTTTTCCTGTTGAAGAGAAAGATTCAGTTTTTTGCTTTTCTTCATTATATTATTTATCTGGTAATCTCTACTAATCTTTTTCTAGTAAAAAGCCCAAAGTTTCCTCACAAAATGTCATAGATTTGCCTGATTGCACAGAAAACTGTGCTGTATCACTTACTAGGTCTGCTACTCAGGTTTAACGATATCAAATAGCGTTAAAGCATGTTTTCATTCATGAGGCAATATTTAAATTTCTGCCTTACTGCACCGTTGGAAGGAGATTTGTCTTGGGACTTAGGGTTTGGCGCAGAGAGAAAGGTTAGGCATCTGCTGCTTCCTGTTCCCTGTTCCTGTTCCCAAAGGATATAAAGAAAATAGTTTGTATAAATTGCATCATTATAACGCTAGATAGTTAACAGCAATAATTTCTTCGACAGTGCTTGTGGGACTTACTGGTCTGCTGGAATAAACGGGAGATCAGCTCAAGCAAGTGCGGATTCATCTACTCAGACTGCATCGAGCGCGCGAAGAAAGGCCTGCCAAGCACAGATGCACCACCAACTGATGTGCCACCACCACCACCCACAGACGAATAAGTGAGTCACCTAAAGAATAGTAATTATGCAAAAAGCTAATTTCACATTCATTTGAATCAGTCTTTAATTATTTGTTGTTTGTTTAGGGGAATTAAAAATTTTCCAAATTGCTTTCAAATTCCTTCCTTGTTAAGGATACATGCAGCCGAATCTTATAAATGGAAACTAACTGTTTTTCCTAAAAATTCTTTACGGCAATCCAACTACGATATTTTCTGCCTTCTTCAAAGTCGAACTCCGTTGTTTAAGTTCCATCTTTTTGCTTCTTAGAGTTTATGACTGGAAGATACGATGAGATGAGCAGAACACACAAAGATACAGCTGAATCCATGTTACCTGCATTGTAGAAATAAATGGGATGAAAACCTCAGACTAGTCGTTTCTCTGCTTACGTTTTACTGCAAACTGCTCAATTACAAGTAACCTTTCTGTTTATTGATAGCGTTCCGTTACTACTAGTACAGACGAAATTAATTGCTTGAAACACAGTCGTTGGGTACCTGAGCTGAGCGACGTATAAACTATAGAAGAAGTATTTATTGACATTTTCTTAGTTTCATCCGTCATCTTGTGATCCCCAACACCCTTCATTTTGCTCCCTATGGGTTGCTTCCTTATCTCAACTAAACAAGCTTCCTTCTTCAAAATTAGAATTCATTTCACATTTTTAGTAATGTCTCTTTCAACTTCAAATAACCTGCGTTACATGTCATCGCCAATAGCTGATGCACCTGCACAAGCAGAACAAATGTTTAAGTGGTAGGAAAACGACTTAACATTTGCTAAACATCGCTAGACAATGCTAACAGTTTTTGCCCAGGACCAACTTTGATCGACAGCACCCAGCACGACTAAAGAACATTAAACGGGGTGGCAAAACGAAAAAACTTTCCACTTAAGAAAAGTCGAGCGACGAAACGAATACACATTTCACTAAGCGAAACTTGAGTGATGGCGTAGTCAGGGTTTGAGGGGGGGGGGGTGTCAAGGAGGAGTCCCAGATTTTTGCTGACCACACCCTTAAGAAATAGGGAAAACGCCCCATTTTTACATTTCTTTGGAAAAGCTATGGTTTTTTTACGTGGCAATGGTTGGCTAATAGAACACAATAACAGACATATGTAGCTATTTCAGACCAGCCATTTTCATTTTACAACTGGCAATTTCCTTCACAATTTCTCTCGCGTTTATATTATGATTTTTGTCGGGCAAGGAAGCTCTACGTGTAAAAACCGATTTTACAAAATTGTTAGCAAATATCTACAAATAATAAATAGTATTCAAAAGCCTCGAACTAAGTCCATTCTCCTAGGATCAAAACCTTCCAACTCCTTGAAAAGCGATTCATTATCTGGCTCTTTAAGGATTCGAGCATTTTAGTCCAAATATCATCGGGAAAATCTAAGAACGTAACGGACTTTTTTATGTAAACCCATATGTAAAAACAAGCAAAAGCTTAAAACCATTTTAAATAGGGATAGATAAGGCCCCCTGCGAGCTGAAGCTTTTAGCGACAACGCCCTTTAGCTCAGTTTAAAAGACATTTCAGAATATTTCCTCCCGTCATTTTCTTGCAATGGTTCAAAACGTTTTACTTTTGGCTGAAATATCAATAATCCCCCCCCCGCCCTTTAGGTACCAATTTTATTGCAGATTTGCATCTATCTCAGATGCCAACTTTTTGAGCATTTGGGGGGGGGGCGGCATTTTGCCAGGATTTAACTGAAATATCCTGAAGCTTGGAGTCCCAGAAGTTTCCAAATGAGTTGAAACAAAACTTGCCCTAGGATTGGGGGATTGGGAGCAAGAAAAAAATAGCTATGAAATTTTCCCACTAAGAAGTAAAATTTATTAACAAATTTGGTGCTTCCAGGGGAATAGGAGAATGCCCCCAAGCAGCTGCGTTTCTGATGATATACAGATGGACTCTGATAGGTTTCTGCCTCTAGTTTATTAGATGTTGCCAGCAGCCCCTCCAAAGTCATATGTCGAATGGTCGCAGTGTATCAAATGTGAACCTAGCGTGTCATTTTCCCCTTATCAAATTTTAAGTAAGGGAAGGGGGTCATCTGACCCCATAATAAGCAATTTGACAGTGCAAATACTTAGACTGGCAACTCTAACTAAAATGATGTAGCAATAGTATTTCTAGAAACCTCAATACACACCCTCCTAAATTTAGCCTGAAGTTAGGGGTAACATTCCGACGTTTATTGTTGGGTACGTACCTTTATAAATCACGCTAAAAATGAAGGACAAACTCCAGGAATATTCAACGAAAATAACATATTGTTATGTATTCAAAAATTAGTATGAATTGAAAGCTTCTTTAGATAATATGAACATGAAAACATACGTAATATATATTTAAAGAAATAACTACAGAAGCTATATCCTAAACATCACTATTTTTAAAACATAAATATTTTCAAAACGATGTTAGACGGTGCAGGCAATAAGCAAAGTATTTGGTGCCTGTTGGAATTAAATAATCAGAATGCTTTAGGTCAAGGAAAAGGAAGAACTTTTGAGAGAGATTATAACTATGTTTGCTTGGGTGTTTTCACAGGGATTTCGGGTAACAATCGAAGTTCCAATCACTTTTCAAAGATCCACAACACAACAGAAAACGTATATTACAAGAGTCTGAAAATATTGATGGCAGAAATCCAAGAAAACAGCCCTAAATTACGATAGAAATAGAAAAACGTAGGTGAAAACCTAAAACAATGGCGACAGAATAAGCATTGCCAGTAGATGAGACGAAATTAAACCATGCCGATGGAAATGAGACGTGTCTATAACTTCGAAGCAAAATGAAAACTAGTTGCAAAGAGAAACAGTCCAAGGAAGGTTAGCATAAGAAATTGGGATGGTTGAAAATACAAATTTTTTTATCAAGCATCTTGATTATAAGTCGATACGATATTCTAAATTTCCCCAGACCAGAAATTCAACATTTTCACAAAGCCTAGAAGCTTTGTTTCAATAGGGTTCTGCAGCCAACACTGCTCTCTCTACTACGCATGTTTGATTCTGTTTTATCGCTATGTCTGGTTGCAGAATATTGATCAAATCGTCCTTCCTTCCCAAGCAAGTTGGTTTGAAAAATCCTTGATAGCCAGAGTGTAAACAATTTTTCATTACAATCCTTTAAGTTCAACATTGTTCGCATATAGATAGCAATTTACAAAAAGATATAATATTGCCAAAAGAAGGCAAGAACTTGCTTGACAATACGACTAAACACAACTAATTATATAAACATGAAAGTATGTGTTTAAAAGTAATTAGAATACTTTACCGGTTTGAATTTAGATATTAAATTGAATTCACATATCAACTATCAGCAGATGTAGACATACTAAAGTTCACTATATACGGTGTTGTGTTCGAAAGTCACTACCCTCAAACTTGAACAGGTAGAAATCTAGTCTTGAACAAAATGATATTTATCTTAAACTAATACCTTATCTAAAAGTTTTTGCTTGGCTTTGAAATGGAATGCCATACCACTGGTAACTAACCTCTGACCAGATCTACTAGTATGAAACAAACTAGCTTTCAGTTTTTGATAGCCATTACTCAGAGCTATCCACGAAACAACACTTACTATCAACAAATCATGTGTCGTGCAAACTCCGTAATCACCTCAGTAACAATTTTTTATGATATACAACTAACAAAGTACTAACACTGTTGAATAACACGTTTTAAGAATATCGCATTCGTTCCAAGTCGATTACTTCATAAGAAAAAAGGGAATGCCTTTATAATGAAGCTACTGTAGACCAACTGATTTCATACCTGTGCTTTATATCTTCTGTAGCACAGTTCTTTTGAAACAGCCTGATTTTGGCATCCAAAAATGTTGTCCGCTCGATGTGTCCTTTAAAAATACATTTTCATATTGACATGTCCTGCTAGTTAGTAACCCATGTAACGCAGGTTACAGGTTTTTCGAATTGCTGCAGCAGAATTAACGATTAAATAATAGCACCATGTCACATTCTTTCGAAATTTGATCTGAAAATACCCTAGTCTCTTATGGTTCTGTATACGGTGGCGGCGACCTTCCGTATGGTGGTGATCTAGGCGGCGGTGTTTGTGGCGGTGGCGTTTGCGGTGTCTTGTTTTCAACAAGTGCTTTCTCTTCATCTTCTGTGGATGCAGAAGACGAGCCATTTTCATCAGGGGTTGACGTGCGTGGTTGATAAGCAGTGTTGGTAAGTGGTGCCCTTTCGTTCGGGAGGAACAGTGGCTCAAGACTGACAAGATCTGGTTTATCTTCATACTCTTCGCGAAAGATGACTGGTTTCTTCTGATACAAGAACGTATTTTTGTCTTCCTTTTGCGGCTCATAACGACGCTTCCTTCTGTATAAGAAGAAGAAGATGAGTCCTATGACTAATAACAGCACAGCAATGACAATAACAGGGATAAGCACCACTTCCCACCATTTGTAACCACCATCGCCAGACTTTCTTGGCGATTTCCTTCGATTCACGCCCCCACAATTGGTTCCTGCTTTTTTAGCCGAAGTTCCCAGAACAATGTAATCGGGTGCCATAGCATCTAAAAAGGCAGAACCTTCCAGTTTGGCTTTGTAAGCCTGGGCCTTTACACTGTTACAGTCGCCAGTTTGGAACTCTGACGATGAATAGCTCATTACAACCGAACCTGGATAAAACTTTTGCAATCTGATGGTTTTAAAACCAACATCAGTAGTCTCTGCAATCTTTTCCACCAACTTTACTTTGTTCTTGGCGCTTTTCACAAACTTTGCAAAATCTAAATCAACAGAGACATTGAACACGTCGTTATAAACCACGTTCTCATCTAATACCCGGACGGTGAATACAGCATTTGTCTGTTTTCCGAAAGAATCGGTAGCTTGTAAAGCGTAAGAGTTATCTCCAACATCTGCTAAAGTAGGCAACCCATACAAATAAAAATTTTTAGTATCAAGGAATATCTGTGATTCATCGACATCTTTTAACTTCTGCAGCACGTTCCTCTTCAGCGCTAAAAGAAGGTTGTATGTGTTTCCATCATTATCATCTTCAAATACGTCATTTTCGATCTTTACTTTGAAGGCCTGTCCGGCATTAACTTGAATAAGGTCTATAGAATTTTTGAGTACAGGAGCAAGATTTTTTATCACCGGTGGAGTGGTTCTAGGAACCATTTTAGTTGTCTTTCGAGCCATGGTGGTATCCGGTGGCGAGGTTGTTGTATCTGGTTTCTCGCGAGTAGTTACCGGTTTCATCGTGGTCGTTTCTGGTTTCATCGTGGTCGTTTCTGGTTTCATCGTGGTCGTTTCTGGTTTCATCGTAGTCGTTTCCGGTTCCATAGTTGTAGTTTCTGGCTTCATGGTGGTTGTTTTGGGTTTCATTGTAGTCTTTTCTTCTTTAGTAGTGACGATAATCTTTTTTGTAGTTGCTTCCTCAGTAGTTGTGGGAGGCTGAGTGGTCGTTGTTAATTTGGTAGTAGCTTCTGCTTCAGTCGTAGGAGGTTGGCTGGTCACCGTAGGAGTCGGCTTCACCGGAACCGCAGATGTTTTAGTTGGGGTAACAGCTACGGTGCTTGTCGACTTGATCACAAGGGTCGGGGTTGCGCTGATAACTGGAGTGCCGCTTATCATTGATGTAACCACTGCAACAGGCTTTGTTGCTGATGGAGTAGCGGCAGGAGTTGCTAATGGAGTAGTACCCCGAGCCGCTTGCCGACGGTATCTCTTTTGATGCCTGTAGACGTACCATCCAAGGAAAGGTACGCCAGTGCTGTTGAAAATGCGCTTGTTACCAGATGACATTTTCAGAAGGTTTACCGAACGGTCACCTGTAGGAGAAAAGGATGTTGGATAATGTTACTCCTTCAAAAAAGAAGTCATCAAATAGTTGCCTTCCAAAAGAATAATTCTTTTGCAGAATTTTTTTTAAGAACGAGAGAATCCTTGTTATAAATGGAAATGTTAGAAGAAAGGAAAAAATCAAATTGTTGTCGAGAATGCATGCATATGCAGTTGCTTTACTTTTTTGCTTTATATTAAGCCTACCAATCAATGAACAGCTTTCGCGAGACTTCATTCTACCAACACATACTATTCACCTGATGCTGATTTTAAATTGACAGTTGTACTAAGCATATAGTGTCTGGAAAATGTGCAATTAACAAAATGGATATCACATTAGTTTGGTCATGACTGGGTGCAAAATCCTTGGTAAAACCTAAATTTACCCTGGAAATGTCTGGTGAAAGAACGTTATCTTGTGTATACAAGTACATTGATGCCTCGGCTCAGTAAAGTAAATATATACTAAAGTACTTTTCGTCCAAAGATGGATATCACATTAGTTTGAGCATATCTTATGCCTATATCGTGTAACCACCGAATTTGAAATTTTATCCTCAACTTCAAAGGACTTGATCCAACCCGATTCAGAAAATTTTCTTAACTTATCTTCATGAGTTGAGTCATCAGGTAAAATCTAGAATTCGCAATTGCCAAAATCGGTCTGAATGACTTCAAAAATTTCATTCAGACTAAAGTTATGCTTAATGAAAGAATAAAGATTTTTCAAGTTACAAAATAAATAAGCAAGTCACGAGTTTTCAGATATTTCTAGCCAATTTCTCTTCAAGAAAGAGCTCTGATAATATCAAGAATTTCACAAGAATTTTCAAGTAAAGTTAATGTACAAACTTTAAATCATCCATTAAAAATGAGAAAATGAATTTTCATGACGTCAAACCTAAACTACATATTTTCGAAGCCTTGAAAATCTTCCTTAAAAACAAAGAAAACCATTGGAGTTTTACCATTCTATTCAATCTCTTTTTTTATCCTTAAGTGAAATTGTCCCCTAAATGGTAGTAGAAAAGAGTGAGAAAAGGAGAGAAACTGACCTGCAACACCAAGCTTGCAATTCACTTTCCATTTAACAATTAGGCCTGGAGCTTTGGTGATGATGCCGTCTCCTGGTCCCGCTGTTTCCATTGTGAAATCGAGAACATTGCTAGGTTTTTTCTCCTCCACAATCACTTCGTGAAGACCAATATCTACGTAATCAGCAAACTTTCGCAAAAGCTTTACCCTTGCAAGGCCGTTAAAACTTTGGAAGTCGATGCTAAGCAAGGCTGCTGCGACAAATGCCGGGTTTCCGTGGTGACATACAAAGGTGTCTCTGGCATCTTTGACATTTACCTCAAACTTGAACTTCTTTTTATGATTTTTTGTGCCTGTTTTAAGGACAATTTTAATTCTACCTACATCTGCCCGTGTTGGAACACCGACTAGTTTTCGTTTCTTTTCGTTGTAAGAGAGCCATCGGGGTAGACCGGTTTTGCCATGCTCATAAATGTGTACCTGAAACAAAACAAAAACAAAAAAAACAGTCAGTTTTGCCCATAAATCGAATGCTTTTTGCGACAAAAACTATTAGAAACCATACTTACTGACGCAAGCATAAGCTGTAGCACAAAAAAATTAAAATAAGTGCAATGATCATTGACTCAGTAATAAAGCTGCATAAGCTATTTTTTGAGCCTCCGAACGATTAAAAACAAAGACCTCTCTAACTGAACTTAAATAGGAATTTGCACAGTCAATCCTAAATCCATGTCATGAACAATCCCAGATTGTATTACCAATATAAAAAACTAAACAGGTTAGTCTTTTTATATATCCACTCCACCAAAGGCTAGATAACGGTCGTTTCCTATTCTCTGCAAAACATTACTTCACTTACACTAGTGGGGGTATTTCCTTGACCATCTAATATGAAGTCCTGCAGAGAATACTTGAAAACTTTCCCCACTTCTGCTGTCAATAGTGTACCATCTTGATGACGTAATATCTTTGATTTTTCTTTCTCTGAATTCTCTCGCAAAGATAAGTTCTCGTGCAACTTTTTGTAATCAGGAACTGCAAACGTTTCCTCAAAAATCAACACCAAATTTAATACGATTAGCACTGCAACAGCCATCTTTTTTGAGCTAAATAATACACCACAAGAACATCCAATTGAACTCGTCACCATTTTCTCCTAAGGTCAAACTGCAATTATAATGTGGCTAACCAAAGACATCTGCCGTGCAAACAACGAACCGATATCTAAAAGGAGAGTGATAATTCAAAATTAGATAGTTCACTTTCTGTATACAACGTATTTCAAAGCTAAATAATAAGGCATCCTTTGCGAAATGACGTTCAAATGGCCTTTGAATGAATTTTATGGTAAAATTTGGCCGTTATAATGGTTAAGGGGCGACGTAGATGATTAAATTACTGCAATGACTTACAATGCGTTTTCGAGGCCAACTAAATCTATCACAGATCTTAGCCGGTGACTAGTATAACTAATTTAAAACCGCCCACGATTCTGTCACCCGCTCTGATGGTTTTGTGTGGATTTTTAATCGAGTTTAGGTTACGCACGGCGCATGCATGTTGGCGCAGGGCAAATCTAAATTGCGTCCAGGGCAAATCTAAAATGACACATTCCATATTTGGACGGTATCTCTAATCTCGATTACAAAACCCTTCAATGCATACATTAAAAGTAGACACAACACTCGGGTACAGCTACATTCACGTGGAGAAAAGCACAGGGGAGGGAAATTAGAGAAGGAATGAGGCAATACAGAAACACCTCTCTATATAAGAACAACCCCTTCTAAAACAAACGATGCAACATGACTAGCCTGAGCAAAAACCGAAGGTACCAAACTCACTCTTTACGAGAAACTTGTAAATGGGTTTTTTAAATTTCCCGAATTGGCATTATTCAAACCGTCTTTCTTATGCCTTTTGTTTTAAAGAGTTCGTGGCTCAATATTGTTTATAAGAGGCTGGTGTGGAGGAGCGCCCAAAAACTAGTTAAAGAAAACATTAAAGTTTATGTTTCGAACATATTGCTTATATTAGTCAAGCAAAATGGTTATTTTAATCTAATTTTGCTAAATTTTCGGCGATCACAATTAATTCATGTGGTAACAAAGGACTCTTGTGTTTTAACAGCATAGCAAGGGTTTTTGGCTGGACAAACATCAAGCACAAAGCATATCCAAATGGGATTTCATGTGCCATGCTATGCCCTAGGGAAGTAAACGGGATATTGATCCAATATCATAGATATTTTTTAAAAGATCGTGCCGTTCAAGCGATAGGAATTCAGAATCGCTTCCCAAAGACAACAACAACGACAAAGCAGATTGTTTTGCTGATAGCTTGCGATGACGCTGCCTTTCCGCCACCGGAAACGACTACTTGTGCTTAACCAAGAAGAATTAATATTGTAATTATAACTATGATTATGATTATAATTGTAATTATAATAAAAATGTGCGCCTTTTTCTAAAGGTCATCAACAAGGTGAAACACGAATTTTTAAACTCATCCTCTCCTTTCTTGCTAAGCGTTCAATTTATTTTCTTTGGCGTTCGATAATAATCGACTAATACACTCTATTTTCAAAGAATATTGTTTATAATAAACAATATTTATAAGAATATTCAGGCTCAGAATCACCCAGCTTTTAAGAACATAATAAGAATATTGCTCAGCCTCATTCGTGTCTCTTTATAAATGTGGCAGCATTTGTTGACTGGGACGCAGGCTACTCATTTTCAGCAGTTGCCTGTTTTGTGAAATTCATAACAGGGAATTTCAGAACTTGAATATCTCGTTTTTGAAGAAGGCGTGGCTTTTAGCCAAAAGCGGGCGATGTTCCTTTGAAAACATTTCGAAGAATATATTAAAAACATTTTCAGGCTCAAAACGAAAATTTCTAAAAAATATCGAGGCTGGAAAAATTTATAGTATTCTTATCAAAAAGATAGTAGAAACTTGAAAATAGAAGTCTACAAATCTTCCCCCTTTATTTAAATACATGGAATTTGCCATATTTTTCATAAAGATACACCAGTAGCACAAAATGTGCCAAAACGAGGGTAAGGGGCGGAAACAGAACAATTTCTTCGCTCTGCTGTCCCCAGAGTTTAGAATCCTTGGTGGCATGGGTCCTGACTCCCTACTAGCATCCCAATAGGACAATCCAGTGGAATACTACGATGCAATACATTTTGGTATTCTATCAGCTTCACATCTAAATGATTATTTATAGGCAGCTTGAAATCAATATAATGTTTACTGTTCTCGCATCAAGATCACAAAACAAGATAAAAGCAGAGGTCTGCAAGCGACATGGGCAAATGAGGCCCAGCTTCGAACGAATGATTGTTTTGAAATGCGAATCTTCTATGGATCAATGGACAAATAAACAAAGCGAAGAAAGTAAGCCAACGTCAGAAATTTTTTTAAGATGAATTGACTCGGATTTGACAATACAAGCAGCATGGAAATCATTTGGGCGTTTCCAAACCATCCCTTCCTCTGGTTTCAGTTAAACCTGTTTAGTCAAACCAGATTCTAGCAAGCGAATAAATAAATCGTAGCTTGCTTTCGATGATGTAAAGACTAGACGGGAAATATTAACGCGAAAAGCACCAGGTTCACTGTATACAATACATACAGTTTATGAGAAATTCGAGACACGATTTGCTTAAGATAAGAACAACGTAAGAACATGCCCAGCTTCAAATGAAAATCGGAAGAAAAAACAATGAGTGTTTGGAAATTTACTCTCGTGTTAACAAAACAGAGCAGATTTTGTCAGCCAATCAACCATGAAACTAAAACGTCACGCAGAACTGTTGTTTAGTGGACTCAAAACAGTTTATAGGATTTTACTTAAAGAAAAACTCAATGTTGGAATACGATAAGAACAGCATAAAGAACACTCGTGTCTCCAATTATCTGAAAAATCAGAACATCGCGTCCAGGCCGTAAATCTAACTTCAAACATTGGTCACGCCTTGATCAAACTCAAAAATTTTAAATTTACGTGAAAACCTGAGAAAAAATGCAAACTAATAGAGAATTGTGAACACGAGAAAGTGAAACTTTCCATATCAATGTATTAATTTTCTGTAATATTTTTCATTGTAGTTTAGTTACTTGTTAGAATAGTAAATTATATAAATTGTATGTAGTGAATTTAGAATATATGAAACTGAACTGAACTGAACTGAATAAGCCGTGGCAAAGAAGGTAGGGTGGGCCATTTCTACTAAAGTCGGCACGAGTTGGGACAACCGGTCCTTTGTTAGAGATTTACAAAAATTTACCACAACAATATGGTCACAAGACATTGTCAGTGCTCCATTGCATTCCAATCTCAAAGCAAGTACTCGGGTAAACTTACTTTAGAGAAAGGTGAATTTAAACTATCCAAAAAAGTTTGGGCGGCTGATTGGGGGAAGACCACAGTACAACGAAGAAATGAGAATTTACGGGATTCTTCAACGTAAATTGAACTGGCTCTTCGATACCAACTAAAACATGTCAAGTATGAACGAATGAAAAGTAAATAAACGAAAAAGCAAAAGTTGTTACAAACCATTTATATATGGCTTACTTTGGCGTTCTTTGGTCTAACATCGATGTCTGCCCAGTTGACAAAGCCTCTGGTACAATTTTGGCAGAGAATACAATTGTAATAGTGGTTAGCTTTGCGACTGAAAGCGTTTCACAGAGTTGGAGGGCGTCCAGGCAAGAGATCTTTCAAAAAAGCTAGGCTTCCGTAATAAAGTCTGGTGCGGATGCAACAAGGCCACAGACCTAACCTTGGCCTTACAAAACAGATGACTAACAGTCACATTCGACGGCAATATGCCCTTCTCATGTTCTCTGAATTCTAACCTTATTACAGCGGACCACAGAGCGGAACCGTCACCAACCTCTGCTTTATAGAGAAAATGAAACGCATTCTTGGGATGGCATTATACATCATGAGATAATGCAGCATTCTTTCGATAACTATGAAGCATTCAATCTAGACCATAAAATTAATGTTCTTCAAAGGGGGAGCAAACCGTGACAGCTTCTTTAATTTCCTAAAACGCTGTCTAATAAATTCTCCGAGGAGTCTTGGAATGTTTATGAAATTACATTCAGGCGAGCGCTGGGATGCACTTATAAGTTAGTGAAAGCAAGAGGAAAGATTAGCAAATATCGTCTGGAGAAGAACCTTCTCACAGTAAGTGGGGAAGATAAACTGTCCGCGGGAAGGAAAGCAAGAATATGTTATGCATAGAGTGAAGCCGCCAGACGCAGAGGCTGGGGAAGGCGAATTACGGGGGCTCACCACACCCTATAAAATGTTAGAAACGTCAGTTTCAAGGGAAAAGCCTCTTCAGTCTCTTGCAGTTCACTCCGGTGCATTTTTTTTATAAGAACCAATAAATTTAAGTTCAGGCTCACTGTGCTCAATTTTTTCGAAAATCTGAGGCTGGATTGTTCTTAATTTGTTCTTAAATTGAAAGGGTGTAAGCAGTGCTATTGCTAGCTTTTTCGCTCTAAGGAGGTGTTCAGGCCTCATTTTCCAACAAAGTGAGTGAGACAGCCTTAATCTGCTGACAAATTTGAATATTCACCGAAAAAGCACCCACACTTTGCTAAAAATCCTCGATTTTGAGAAAAAACGTTGTTCAAAATTGCATTTTGCAGAAGCTCAGCCTCAGCTTGTTCTTAATTTGTTCTTAACTTTTGACCAGTTTTGAGGCTCGTGTTCTTATAAAATTGTTCTTATAAAAATAGACTGTATATCTTTTATTAGGTAAAATCGTAATGCAAACTAAATAATTGAGGCTTTTTTACCATGCATCATGCTATACAAGTCATGTTATACTTGTTCAAGCGTAATTCAAAACATGGCCCATCATCAATCGTCGATCATCAAAACATGATGATCCGAAAGGACGAATCATTTAGATTCCAGTCCCTATATAGCAAAAGCATTTTTTGCATTAAATGGCATTAAACAGCATTAAAACATTTAAAGTCATCAAGGTTCGCCGAGGCGAGTGCCAAGTGGATCCGTCCGATCATCTGGGCCCAAAAGAGGCTGCACGCAGGCTAATAGACTGCGAAAAATCTTAATTTTGCCAAAAAAAAGTATTTTGAGCCCCTTTGAGCACTTCTGTCAAAGTTGTCAGCCCCCGTACATCGGATAACTTAAAGCGCAACCCACTAATGTTTGCTATAAGTATAACAATAATATGAATAACGATCGATACAAATGAAAAATAAAAAACTAGGAAAAGCTCAACAAAAGGTGTCCCCAAGGGTGCTGTCGTCATCGCCCACTTCTTCTGCCTTAGGCCTCCCTCGCGGCCCGATCATTGCTGATCATTTTGTGACTTTATTGTGGAATTTAAGAACTAAGAGAGTAGGATTAGAAAGAAATCTCGTATTTCCTTTCAATCACTAATAAAGACAACTAGGGCTTAGTTTCGTCTCCGCAACATACAGCCGACCACAGATGATCTCTGCGGTTATTGAAGCAATGCAAGCTCTAACCGTATTTGATTCACTTTTTAGTGCGAACAAAAGCAGAACCATTTGAGCAAAACTCTATTGGGGTCTCTTTATCGAAAACGACCCCTCTGTTCGCAACACGAACATTGATCGATAGGAACTTTAAAGCTGCACTTAAAGAAATCAATTCGTTTCCTAGAGAGATTTGTTTTACATTTTTGACGACTGCCAATGAGTACGGCCGCAGGATGCCTTAATACAATTCTGACAGTATCCCGGACAATGATGAAATAAATGAAGAGAATGAAGCGATTGCATAGGGTGTTGACAAAAAACCCTTTTTAAATACCTTCCAACCGTTTAAAAAGGGTTAGGATGTATGTGTGAGCTTGAAAAAAAGAGTTATCGCGAGAGACCGTTGACGTAATTCAAGTGGTGAGAGCTCTTTCCGAAGCTTTAGACTTTATATAAACGTGGCATAAGAACAAACCCAGCTTCTTGTTCAAGATTATTTTCAGGAAGTTCGTCCTTGATAGCTCCAGGGGTGTAGCTACTATTATATTATGTTTTTTATATTAATAGGGATAAAATACATAACAATAGCTTTTTAATGTAAATTTTCGGTAAATTCATGGATAACGGGAAAATTCGGACAACATTTTTTTCACACAGCTCCCCCCCCCCCTCCATAACTCGAGGTATCCCCCAGAAAAAATGAAAGCGGCGCTGGCTAGGTGTGGTACTCCTTTATCTTCACGACCCTCTGGATTTCGTTGGTCGTGTAACCGTTTTAAGAAATCTTGGACTGGACCAACATTGATCATTCAGAAACGAGGGCTTGAGCCAAATTCAGGAGGAAACCAAAAAGAGCAATGTTCTTATCGACAAATGCGTGTATTTGTAAAATTGCAGCCAACGTGGGATTCCCATACAATTGGCTGATTGAATAAATGAAATACAAAAAAAGACCAGGAAACTGGCCCATCCCACTAAATAAATTCGCGATGCTATTATTGTGCAACTGGCTTACTGTGATTCGAAGAACAAACAAGGAATGAAACTCAACAATAACAGTCAACGATTATGATCATTGTTAATCGAATCATTCTCATTTTGGGGGCTTTGAATACGAATTCGGTTCGTAGTTGTTTGTAATCTTTGGCAAGCAAAAACCGACAAGGCTACCCAGCCCATCTCTGTGGGAGTAAGCCATGTGAAGTAAATGTACTTTGATAATTGTTCCGGGGTCAAAAAATTCGTGTGATTATTTGTTTTAAAAGGCTGCCATCTTGAAGGTTCAAATTCACCACCATCATCACCACCACCATGAGAAGAAATTGTTCCTTATCTAGCAAGTGATGGTTACCCGGTGGTTGTAAAGTAAAAGTTACACTTTTGAAAATTGCAGATAATAACTGGGTGAAGAATTCATATCTGTGGAAATTTAATCAAAAAATGTCTTGAAAATACCTACATACTTATATTATTCATGTGGAAAAAGCCAACTCGCTATGTGTTGTAAGCTGGTTTTAACACAGTGTATCTAATGAGTGTTTTAAAATGACACGAAATGGAATCTGCATTAGGAATGCGATTCTGTGTATTCATTTCAAATTTATTCGTAAATCAGATTTTAAGTTTCCAAACATGCTTAAGTTGATGACAGCAGGTTGACAAATCTCTAAAAGAAAATTAGACCTCCATTTCAGCTTTCGATTGACCGAGAATCTTCTATCAAACACTGGTCACAAGAATTTCCTTATCGTCTTAGTTTTTAAAGAAATACAATTCTAAAAGCAAACTGTCATTAAAAAATGATGACCTTTTCGACGTTTATGACGCCACGAGGCTTTTATCATTGACCGTATTTAGCAAATAATACATTATTCATAATAGCAGCTCACATTTGTTAAATTTAATAAAATGAAATACCTGTCTTCGAAAGCCTGACAAATTTCTCGAATTTAGGCCACAAACATTCAGAGCTTTACTGTGCATTGATTTTTCTGACTGGCTCAGAGCAGAGCAGGGCCCAGCCAGACTACAAAGTTTGGGTATGCGCGGGGAACAATAACTTTTTGCTCAAATCCTGTCCGCGCATTTTTGCAAATTTAAATTAATCCGCGCAGTTGGAACATGGACTTTCGTGTGAATTCCGCGCATAGCCTAATCTCGAGCCTTAAAAATGCTATTTAAAAATGAAATCCCGCAGCTTTTAACCTGTCATTTTGCAACATGATTTGTTCCCGCGCAAGCGACAGAAAATGATTTCCCGCAAACAAAAAATACTTTACACTCTGAGAGCCCAGAAAAAATGGCGGCACAAAAACAAAAAACTTGAGAAATGTCATTGAGAAGAAAATAATATTATGGTTTAACAAATCCATGCCGAGCTATGTTTGTTTTTTTAGGTAGGTTTTCAAAGTTTGGACGGATGGAAACCAGACTTTGCAAGTGTACTTAGTTTAGGCCACATTGATATGACATCAAAATGACCTCGTGTTCATACGACGACATTTTCTAGGAGATCCGAATAGCCTTACAGGCGACAAGGGTGTGCTAAAGCAAGCCGAAAATGGGTTGGACACGCCCAAGGCCAACTTGAAATAGTTAAGTGAAGGGTAAGCTTAGCCAAATTTAAAAAACTGGACCAAACCTCACAATTGTAAGAGGAGACAGCGCAATTTTTGAAAATCACCTTTCCGAGACCATACCTTTTTTTAACTCTGGCAATTTGATGTGATTTCACGTTACAACGAATATTGTGGTTAGAACTTCGCATTCGAAACAGCCATTACAAGTCATCTTTGAAGCAAATATAATTGATTATTATACGGTCCGCCATTTAAATGCAAGACAACCCTGAGGGACACTTCCTGAATATTCAAAAGTGCTCCTAGACATGTCCCGGTTTAATTATGCAATGGACGATTATTGGAAGTGTCTTATTTCTGTTCGCTTTAAGGTAGCGAAAAACTGCTATGTTGTAGGTACCATTTCCAGGGTAAAATTTGTCCACGGTACCATTTTAAGAGCTAATCGTGTAGAAGGCTATTTTTGGCAGCAAACTTTCGGTAAAACCAATCGTCAAGCAGCATCAAATGTAAGGTGCATGCGCCGGGCAAATCCACTGTTTATGTCATACACAAGGGCAAAAATAAGTAGACTGGGGTGACCAGGTGGAGTTGTTCATGAGTATCAAAGTAAGACGCAACACAGCATAAAAATTTCAATCAGACGTACAAAAATATAACATTGCTACTGGTGTCATCCTTGAAAATCTAAATATTTTGCAGTATAGCATTAGCCTTCTAGGTACAGGTGTTAACCTGACCAAATGGTCGATGCTACTTTTCATAAACGATACAAGAAGTCAGTCAAAAACGTCATTGTGTACACCTGTTGTGATTCGAAAGATACTGTTACTTACCCAAAAGAAGTCGAGCGTGACGTAAAATTTCTTCTCACCACTCCCAATCAGCGAATCAACCGATTGGCGTTGACCGGTAGAATTCTGACAAACCTATGAATTAAATTTCGTTCGTATTAGTAAAAAGTCTTGGCTTGTGAATACGGCTCTAAAAATTAAATGCAAGCAAATCAATAACGACTGGAGGTAAACATTAGGAAAATGTTCTACGAAATCTTAAAGTGTTGAACAAGATATTTCTGCTTACCAAATGGTGTAAAGAACCAAATTATTGAACAATCAAAAGAACAACAAATAATATGTTCGAACGTGACTGTTGGTGTAGATTAGGTAAGGGCCTGAGCAAAGCGACTAGTTCCTTAAGAAAAACAATTGGACAGGATTAGTATGTAAAATCGTCTGGAAGTTAGCAACATTATATCATAAAATCAGAATTGTAATGATCATGACTACCAAGCTTTAAGTGGCAGCTGAATGGAATTTGGTAAACTCACACCCCCCTTTAGAGATTATTTTGTTTACAAATTCATCTCCAACGAAAGCCTTTGCAAGTACGGTTGTATCAGTAGTGTCTAAGCCATCTCTTAGAATCAAAGGACGCCCGTAAGAGTAAGTATGGGAAAGTCGCTACAACACAATGTGAGACTTTCACTTGGGATAACTTTAATATACACTCTTACTTGCCGACAATTTGGGCCATTTAGTACAATTTTTTATCAAACAAAGAGAGAAAATCTGGATTTTAACGACGAAACATTTTGAGCGAGCGATCAGTAGTGGGATTCTCCGTCTTCCGTTTTTCAGAATACCACTGATGAAGGGTACAGTAGAGCACAGAAGGACGCAAAAGGGTACAGTAGAATTGAATTTAGAGTGGGTGCCATTATTTGGCCAGTTCAAAGTTTAATTTGTTCAATTACGCTTTTATAACAAATTTATGTGACATAAATTTAAAGAAAACAAAAGGGTCAGAATAAATTCATAGTTTGAGGATGGGGGGGGGGGGAGGGGGTGAAGAAGAGAAAAATAGCGGACAAAGTGTTAACAGAAATGTAGAAACTACAAACGATAAGGTGAAATGTTTATTGGAAACAGTAAACAGGGAGAGCATTTGTCTCCATAACTCCCATAAACAGGGCAGTTATAATCAACCGTTACATGTGAGCAAGAAAGCCCTATTTCATGTCCAGGTTCAAAGCCATTCACTTATTCGATGAAACCTGAATCAATAAAAACCAGGACTCTCTCGATTTTCATTATAAGTATAGTGCAAATGCCTCATTTCTCACAAATTATGCAAACGTTTTCCTTTTTACGAACAGAAAATACGATCATATCACGTCATGGATTTTGATATGTTATCTAGCCTTGATCAGCAACCCGGCATTTCCTGGTCAAAGGAAATAAATGTCTGCTAGGTTTCGTAGCTTCGAATGAATGCTCTATTATGACGTTTTTAAAAGGCCAGACCATAGCCACAGTTTTTAATTACTGCCTGTTGAATTATCCATAAAAGCGCGGGAAATGTCGCCCACCAAAAAGATTTTATTTTAAAACATAAAAACATAGCCCTAAGTACACAAAGTATAGGCTTCTATCAACATGACAGTCAATTCTTTCCGTGTCAATAGCCATCTGAACAAAATCAATTTTTATCACTGAGCCAACCAAGATTAGGCTCTATCGTACACCAATTGTACTGTCAGGGATATTCCACTATGCGGACAGCCAAAAAGATCAATCTTCACGCAAAGTTAATTCCACTTCAAGTCTACGTACATTTACCAAACAGCTCATATTTTTCTTTGCTTAATAACAATCCATCATAATAACAGCCACAGCACCGACAATGACAGTAATCAATGTTTTACAACTTTAGAGTTCGTAAAGAAACAAACTTTGAAACTGTGAACATGTATAAAATAGCACATTAGTTAATTGTTGCATCAAAATATGTTTTGTGTTCCTGCTAGAATTACCAATGATCCATTAAAAAAGACTTGGTCGAGTTCTCTTTGTTAGCTAATTTCAAGCTTTAGTGTTTCATGACAATAAGACCCTGTTTACAGGGGGGAAATGAGATCGATCCAGTCATCTGAAACAACAGCAACAGTAAGCACAAAAGTAAGACAGCAACAACAACAGCAATAGCAACAACAACGAAGAATCTGATCACAAGATCATCAATTCTGATCACAACGTGATTCCGTAATGGTTACATGCGACATTTAATCAGCTCGCCATTTGATCTTCCTACAGATTTGGATGGGTTTCTGATTATTTTAGATGGACACAGCTCCGCAAAATGAGGTTCCGCATGTTTCATCACACACTCGGACTTTAAGCTTTTTGCTAGATACCTATACCTTGTAACAAGTATCACATAACAAAACATTTGTCAATAGAAATGCGCTACAATGACCGAACAGTTTAGTGACTGCGCTCCCATCAACTGGTACCTTACTTCATACAGGCTCAATAATTACGTGGCATTCCACCCCTATATGTTTTCCGACATGATACAACTGCAAACAACAAAATATTCCAGCCAAGAAAGTTTTTCTTTTAAATTCCACGTTCTCTAGACTGACGCAAAGGACGCCTGTACAGGGAACATAGGGAACGTAGGGTACAGGGAACATTGGGAACATACTCTGAGGGCTTACGGCATTAACAGCTTCTTTCCTCGTAAATGTGATTTCTTCTCTTTTTGCAATTGATATTTCCTTTTATTGATGATTAGTCCTTTAACCATTAATTTCTACAGGCGCCTTTGACCTGATTTAAGAATACAATCGATTCAATAATGATTCATTCACTCATTCAAGAAACAAGTCACCACAACATTTTTGCATTATAATTTGCAAAAGATCTTAAAGATTTTTTAAAATTTTGTAATATCAATTTAGCAAAAAGGCTAGGTCTTTGATCTCTGAGCAGCAAGGCATATCCGTTATCAATTTTGCTTTTTAAGAAGCAATTTATTTCTTCTATTCAATCTGACAGAATCAGGTGCCAGAATAAAGAATATAAAAGAATTAACGGGTATTTCGACAGCAAAGAAGACGTTTTCAGATTCACGAACGACTGGTGGAATTTAAGGGCAATCGACAGGTACCAATGTGGCTTCAAGGCTCTTGCGCAACCGGCATGCTTTGCTCTACATTTCAAAGCCGGCCTAATACCGTAAGGCATGAAAATGCCAAAAACGGTCCATTTTTCCTCGGGTAGAAAAACAGTTACCGCAAAGCATGCCGATTGCGCAAAAGCCTTTCAGTTATCTGTCAATAAATACTGGCCAATCAATCAGCGTGTGAATAGTATGGCGCTCACTGATTGGGTAATTGTTGATTGACAAATGACTGAACTATTTTAGTATCTGTCGACTGAATTTAAAAAGAACAAACAGTGCAACGAGAAGCAAAGGCGAAATCAAAAGCAAGTTGATGTTAACAACAACAGCAACATATAATGGAGAAGACGCGAAGGTTGGTGAGCAATAAAAGAACTCCCATTCGAGCGAGAGCTGAATAATGCGTTGTTTACAAAGTACACTTGTGGGAAAATTAGTGGATTTATCTATAACGGCTCTCCCAGAACGAATCTATTCTTAACTCTTACCATGTCAATTAATCATTATCGATTCCCAAGCTTATTTGGTTGTTTTCAAATAACAATTATGTCTAGGGCCGGGATCCAGAAAGAACAACTTCAATTCATACAGAGTAAAATTCAAGGAAAGCAAAGTAAAACCTTTGCACAGATCTTGTAGAAAAAGCAGAAGATATAGGTAGAACAAAGTGGCCAAGAAACTTATTGAAGATGAAGACGAATACATCTTTCCATGAAATTCAATACAGTTCACAGCAATCCTTCAAACTGTTTTTCAATGAAATAAGCTTTAAGATAACAAATTCCCGAGAAGAAAAACTCGCGGAGAAAAAAGATATCTTCTTTGCTGCAGCTGGTTAGGAAAACATAGGATTAAGGCATCTGATAAAGAGCAGCAAAAAACAAGAAAACATTAATGGCATTAGCCTGATCGAGCTCATTATCGCTAGCATATCTCATTTCGTCTCTGTTTGTGGGTCTCTCTAAAG